GAAATTTTAATTCTAGTTTGTAATTTTTTGTGTTTTCAGTGGGAGAAAAAAATCAAGATTGTATGTCATCAGTATTACTTTTGGCAATCTCTTAAATCACTGAAAATACAATAAACACAAACATATCTATGCCTGACCTTGACAAAGACTCTCCTTGACCAAACTCTCGCCAGGCTCCTTTAAGCCTCTGCTCGCTAGCCCTCAACTTTGGTCTATAAAGACCTGAACACACACTAACATAGTTTCTAAGAGCTCAAGGCCACATCCCTAGGATGATCCAGCTCCCCTCAAAGCACCTACCTGAGAAAACTCAAGGCTGCCAAAAGAACTGACTGTTTGTTCCAGTCAACACCTGAAGACAGGGCCCCTGAATGGGTTTCACATGGACCAACCCCCTCTTCCTACTTTTTTGCAATTTTGCACTTCCTTTATTCTGGGACCCTGCTCATCCTTTTCCCTCATTCTCTCTTTATTTATTCATTTTAAACTCTTTTTTTTTTTTTTTGGTGAGGAAGTTTGGCCCTGAGCTAACATCTGTTGCCAATCTTCCCCCTTTCTTCTTTTTTTCTCCCCAACACCCTGGTACATAGTTGTACATCCTAGTGCAAGCCCTTCTAGTTCTTCTATGTGGGATGCCACCACAGCATGGCTTGAGGAACAGTGTGCAGGTCCATGCCCAGGATCTGAACCAGAAAACCCAGGGCTGCCAAAGTGGAGTGCACAAACTTAACCACAATGCCACTGGGCTGGCCCTCTCAGGCTCTTTTTAAGACAGTCAGTCACCTCTGTACAAATCAGATTTGAATTCAGTTCACACTGGACTCTTTTCTCTATTGCAATAGTTATTAATGATCAAAATCTGTCCCTACCACTTTAGTGTCCAGCTTTGTTTATTTTTGATGACATACAGTTTCACTGCTTATCAGAAATGAGTATGAAAATATGAAATGGATGTATTTTTCATTCTGTTAACTTGTGAAGTTCTGTGGATGATCTTATGCGTTGATACATTGGATTTCCATGCTTCCAGAGAGGGCCAGGTATTTGGCAGGACAACAAATCATTGCTCAGTTGTGACAATTCAATTAGGGATTTTTGAGAGTCTTGAAAGATAAAAGTTTGTCTTTTATTCTTACCTATGGTAGATTTTTTTTTCTCCGCAGAAGTTTAAAATTTTTATGTAGTCTTTTCCTATATCTTTATACTATAAAAGAAAAGATTCCCCAGAATTCTGAAGTCTCCCTTTTCATGGAAGCAGTACATGGCAAAGTGAAATTAAAGTCTTCGTATAAGCTTGTTCCGTCCTTGGCCACCGACCCCGCAATTCACTCTGTATATAGCAACTGGAGTGCTCTTTATAAAATGCAAAGCTGATTACGTCACTCACCTACTTAAAACCCTTAAATTATTCCCACTACTCCTAAGAAAAAAATCCAAAGTCCTCATTAAGCCTAGAAGGCACATTCTCTCCACAGCTATTTTCTATTCCTGGAACACCATCTCGGCCCATCTCCAAGGCCTGTACCAGCCCACATCCCGCTTGAAATGCTACTTCCCCTTACCAACTGCAGGTGTCAACTCCAAGGTCACCTTCCCAGAGAGGCCTTTCCTAAAGAAACCTGTCACTCCTTTTCTCTTTATCGTATTAGCTCCAAAACACTTATCACAATCTGAAATTACCTGAAGTATTTGCATATTTATAAAATACTCAACTTGAATGTAAGTCTCCTGAGAGCAGGAATCTTGTGGTAGCGTGCTGCCAAATGTCTAACAGGTTTTCAAAAAGAAAGGCTCTGATGGTAGCATTTGCTAATGTCCATGGTATAAGTTAACACCATGGCTAATTTCAAGCTACGACGTGACACCAACCATCTTGCAAAATTTCCTGAGAAGTTAACAATCAGCTTTCACAAGCCAGGGCAGGCCAGCTCCCATCCAGCACGGGAACCTGGTCTGGCTTAGTTACTGCTGCAAACAAACAGAACAACGTCAGGCACAGAGGAGAGCGCTGCCGATGCTGGCTGACAGAATTGGGATAAAATAATTCTTCATTCTATTCTATCAAATATAGATTGTAGCTAATTGAGTCCTTTGTGGTGTTCTAACTGCCAAACTGCAGAAGAGGGTATCCAAAATTTGTAGAGAATTACCGTGAAAACATCTTGTTGAAGGGTCACCGAAATAGGCTCCTAAAGGAAGGAACTCTCCTGCCTCCTCACGAAGAGTCTCTGTTTGACTATCCAGCTTCTTTTTGAATCCTGAGAGGCTAAATGATTTCAGTCAGAAAGAGCAGAGAGCTGCTCACGAGAGAACAAACAGAGATCAGGGGAGGTTGTAGGAGGGCCCGAGAAGAGCTGGATCAGGCTGTGTTTCATTCGAGTTTGAACTTTGAGGGGTGAAGAGATTGAAGGATGAGACTGAACAGCAGGGCCGACTGCTATGCCATTGGTGACAGCAGAAGTGAGGCATCCAAAGCAGCTTTTTATAAGTTCTGCTGGCAGTCAAAAACGGCCTTCCCCATTGACACCTCTTTAAAAGCTTTTGTAAAGCTTTAAAATGCTTTCGATGCTTTTATTGGACGCTGGACTGCATTTCTTTTGATGTGGCATCACGTTAAGTCTGGTCACAAGAAAGCAGTCTTATTTGTGTTCCCCAGACCCTGTAGTCCCCACAGCTGTGTGGTCATGAGCTACAAGCGCCTGCAACACAAACCTGGGGTGAAGTCCATAGCCATGTACGTGCTGGAAGGACCTGAACCATCTACGGTACCAACAGCAGGCCCTACGTCACTGAACCGAGGAGTGCCTGGCTGGGGCTAAGGGGTCTGACTCCTTGAAGTTCCCTGGAATAAGTGAGGAGCAGTCCCTGATCACAGAGGAAGTGCTCTGTTCTCGTCCCATCTGTATATACTGAGTCTTGAATACTTCTGTAGCAAAATTCGCCCTTTTTTGTTTTCTTAGTCTATATACCCACAACTATTATTTCTACTACCATTAAAGTTTCTAACCACTAAACATCTTGAAACATTTTTCAAGAAATATTTTTATTAAACTTATAAATAGTCATTAGAACATATAAACATTTGACTGATTAATGTGTAAACGTTTTACTTTAACTGGTTTGATAGCCTGTTTTAGGGCAAAAGAAGAGTAGGAAGGAGGAGGAGGAAGAAAAGGAAAAGAAGGAGAGAAGGAGGGGAAAGAAGAGGAGGAGGAAGGAGAGGACTCAGTGGAAGGAGAAGCTGACCTCCCAGCTGGTACCTGCCGTGTCGACGGCCCGCCTCTCAGAGGGTGGGCCACAGACCAATTGCATCAGATTCGCTCGGGGTACTTGGTAAAACTACAGGCGATGGTCCCATATACAGAATCAATCTCTGGGTGGAGTCCAGGAATCTTCACATTATCAGGGGACCCCAGGAATTCTGATACGCACTGAAGTTTGAGACCCACGTGCACGGGAAGGCTGACTGGTTAGGGTGCTACCACTTATCTTCATTTTACAAATGAGCAGCCCATAGAAAGATGAGTGACTTAACTGGAAAGAGGTGAGAACTCCCTGGCTGCAGGATGCTAAGCAGAGCAGATCCTATGGCCTCAGGAGATCTGGTCCCAGTTGGGGGATCTTTCCTGGTCCACAAACCCACCAAAAGTGGTGTGGCCCCGAGGATAAATACCACAAGTACCAAGAGAAAATGCTCTAAGTGGTTGAGAACTAAGAGATTCAATTTCTAATTAAAGCTTGGGAAATAAACTATACCTTGGTCTGATCATCCAGAAATAGGATTAATATTTTACTGCTGTCTTTCACCATTAGGTTCTTTTCGAAAGTGGTGAAATAATAAGTATAAAAGAACTTTGAAAAGCAAAATCACAAGACAAAAGCTGTCCTCCTTTTTCCTTAAGACGAGTGGGACAAACACTCACAGAAAGGTTAAAAAACTAGTGGTAGTAAAATCTGCATGTTAGATTATAGGAAATACATGTTACAGTCTGCTCAGCCCATGACAGCCCCCTTTCTCCAAAACCTGCACCTCCCCCACTGCACTGATACTTAACCCTGACTCTTGGCTACAAGTCATTCAGCTCAAGTATGAAGAACTCGCCAGACCTGGCCAGCCAGAGTCCCTCTCTAGGGGTGCAGAGAGGCACATCAGTGTCTTCTGGCGGCTGGGTCTAAGGATATATGTTGGGGATTTGTGGGGCGGCCATGTACACAGGCAAGCACAGCACACTGGTCTCCAGGGAGAGAGGAGTAAAGGATGAATGCTCAGAGAGGAGGATGCATGACCGCGGGCACCAGACAGACATGAGGAGGACAGGGCCTGGGTCCCTGTCAGCCCCCCTGCCTGGATCAGGCCCTGCCAGCGCCCAGCCCCACTCCTGTCTTTGTTGCTGCAGCAGCCAGCTCAGGTGGATTTCCGTTTCTTGTGGCCAAAAGAGAGTGACCAGGGCAGGGGGGCCAGTTGTTTGGCCCTCTGAGGAACCATGACCCTGTGGGTCACCATATCTGCTTGTTCCCCTCCTGAAACAAGGCAACATCCACGGGTCCTGGCCACACCTAGAGTTTATCCCTGCCTGCACCTGGTTTGCAGAGCACTGGCCTTACCCTACCCAAAGCCACCTCCCTGCACCTCGGCTCAGCCCCCTGCATTTTTGTGCTCTGCTTTTCAATTGCACCCCTGGACTGTGTCGGGGTTAGAGCCTGTCATCATTCTTTTGCTCAAGCTCTTTGTGTCATCATTTCTTTTGCATCCTCCCCCAACGGTGCCCAACAAACTCCAAACCCAGCAAGCAATGCAATCCATGCTATTGACTGACTGGAAGCCTGGAAGCATTTATCCGGCCTCTTTCCCTACGCAAATTCGCCAAACAATGGGAAAACAGAACCTCAAGAAAACTCATGAAGTAAATAGAGAAACTTGGCTAAACCCTTAACCTAAAGGGACCCAGCCTCTCTCTTTCCGCGCCTCTCTCAGACTCATCCTCCCTACTGGACTGTACCTGGGATATAAATGGTGCCACCATTGCACCAATGCGACACAGGGAGCCGCTGGTCCCCATCCCCAAAGCACGCATCGTCGTGGGGTAGACCTAGAGGGAGGAGCGTAGAAAGCACCAATTAGCTTAGGCCCCTTCTCTCCCCTAGTCCTCTGCCCGTTCCTCCACAGGTCAGGCTTTGGTACATAGATGAAACGCCAAATATTCTGTATAGGTGTGTAGGATATAGAACAGAAGACATTCATTTTCTCAGGTAAACAACTTTGAATTTTAAAAATAAATATCAGAAAATAAACACTTAGAAATTATCCTTGAAGTAGACAAATTCCAAAATATGTGTTTAATTGAATAGTCCAATGTAATTTTAGAAAGGCAAGCTCTGGAGTCGGAAGATTTCCACTTTAGACCACAAACATATAAAGGTGGTTCTACTGACTGGAAAGAAGATACTCCCTAAATAGTAACAATCTACTGAAACCTTTAATACAGATACAGTGAAAAGAATTGGCCGGAGCGCCAGAAACAGGCTACACCACGCGCCATGTTCTCCCTGCAGAATCTTACGGCGTAGTCTACCCTCTCGCTGCCACTTCCTTGTGTTCATAGTAAATCCTCATTAATCTATACTTCACTCATTCAGAATTCTTGATAAGTAAATATCTCATAAATAAGATCCTAGAGAGAATACTTTCTATGAAAGAATGGTTTTTCAAAACGTTGGAAAATTTTCTCTTAATGCTATATAATACCGATAAAACAGTCATTGTCAATTGACATCTTGTGAGCCAGCATCTGTCAAATGCAAAAGCAAGATGCTTTCCGGCCTCAGAGGACACTGCTGTCTTTATGAGAAGGTCTGGGGATGGAGTGCCTTTTGGGGGAGGTGTTTTTCTTTTTCTGAAAACGAGGTTGCTGGCTATAACTGAAAATAATGGATTCCAATGCATGGTGATGTTTTTTTCTTTGTTTTGTTCACGTTTTGACAATTCTGGGAGATGGAAGACAATCTTCTTTAGGTACACATCTTTGATTCTTTTAAAAACTATAAATATCAGGAAAAAAATACTTAGAATGACTCTTTAAATGAACACATTCCAAAATGTATGTTAAATTGACTATTTGAAATACAACTTTGGAAGCACACCGTGGTACACATATGTTCTTAGGCTCATAAATTCACAAAATTCTAGAGGATTTTCTTAATAGAACTAAATGAAATATTGTGTATACGTCAAATATGTCATCATTTCCTATTTTTATCTGTCTGGGGGAAAAGAATATTTTTCTCTGTGGCTTTAATCGTTTTGACATTTCATATCTGTAATCTGAGCAGACTTACACATTTCCTGGGATGAAAATGGATGCAGCTTCCAATAGCACTGTTTTCTCTAGCACAATGAGTGGTAAAACTAGTTAAAATACTAAGTTTCCCCTTCAGGTTTTGTTTATTTCTAGGAATATTAGCTCTTTAAAGTGGGGGTTACTAGGAGATCTTCCAGCATCCTCAGGGAGTGCCTTGCATATAGATGTATTCATTCAATAAATTAAGAAAGAATAAATAAAAATGAAGAATATTCGACTTCAAGCTACATGCAGCAAATAACCGACGGAGGTGGATGTGATCTCTCCAAAGAATAAAGGAGAAAATATATTCTAATTTCAAAAAGAGAGAAATAGAGAATTTTACATTTTGATAGCAACATGCAGCTACCGACTCTTTCTTCTGGAAGCCCGGTGCTAAGGCAATGAGTTGGTTTTTGCATGCATGCTGTTTAGTAAGAAATGGAGGTTCTATCTTACTTCTCAGAGAATGGCTTTCACCAGACTCAATGGGGTAGGGGGAACTCCACGTCAAATAAACCTCCTGGTGTCGTTTTGATGGGATGTTTTTTAAAAATCATCAAAAGTCAACAGAAGCCAAGGTTGTGTTATCTGAGGACAGATACCCTCTCTGAGCAGCTCACCCTGTGTGTCCTGATGGAACCAATCCCTTCCCAAAACTAACCTCAGCGGTGTAGATGTAGATGGTGTTGAAGTTGGCTGCCACCAAAGCCCTCAGCATGAAGAGGAAGCCAACGAGGCCAGCACTAGGGAGCAAGAAGCCAGGGAAGTTGGGAAAGGCGAAACAGAGGGCCTTCCGGGGCCCCAATCCAAGCATATTACAGATGCCCACACACACCCACAGGTAGCCAGGTTCTGGGGAGGTGCTGCTTCTCAACTGGCCTGATTGTGGGGTCCTAAAGCAAATGCCTGACTCAAACCTACCAGCACCCTCTCCACTCCCCTAAGTGTGCCATTCCAGCCTGGCCACCTAGATCAGCACATCTTCTGCCACCACCCCCCAAAAATGGTTCGGATAGTTTGCAGAATGATAGATATTATCATTTAGGCCACTCTAGGGTCACAAATTAAGAGTGAAATGAACTTTCACGCCACAGGTACGTTATCTATATCACTAAACTATCTTGACAGTGGTCTGGATAATGAGGTAAACAACTAGGATCCCAATTCTCCAGGAAGCTTTGCATCAAGATCCTAAATGTCTCGGTGGGCACCAACATTGATTCCCACGTCCTGTGATAGCTGAAGGGGGAGCCAGGTCAGTGGGAAGAGGGAAGTGGCAGGTACCAGGCAAGATGGCTCTGAGCAGCCCATTCTCCACCCTCCTGGTAAAAGGGACTTGCCCCCGACCCCCGCTGAACACCACCGGTCAGGAGACCCCATTTTAAAACCACTGCACAAAACTAGATGGTTTTGAAGCAACCAGAGAGAAAGTACCTTGAAGTGCAAATATTGAGGAGAAGGAAGAACAAAGCCGTGCATCCCATGGTGATAGAAAGGCTCAGCCGTCTTCCCAGGAAATTAATGCCCAGGATATTTAAAGGATTCACTAGAAAGCAAATGACAGAGACAATTTCTGGACCCTTGAAAGTCAGTGGCATTTATCAACATTAGCACGGATTCCTCATTGTCATTTCAGAAAGAAGCAACTTCATCCAAACCTCATCTATATTCCAGCCAAAACTCAGTCACACTGTCATCAACTTCATGACTCCTTCAATATACTTTTTCCTTGTGGGTCCAAGAATGACAAGCACTGGTGTATAAAAAGGATATTTTATGCCCAGAATGCTTATAACATCATTTGTGTCTATTATAATTTGCCAGCTTACTAGACTTATATTTTAAATCTTCTATACTGTTTTTTTTAAATCAAATTCAAGGTGCCACTGATTTTTAAGTACCATTATTTTATGTGTACTAAAACAGAAAGTGCTACAAATTGAAATCCAACAAGCCATGGTAAGTCACATCCCAGACTGAGATGTTAAAACGTGAAAAGCAGAAATGCATCATGGAATTGATATAATACCATAATTCAAGGCTCTACTCCTCCAGACTTCTCCTCTCCACACCAATCCACGCTGGAGACATGTCGCAGGATTTGGGAACTTGTTCATTTCTACCAGGCAGAAGCCATGTCTATGATAGGGTCATACTTCTCTCCTCTGAGGCACTGAGTTGCCTGTCCCCCACCGGAAACAGAGGGGCCCAATACACAGAGGGACGCTTACGAGCAATTTCACCGATGGTGCTGATAATCATGGTCCGGTAGTCGGAGGGGGCAAACATGTGGCAGTGGCAGGGACTCTGGCTTCCTTCTGTATCCCCCAGGGTCACCACCACCTCAGACTCCAACTCAGGCTGCGAACCACAGACCAGGTCCCGCTCCAGCAGCTCGGCGCTGGCCAGGATGACCCCATAGTAGGCGAAAGAGATTCCCAGCCTGGAAGTGAGAGAGGATCAAAATTAGGAAAAGTTATCACCAGCCCTGAAGGTGGGGTGGCACCATGAGAGGTGGGGAGAAGTGGAGAGAGAGTTCCAGGTGGAAGGCATGGTGCAGGGGAAGGGAGCGAAAGCTGGGCTCACACAGCAGGGAGAGGCTGGAAGGGGTTGTTCACCAGAGGGGCGGTGGGAAACGGATTTGAGAGAAAGCGGGATGGGACTAGACAGTAGGAAGCGTGTGCAAAGTGTGCGAAGGAGTGGGAAGTTTGGATTCATTTTCTATCGCTGCTGTAACAACGCAGCGCAAATTTAGTGGCTTAAAACAACACACATCTAGTAGCTCCCAGTTCTGGAGGTGAGAAGTTCAGTGGTCTGGCTGATTTCTCTGCTCCTAGTCTCAAAAGGCAGAAATGAAAATGTAAGCAGGGCCGCAGGCCTTTCTGGGGAGGAGAATCATTTCCAAGCTCATCCAGATGGTTGGTAAAAATTCAGCTCCATGAGGCTTAGAACCCATCTCCATTTCCTTCCTGGCTGTTGACCAGTTATTTTCAGCTTCTACGGGCTTTCCTCATTCCTGTCTTCAAAGCTGCAACGGTGGGTCGAGTCCTTCTCATGCTTTGAATCTCTCTCTTCTCTCCTTCCACCTCCGCTTCCATTTTTCTCTTCTGTTCCATATCGGATTCCAGCTGGAGGAATTTCTCTACTTTTAAGGATGCAAATCATTAGATTGGGCCCACCTGCCAAATCCAGGCTACTCTCCCTATTTTAAGGCCCCTCACCTTAATTACACCTACACAGTCTCTTCACGTCAGCATCCACATCAATGTTTGAATCACCAGGAGCTGGGAATCTCGGGGGTGTCCTGTAGCAGCCTGGCCATCACAGTGTCTTCACAGGCCACGAGGAGCCACAGAAGGTTTTTGCTTTTGCTTTATACTTTCTTCTTGTCTTTTTTCTGTCTAATAGATATTTTGTTGAGATATAAAAATAACATACAGAAAAGTTCACATATCAAAGTCAAGAAAAAGAATGATAGCCTCCCAGAAAACCCCCTTGTGACCCTCTCAGTTTTGCAGAAATGGTTGCAAAAGCCAGTTGTAAAAGACATATGGAGACAGTCAGGGGATGTCACATAAGTTGTGGGCACTGGATGATATTAGCGTGGTGATTGCTCATCTTCTCAGTGTGATCATAGGATTGGAGTCACCTAAGAAAATGTCTTCACATGGAAGCAACCTAAGTGCCCATCAACAGACGAATGGATGAAGAAGATGTGGTACATATATACAATGGAATACTACTCAGCTGCAAAACAGAACAAAATCATTCCATTTGCAATAACATGGATGGACCTTGAGGGATTATGTTAAGTGAAATAAGCCAGCGAGAGAAGGATAATCTGTGTATGACTCCACTCATATGAGGAATTTAAAATTATGGACTAAGAACAATTTAGTGGATACCAGGGGAAATGTGGGGTGGGGGGTGGGCACAAAGGGTGAAGTGGTGCACCTACAACACAAATGACAAACATTAATGTACAACTGAAATTTCACAAGATTGTAACCTATCATTACCTCAATAAAAAAAAAAAAAAAGGAAAATGTCTTCAAGTAGTTGAGACTCTTAATGAAGTATCTGGGGGTTAAATGTCATGAAGCCTGGGGCTTGCTTGAAAATGCTTCAGCACGGGAAAACCCAGCTAAAGCAAATATGGGTGAATATGAATAACTGTCAGGTCTGAGCAATGAGTAAATCAGAGTTCATCATGGTATCCTCACTACTTTCATGTGTGTTTGGAAATTTTCATAATGAGATACTTAAAAAGAAAACAAATAATCAAAAACACCTCCTCTTGCTATTAAAGTAGGTTTAATTTTTTTGTTTAATTTTCAAATATTAAGAGTATTTAAAAAATTGAAAAGTCTCAGGAGGAGACATACCAACCTATTGATAGCGATTACACCTGGGAAAGACAGACAGACGACTACTCTCCTGAAGGCAAACACTATAGATTAGTTTTGCCTGTTTTCTATCTTTATATAAATGGAATCACACAATACATATTCTGTGTGTCTGGCTTCCTTTGCTCCTTATTACATTTGTAAGATTCTGCCATGTTGAGCGTAGAACATTAGTTTTCTCATTTTCATTATTGCATAGGATTCTATTTTATGAATATAACACAATTTATCAGTTATACTGCTAATGGACATGTGGGCTTTTTGTAGTTTGGGGCTGTTACAAATAAAATAATGCTATGGACATTCATGTAAATGTCTTTTGGTAAACATGTATGCATTTCCCTTGGGTATAAACCTAGGAGCAAAATTGCTGAGCCGTAGGATATGCATATTGTCAACTGTTAGAGATGTTGCTAAACCATTTTCCGAAGTGGTTGTACTAATGTGAACTCCAATCAGCAATGTAGGAAACTTCCAGTTACTTTACATCCTTCTCAACACTTAATGCAGTCAGTTTTTTAAATTTTAGCCAGTTGGGTGGATTTTTAAAGTCTCATATGGTTTTACTTGTGTTTTTTTTAAATTTTTTTTTCCTTTTTTCTCCCCAAAACCCCCTGGTACATAGTTGTATATTCTTCGTTGTGGGTCATTCTAGTTGTGGCATGTGGGACGCTGCCTCAGCGTGGTTTGATGAGCAGTTCCATGTCCGCACCCAGGATTCAAACCAACGAAACACTGGGCAGCCTGCAGCAGAGCGCACGAACTTAACCACTCGGCCACGGGGCCAGCCCCTCATATGATTTTAATTTGCATTTCCCTGGTGACTTTAAGGTTGAACATGGTTTCACGTTTATTTGATACACATTTTTGGTCAAGTGCCTGGTCAAGTTTCTTGCATATTTCTCTACGGTGTTGTGTATCTTTTTCTTATTGAAAAACATAATTTTTTTAATATATATATTGGAAATTTCTTCTCCCAGTTGGCGGCTTAACTTTTAGACTCTTCATGATATCTCATGGCACAGAGTTTCTAATTTAATATAGTGAAACTCACCAATCTTTTCCTTTATAGTTAACACTTTTTGTGTTCTGTTTAGAAAATTTCTGCCTTATTCAAGGTCATGGCTGCAGAGAAACGAAGTATAGAGAGGACCACCAGACTCTATTCCATCGAATTTGATTATTGATGACTTCAAAGGATCAGTTTTTGTCACGTGGTGAGAAAATGTCCAGGCTGCAAAAGGTTAGAAAGTGCACTCACATGACAAATAAAAAACTGGTTGTAGGCGACTTCTTTCTTCTTTTTAAAAGAATTGCTTTCTTTAAATTTGCTTGTTTGTTGGGTGATTGGGTGGTTGGTGCTGTCAGAAGAAAGATAAGACACTGCTGGAGTCCGCCCAGTGTTTTTCTCCCCAGTAGCACTTAGAGTGGAGTTCCTTAAGTAGGCTTTCTCCAAATGCTTGTTTATTTAAAACTCATTTTGAAATAATTACTTTCTTACCATATGACCCAGATCTGTAATGTGGTCCGTAAATATTTAGCATCCAATAGGTCTGCAAATCTTCCTCTTTTTTCCTGGGGTAGTGAAAAGGAAGAGGCAGAATAGATTTAGTGGGTTAAGGATGTGCAAAGGTCTCTAACATTTTAGATCATAGAAAACGAGAACAACATGGGAATGTGGCAGGGGGACATCACCACTCAGCTCCCATGGGCACACCTTGCCCGAACTCATAGGTAAGTGTTTCTAACACATTTATCTCAGCCAATCAGTCTCTGCACGCTCTTTATCATCATCGGTAAGTACCAAAACTCGTTGAATTTAAGATTCTCACCCTTTCTACTCTTCCTCTTCTCACCAATGTTGGCGAGAGGTGGGACGGAGTATGGAAAATAGGATGGTACGTGAAAAGTAACCATTGAACTGATGGGAGATTCTTTTAACATTAACATTAAAATCAAAAACCTAATATTAAAAAAGCATATGAGGATTGTGTAAGAAAAAAATCGCATACATTTGAGAAGAGGATAGAATACCCAATTTCTTTTTGTGTCTTTAGGGTAATCAGCAAAAGTTCTTGTCCATAGTTAGTGCTTGTTAAATACTTTTGGATAAAAAAAAAGTGAGGATTGGGCCTGGCCCAGTGGCATAGTGGCTAGGTTCACACACTCTGCTTTGGGGGGCCTGCGGTTTGCCAGTTCAGATCCCAGGTGTGGACCTACACACCACTCATTGAGCCATGCTGTGGTGGCATCCCACATATAATAGAGGAAGAGTAGCACAGATGTTAGCTCTGGGCCAGTCTTCCTCACAGAAAATAAAATAAAATAAGGATGGGTTATATGATGGGGAAGTAATGGATTTACTACAAACACTTCAGGGGATGCTCAGTTGAAAACCATCTACTCTTTTCTTACAAATAGACCTGGGATCACAGGTCTCCTATAGAGACCAGGAGAGGGGTCCTAGGTGTCCCGGATCTTGTTGTCACAGAAAGGTAGAGCTTAGAGAGAATTTAGAGGTCTTTTGTTCCAGTGACTTTTAGGCTCAGTTCCTGGAGGTCCCTGTGGGTGGAGCAGAGCAAATGACACTCCACTTTCATCTGCTTTACATATTCAGGCTCTGGTTACTCTTCTTTGGAAAACCTCTGATCTAGTCCTATCCTCCCATTTTCCAACACAGGATATGTCATCCAGAGAGGGTGAGTGACTTGTCCAAGATCACACAGCTGTTTGGAGGCAGAACCAACCTAGAGTCCAGGTCTCCTGAGCACCATTCTTGAGTCTTGCCCGTCTCCCTCTCTGCCATGTCCCCTGGGGTTTAGATGGGATTACAGTCCCCCTGACCTCCTCAAGTGTCACTGGAGATTCAGAAAACTGAGTCTATAGTGAATCACGACGAATCATAAATTTTATCCTAATAAGTCATTTTCATTCTGAACATTTGGCTACAATCCAAATGAGTGGACTCATTCACTTCATCCATTTTGTGGCCCTTCCTCAGACCGTTCCCAAAGTCTTTCATCTTAGTGTCTTTGGAGTGAAGCTGCACAGGCTCCACTGCTCCTAGCATCTTGTCCAGCCTCCTCTGCATGGCATTCCGATGGTATCCAATGTGACCACACCCACTGCACATTCCCACCTCCGTCTTGGCTCACACCATTCCTCCGGCCCACAGTGGCCTCTTTCCTCTCCTGAGGCTGCCTCTCCCTTAAGTGCTCAATTTATGCCCCACTTATCCCTTAGCTGAAGATGGCTGTGACTGCCCTGGCTCACCGTCCCCTCTCTGCTCTGATCCCACACACACGCCGCTGCCTGCGCCACTCACCTAGTTCTAAGCATCTGGGCTGTTTGGCTACTGATTTTTTCCTACGTAAGTCTCATCTCACTAATTGGACTTAGAGACTTGAAGGCATGGTCTATTGCTTGTAGCTCTGTATCCACAGGGCCTCGCTCAATAAATGACTGAGGAGAAGGGCAAGATCATTTAACGGGCATGATGGATGGAGGATGCAGGCTGAAGGCAAGAAGTGGAGAAGGAAAGTGGGAGGAAGAAGGGAGGAGGAAAAGGAGAAGGCTGCAGGAGGGAGGGTGGAGGATGGAGAGTGCGGACAGGGGATTGAGAATACAGGGGATGGAGGAGCGAGGGCAGTTGTTATGGGATTGGTGGCCCCCTCAAATTCATATGCTGAGGTCCTAACCCTCAGAAGCTGCCTGCATTTGGAGACAGAGCCTTTAAAGAGATAATTAAGCTAAAATGAGGTCATTAGGTGGACGGTAATTCAATACAATTGATGTCCTTTATAAAAAGAGGAGGTTAGGACACAGACACACACAGGGATGATGATGTGAAGACACAGGGAGAAGATGGCCATCTATCCGCCAAAGAAGGAAGCCTCAGAAGAAGCAAACTCTGTGACACCTTGATCTCAGACTTCCACCTCCAGAATTGTAAGAAAATTAATTTCTGCTGTTTAAGCCATCCAACCTGTGGTACAGTCCTGGCAGCCCAAGCAAACAGTGGCAGAAGAAATGTAGAGGAGGCAGGAAGTGGATGGAGAATGAGGGATGGGAGATGGAAGAGGAAAGGTGGAAGAGGGAGGGAAAGGAGGAGAGAGGAGAGAACTGAACCTCAGCGCTCTAAGTCCTGGAGAGACTGGTAAGTTTGATTAAAACATACACGCCAAAAATGGTTGGAATTGGGCCCACATGATCACACAGCTGTCCATGGTTTTGAGTTAATTGTCTCTGCTAAAAGAGATTTTTTTTCTCTTTGCAACCAATTTTAGTTTCTATACCATTGACAATCAAAATTTCATAGCCACTTAAAGATTGCGTGCTAGTCTCTACAAAGCATAATAGCTTCCTTCATTTAATCATAGTTGCCTAGCAACTAATTAGTCCTCCCGCCAAGCTTTCTGCAGTACGATGTCATTGTCAGTACCTTGGTAGGAAGGTAGAAGATAGCTGATGCTGCGTAAGAGTAGCTTCCTGACTTCCGAACCACAGGAGCTTATTTCCAAAATCCAGCAAATAAATTAGAATAGCAGAATATCCTTAATCCTTTGGAAGAAAGTTTGGGCTTCCTGTTTTACAATTAGATTTTGAGGCATGTGTAATAATTAGAGGAAACACTCCACGGAGCAGAGTGAGAACCTTACCAAAGTACAAGTGTGAGTGTGGGGAGGCTTGGGATGCTTAATCCTCGTGGGTTTTGCATTATTATTGAGCACGTTTTACCTCACACTTAAAATGTCCAGCCGCAGGCCAAGCGGCAGTGGGAATACAGTGCTTTTGGCTTCAGTGGTGTCCTGGGAAACCAGTCAGGAATGCCCGGAGTAGCCCACCTCTCGCTTGTGTGTAGGAGCCTTAACAATTGCACACCTGGACATCACCTGTCCTGCTGTGGCCACTTGGTCCTGAGAGAGTAAGATTTTGGTGGAGGGTGGGTGGGGAGAGCTGCTGCCTCTCTGACCAGAGGTTCTTCAAAAAATCAAAAATACAACTAGCATATGATCCAGAGATCCCACTTCTGGGCATATCGCAAAGAGATATCTGCACCTCCATGTTCATTGCAGCATAATTCACAAGAGCCACGATGTGGAAACAACCTAAGCGTTCATCAACAGATGAGTGCATGAAGAAGATGTGGTATATATATATATATATACACAATGGAATATTATTCAGCCATGAGAAAGAAGGACATCCTGCCATTTCTGACAACATGGATGGACCTTGAGAACATTATGCTAAGTAAAATAAGTCAGACAGAGAAACACAACTACTGTATGGTCTCACTTATATCTGGAATCTTAAAAGCCAAACTTACAGAAACAGAGAATAGAATGGTGGTTTCCAGGAGCTGAGAAGTGGGGGAAATGGAGAGATGTTGGTCAGAGTACAAACATCTGGTTAGAAGATGAGTAAGTTCTGGGGATTTAGTGTACAGCATGGTGATTACAGTTAACAATACTCTATTATATATTAGAAAGTTGTTAAGAAAGTAGATCTTAAGTGTTCTCACCACACATGAAAAATGGTACTTATGTGACATGATGGTGGTGTTAACTAAGCTATGGTGGTAATCATATTGCAATATATAAGTGTATCAAATCAACACGTTGTACACCTTAAACTTAGACAATGTTGTATGTCAATTATATGTCAATAAAGCTGGGAGGAAACAAAAAATACAACAGACTCTCCCACAGCCATGCCAGCCCTGGGAAGAACTGGCAGCTTTTCTCTGTACCACTGGTGTCCCTGCTTCATATCATTCTCTGCCTCTGTAGTGACTCTGGAGTTCACCCAGTAGTCAGTGAGGGGGCAGGGGGTGGGCACTGAAGGGTCCTGAGCAGAAGGGGTGGTATGCTGTGTTTGAAGAAACTCCTCTGACAGGGTTGAGCTGGATAAAATCATGGGGCATGTGACAATGAGGTGGCTGTGTGAAAGACACAGACTGGATGTAAAAGACGCCGTCGGGAAAGCACCAGTGGGGCTTGGTAACTGACAGGGCGTGGTGTCGGGGCGGGGTTAGAGTGAGTCAAAGCAGATGCCACAGAGGGAGAAGAGCATGAACTCAGGGGGTGGGGACGCTATGTGAAATAAGCCAGACACAAATATCGTATGATTCCCCTTATGCTAAATATCTGGAATAGGCAAACTCATAGAGAGAGAAAGTAGAAGTTACCAGGGGCTGGGTGTGGGTAGGAGTGAAAAGTTATTGCCCAAACGGTATAGAGCATCTGTTTGGGATGCTGAAAAAGATCTGAATGTATTTAATGCCACTGGATTATGTACTTAAAAATGGTTATAATGGTAACTTTCATGTTATGTATATTTTACCACAATAATAAAAATGAAAGAAAAGACAGGAAAGGGGGAGAAAGAGCTGGTGGAGGAGAAAATGGAGTTTTGTTTCAAGCACAGTAAATGTGAGATTAACACTGTTGTCAATTCCAGGTATCCATGACCTGTGGAGAGATAAAGATAGGAGACCGGAACGTGGGCAGAGGCCAGGTTGAACCCTTAGTCATAGTTCAAGTTTGCATCTCGTGGGTTCCCAGATGTGCCCAAATCTCATGTTAAGGTGTTTCTTGCTCTTCCCCAGAGAAACATTTTCTTTAACAGGTTCGCAAGGAATCTCATTTGTATAGATTCCATTTAACAGCCAAGAAATTGACACGTACTATTGATAAGAGGGTTATGAAACAATAAAAATATTTCAGAGAACAACAATTGCAAGAATAAATGAGCCACATAGCACAGAAAATAAGAGGGAGGAACCAGACAGAAATATAACAATTTTTACAATTCCATCTACAAAAGAATTTTTAAAAATATAAAATACACAGGAGTAAATTTTATAAGAAATGTGTAGCGATTAAATAAGTAGCTATAAAATGCTGCTAAGGAATATAAAAATACTTGAATAAACGCAGAAATATACGTGTATCAGAACAGGAAGACTCGATATTATAAAGGTATCAAGTCTCTCTATATTAATGTGTAACTTCAATACCATCCCAATTAAACTTTCATAGTTTTGGGGGGGAAATTAGAAGAAGATCTTGATAGAGTGACTTCAAAGTTGTTCTAGAAAAATAAGACTGAGAAAATAGCTTGGAGAACTCTGAAAAAGAACTTTGACAAGGCTGACTTATCCAACTAGATATAAAAAATGTATTGCAAAATACTGTAAAACAGTGCCATATTGGACCAACAATTAACCTGTATCCTTTTCCCAAAAATACGAAATGCCCTCTTTATTATATAGTAAATTCTCACATATATTTGAATCTGCAAATCCATGATTAGAATATATTCAAAAATAGATTCAAATATATAAGGGATGAATTATTCAATAAAAATATGAGTGCAACTGGTTAGCCATTTGGATATGAGAAAGCTAGATCTATACCATGTTTCTTATATCCAATTAAACCTAGATAGAGCCAACATTGAAATATTAAGTATGAAACCAAATTAACCCAATAGAAAGGAGAAGGATACAGGAATGCGGTTGTAAAAATTAAGTTAGAAACCAATAAAAATGACAGTAGTAAAAACACTAATAAATCTAAGTAGATACTGAGTCAAAAAACAATGTCTACTTTAGGGAAACTTAAGAACAATGTGAAACTAAAATATAAGACAAAAAATGATTTGGAAGATGAGACTGGGGTAGATCAGAATTAACATCTTTAAGGTCCCTGTATTGTTCAGAAGGCAGATAAAAATACCAAATACCGTTAGCTATTGTAAGTACACATTTTCAATATTTAAGGGTTACCTCTGTAAGAAAAGAAATCGAGTGACTAAATTTCAAGCCAGTAGAAGGAAATACAGGGGGACATAAGCAAACTGAATCAATCTAACAAAGGAGAAAGGAGAAAGAACACAGAAAGGGAAAAACATGATTAAGGGGATATATAAAACAAAATGGCAGATGCAAGCCCAAATACATCAGTAATCACAATGGATGTAAATGGATCAAACTCATTATTAAAAGGCAGAATATCAGATTGACTGAAAACAATAAACATCGGCTATATGCATATAAGACATACATTTAAAGCAAAGGGATACAGAAAGGTTAAACACAAAGGGCTAGAAAAAAGATATACCAGGAAAATATTAACCAAAGCCAGTTTGGGTATGTTAATATGAGAGAAAATAGAATCCAAGGCCCACAGCACTATAGGAATAAAGAAATACTTCAAATAATAAAATTAATCCACACACAGAATAAGTCAATCATATAATAGGATGCAATAAGATATCCTCAAAATATGTGGGGCAAACTGTCAGGCCTATAAAGAGACATGAATAAAACTGTCATCTTTTTTTTTTTTTAAAGATTGACACCTGAGCTAACAACTGTTGCCAATCTTCCTTTTTTTTCTTTCTGATTTTTCTCCCCAAATTCCCCCAGTACATAGTTGTATGTTTTTTAGTTGTGGGTCCTTCTAGTTGTGGCATGTGGGACGCCGCCTCAGCATGGCCTGATGAGCAGTGCCATGTCCGCACCCAGGATCCGAACCAGCGAAACCCTGGGCCCCCGCAGCGGAGTGCATAAGCTTAACTACTTGGCCACGGGGCCAGCCCCCAAACCATCATCTTATTGAAAAAGCGTTAACTCAAGCTGGCAAAATCTAGAACAAGTATCATATATTTATATGGCATAATTAACAATATATATTCTCCATGAGAATTCTTTTTAAGTACACACGGAATATTAATAAAAAGTCACTATGCAGAGAACAATAAATTCCAATATTTCTCAATAAATATTTCTCAATTCTCAATAAATCCCAAATAATTGATAACATCCTCTGACCAAAATGCAATTAAGTTAGAAACAAAGAATAAAAAAGATAATTAACAGATAACTCATTGGTTAAAGAGAAACTCATAAGAGCTACAAAATAGAAATAAAAATAAAATTACTCTGTAACAAGGCTGCTGAATGCAGCTAAATGGTTTTTCAAAAATCAAAAAGATTGGAAATAAATGAGCTAAATACTGAAGTCACGAAGCCAGAAGCTAGAAGAACCTAATAAGCCACAGAAGAAAGCAAAATAAACAGTAGAAATTAATGAGACCACCAAAAAATCAATAGAGAACAACAACCAAAAATCAGTCTTGTTCTTTGAAGTTTAATAAAATAGACAAAACTCTACTAAGGTGGGCCAAGAAAAAAGAGCAAAGACATAAAAATAATATTAAAAATGGAAAAGGGGACATACACAGATTTTCGAAACTTGCAAGAAAACACTAGAAACAATTTTATATCAATAAATTTGAAAACCTAGATGAATTGGACAATTTTCTAAAATGTATACCTAACCAAAATTGACTCAATCAAAAGCATTAAATATAAGTAGACTCTAAGCTTTACATAAATTTAAAATAGTTTTAAAAACTCCTCCTTCTAACAACCTCTAATTACTCCCCCCACTATTCACCTCAGAATAAATATTAGGCACAAAGCACTTTATAGGCAAGTTTTACCAAACATTCAAAGAGGTTAATTCTTATCTTACAGAACCTGCTGTCTAGATGGCGGGACAGGTGAGGAAGGCAGAGCTGCTCAAACTTCCCGGAGCCGGTGACTGGCCCGCCCGCGGGTGGGTGAAGAGGGGGTCTGGGCTAACGAGGGAAATGAACGCAGGTTGACTTTGAGAGGCCTGGAACCATTAGAATTTAAATGCCCAATTCTGTTTTAAAAGATCATTTAATGAGGTTTATAAGTTTGATATCAAAATAAGACAAAGCCACTACAAAAAAAATGAAATTGTAAAGCAATCTCACCTCTAAAGTCTGATGCCAAATCATGTGACTAGCTCTGCAGGGTAAGTGTTATTATGGCCACTTCATTGATGAGCAAAGTGGAGATAGCTAACTCACCAGGGCCACGTGATTCCTGTCCACTCTGCTCTTTCCTCTCCTCTCTTCAGGGACAGGACTAGAGAGCTAAGGTCCCCGTCCCTCTAGCCTTCCACAACTAAAGGGATTTCCAGGCGGCCCAATGGAGGGAGAAGACCTCCCAGCTGGGTACTCACCAGGATGGGCTCCACCAGCTTCCCCTCCGGCATGGCCGAGCTGTTCATCTTGGCGATGCTCTCCAGCGTGGTCATGGCAGCCTGAGTGTTCCCGGTGGAGACATTGAAGCGAGCAGATTCAGGAATAAACTGGGCACAGATGACAAAGAACATCAGAGTTGCAACTGCTGTGGACCCCAGGGGTATGGCGATTATTGCTCCGTATACTATGCCGTCCCGGTTTCCCGAGAAGGGACAGATTGTAGAAAGCTTAAAGGCCTGCAATATCCCAGGTGTTCTCTTGCATTCAAAGTTGATTTGGAACGAAAAAGGTCGTGTTCTGCTTATCATAGCCCCGTCTTGGATGACAGCAGGGTGATACTGAGCTTCCCACAAATTCAACCCAAACTACTTGTTAATACAATGAAATTCTTACATCTAATTGGTAATAGCTGCTGCCCCAGGGCCCTGGTGCCTCTCCACTGCTCTGTCAACCCAGCCCCCCTCCAGGAACCCCGGGACCTCCCCATATCACAACATCCTAAAGGGTGATCACGGCAGGGGCCTCCAGCACCCATGAGGTGGAGGGAATCAGTCCTATTTGTCGAGGCCCTCAGCCCCCTGACTGTTCAATACTTTGAACACCACACTCAGAAAATAGTATGGGCCTCCACAGAAGCTGGGACCTTGAGAATCAACTTGGGCTGTCCCCTGCGCCCCATGCCTCACACCCAGTCAAGGCTGGTTGGTTCTTCCTCACACAAGTGTCTCCCCCAGCAGCACCCTCCTCCCCATTCCCACGGCCAGCAGGCTGTTCACGTCCTCCTCATCTCCCAGTGAGATTATTCCAACACTTTCTAACTGCTTTTCTCGCCCTTTCAGTCTTCCCTCCCTCCCAGGATCCACACTGCCACGTGCCAGCTTCCTGGCACGTAACCCCTTCCACACCTCCAGCACCCCCGGCCTTCGAGGCCCTTCGTAATCTGGACACAGGCTGCCTGCCACCAGCACCCCTGACTCCACCATTCCAGCCTCCCTGCATTTTCACACCTTCGTGACCGGGCTTGTGCATCAGTCCTGCCAAAGTGCCCTTGCCACACTCTCTGGCTGTCCGAGGCAGTCTGTTCTACTCCACAAGGTCCAAATTCAACAGCGTAACCCCACTGGAATAAACCACTCTCTCCGCTGAGCACCCACAGAACTTGAGCTGTTCTAGCACTTGTCCAAGTCAAGTTGGTATTATCGCTCTTTGCATTTGTATCCATCTCTCTCTGATTGGCTAGAGCTCCTTAAAGGCTTCAACTGTGTCTTGTGTATCTTTTTAGCCTTGGAATCTGTGCTGAGCCTGGTCTATACTCAATGTGAGAGTGAAGAACTAAACGACAAGATCAAGATTCAAAATAATGATTTTTTAAAAGCTCCACAGCCGACACACATGGAATACTGTTCATGTTCCAGGCACCAAATGAAGAGAGTTTTACAGTCGATCTTGTTTAATCCTCATGTGAAATGAGTTGACAACAGTGACTCCATTTTGCACCCTGGACTCTGTCTTGTTAAAAAAAAAAATGAAACTGTGCTGACCTTGCTGACTTGCCAAAAGGGAGTTATTTGCTGAGGAAAGACTTTCTGAAGGACTGCAAAATATACTTTTTCTGGTAGCAACAAGATGTCCTTGAGTAAGCCAACGAACTGTAACATAAATTTACGCTCCCTACCAAACCACTGGAGAGATTGTTCTGGGCTCTCCTTTTTGCTAATAAAAACTCCTGAGTTTTACTCCTCAAGGGGACATTTTTCTGGCTGCTGCCAGAATTTGTGTTGCCTGAATTTCAGTTCTAAGACCCCAAATAAACGCTCTCCTTTTGTTTTGCAATTGCCTCTTTTTTCTAAGCTGACACTCACAACAGCCCTACGAGATACACACTATTCATTAGGCACAAAGGCCGGGGGCGGGGGGGGGGGCGGGGCGTGATGTGCCCAGGATGGTGGAGCCAGGACTCTTGTCTAGATAGTCTGGTTCCAGAACCAACAGACCGCACTGCCTCCCTAGCGGTAAACCCAGGCAAGATGGGACATGGGGCTAAAGCCACATGACGAAATGTGACTATTTGAAAGTAGAGTGCTACATTGGGATTTAAGAAAACATATCCATCCCCAATTACAGGTTTCAGGTGTCCAGGCTTGGAAACAACTTACTTAGAACAGATCTTGGGGTTGTAGCTAATCCTAAGTCCAACTGTGGGGTGAAGCTGGCTAAGAAGCCATGCAGTCTTAGGCCACACAAACAGAGGCAGACAGTCTGCTCACAGGAAGCAGCAGGCCCACTAAGCCCCCGGCTCCAGAGCACCTGGGGCCTGTGTGTGAGGCTGAGCAAGAGTCCTCTTCAGAGAAGACACTGACCAACTGGCTTCATCCAGAAGAAAATAGACAGGGCTGTGGGACCAGGTGCTGCGAGAAAGAGTCGAAGGTAATGGTCTTGTTTAGTTTAGAGAAGGGAAGCCTTTGTTGAGCCGGATTCTAAAATATTTTGAGGGATATCATCTTGAAGATAGACCTCCGTTTTCCAGACAGAAGTACTAAGACCCCAGGTAAATTCATGAGGAGGCAAGTTCCGCTCAACATAAGAAAGAGCTTCCCAACAGCCAGGGCTGCCTGGAGCTGGCAGCTGCTGTGGTGTCTATAAAGTGGTCATTTCCTGAAGCTGGGCGTGTTCTGGCAAAGACAGGGGATACCTGCATTGGCGGAGGTTTAGAATAAATGACTCTAAGGACCCTTCTGAATTCTGAAATACTTTGATTCCATGGGGTAGGTGACACAAACAGAAAACAGAAAACAGATCCCAGTTCCACTGAGCTGCCAACTCTGTCTTGGAACAATGAGCAGAATTCTACTAGAAGCTAAGGAAGATGATCATTCTACAGTTGAACAGCTTATAGGTTAGAAGGAGAACAAACTAGCAGATCCACTGTGGCCTGAGAACATGTAAAAGGCATGAGGACTAGGGGTTAGAGAGAGGTCAGCCCAAATAGGGTCAAGTTGTCAGAAGAAACTTCCAGGAATAAATGATAAGGCAGGCTAAAGGGGGTGAAGGATGCAAGCTGATTGAGACAGATTCTGGGATAAAGGAAAGAGGTGGATATGATTAAGATATCTCTGGGGCAAAAAGGCCACTGGGCCAGCTGGAGAGGAGGACAAGAAGGGTGAGCTTCCTCATGCCCCATTAGCTCCCTCATGCCCCATTAGCTCCCTCACCTTGAAGGCCATGATGAGGATGATGCCAGGAATGGAGGCGATGCGGATGAGCCAACGCCACCCAATGGTGGGGATGACCACAGAGGCCAAGCCGATGATAAGCAGGGAGCCAGCAAGCCAGAAAACCTAGGGAGAGACATGGAAGATTAAAATTCCTCCTATCAAATGTGCTCAACATTTCCGCTCTCAGGAGCCGCCCTGCCTAACAGTTTACCAGTATGACAGGGCGAGCTGAGAGTCTTTGATTGAGGGGTGGAAGGTTCAGGTTCTCCTCCCAGGACTACCTCCAGGATTTGGATGAATTGAGAAAGTCACAGCAGTTCTCTGCAGCTCAGTTTGCTTACATGTAAGTGGGAGACTCAGCTAGACAGAGGACAGTAATGTCACCAAAGTTTTAAAAATCCGGGCCCCAAGACAGTAACTTTTTTTTTTTTTTAGAGGTGAAGGAAAAAGATTTTATTATAATGCAAGACTTGCAAGTAGGGAAAAGGATTTTTAAAAGATATTTTCAGCACATTGCTTTCATTGCTTCTCAAATCCTGTGTTTCTTTCAGCAAACATTTATCGGTACCTACCGTGTGCCAAAAATGATGCTCAATACTAGGAAGATACAAAGATGAACACAATAGAATCCCTACCTTGCAGGAATTCACCATTTAATAATGGAAATCACCACAGAATGTGACAAATAGGAACATAGATGACAGAGCAACTAACTTTGTTCAGCTACAGACTTGCATACACCAGTACCCTTGGAAGGGAAGTGCCATGCCCTGAAAGGGATAGTAGCTGTGTCTCTCCACTGAAGACTCAGCGAGGGGAGAAAGTTCCTCTCATGTGCATTCCTGGGCTTCTATCATTCCAGTGAAACCAGCCATTGCAATGTTCCCTGGTTATTGAGGAAGGGGTTACTGTGTTCTAAACGCTACTGTTGGATGATAAAGTCCTGGCTGAGAAAACCTTGGAACTGGACCTCTGGCATCAAGCATTTCCAATACTCTTTGGCTGGTACCAAGCAATAGGCGGTGTGCTAATCAAAGAACAATCAACTGGCCAGGAGGAAAACCATGTACGTCATATCCCATAGTATCAGAAGACTGGGGAGAATTCCTGCGGTCCCTTACCTGAGACAAGGGGAGCATGTAGCCTCGATATTTTGTAGGCAAAAATTCCGTCTTTATGATTAGCCTAAACAGGAAGCAGGGAAGACACAATCATTGCACTTTTATAAAACCAAATAACTTTTGATAACAATCGTAATTTTTCTTGTCACAGAGATAAAGAATTAAAAAACACAGACATTCATCATTGTACTTCCCGCTAATATTTGGCCTTTGACTCTGGTTTCTGACCCAGAGCTCCTGAAACCCTTAGAATTTCCTGGGGAATAGAACCGTCTTTTGTTCTAATGAGGTGACTCTTGGTGGACTTCTGAATGGGGGCTGGTCACTAGAAAGACCAAGCCATGCTTAGGAGCTTGGAACTTTCAGCCTACTCCTCTATCCTCCAGAGAGAGGAGAGAGGCTGGAAAATGAATAAATGATCAATCATGCCTACACGGTGAAGCCTTCATAAAAATCCCTAACACAGAAGGGTCAGAGAGCTTTCAGGTTGGTGAACACGTCTACGTGCGAGGAGAGTGGTACACCCCAACTCTGCAAAGACAGAAGCTCCTGGGCTTCTATCATTCGAGGGTGCTTGGGACCCTCCTGGACCTCACCCTACGTATCTGTTCATCTGGCTGTTCATTTGTATCCTTTCAAATATCCTTTGTAATAAATACTCCTTTTGCAATAGTAAGTAAACTGTTTTCCTGAGTTGTGTCCACCACTCTAGCAATTGCTCACATCCAAGCACAAAGTCCCAGGAACTTCCACTTTGCAGCCGATTGGACGGAAGTGGTGGGTAAGCTAAGGCTCTACTACTTGCCAGTGGTGCCTGAAGTAGGGGACCGTCTAAGGGACTGGGCCCTTAACCTGTGAGTTCTGCCCTAACTCTGGTTAGGGTCAGAAGGGAACTGAATTGTAGGACATCCAGTTGGTGTCAGAGAATTGGTTGGTGTGGGAAAAATCCACACATCAGTGTTAGAAGTAAAGTATTGTTAAAAAAAAGAAGTGAAGTATTGTCAGAAGCAGTGAGTGCACGTGTGTAAAGGAAAACAGAAGAGAGTTTTTCCTAGGCAATCAAACATCAAAATATAATTGTTACTTGGAACAGAATTGAAAGCCCAGAAATAAAACCACACATCTATGGACAGCTAATCTTTGACAAAGGAGCAGAGGGCCTACAATGGAGGAAAGAAAGTCTCTTCAACAAATGGTGCTGGGAAAACTGGACAGCCACATGTAAAAGAATGAAAATCAACCATTCTTTTTCACCATTTACTAAAATAAACTCAAAATGGATCAAAGACCTAAAGATTAGGCCTGAAACAATAAGTCTTCTAGAAGAGAATATCGGCAGCACATTCTTTGACATCAGCTTCAAAAGAATTTTTTCGGACACCATAACCCCTCACATGAGGGAAACAATAGAAAGAATAAACAAATGGGACTTCATCAGGCTAAAGAGCTTCTTCAAGGCAAGGGAAAACAGGATTGAAACAAAAAAACAGCCCACTAATTGGGAAAAAATATTCACAAGTTATTTATCCGATAAAGGGTTAATCTCCATAATATAAAGAACTCACACAACTCAACAATAAAAAATCAAATAACCCAATTACAAAATGGGCAGGGGACATGAACAGACATTTCTCCAAAGAAGATATATGGATGGCCAATAGACACATGAAAAGGTGCTCATCATCACTAATCATCAGGGAAATGCAAATCAAAACTACACTAAGATATCACCTTACACCTGTTAGAATGGCAAAAATATCCAAAACCAAGAGTGACAAATGTTGGAGAGGCTGTGGAGAAAAGGGAACCCTCACACACTGTTGGTGGGAATGCAAACTGGTGCAGCCACTATGGAAAACAGTATGGAGATTCCTCAAAAAGTTAAGAATAGAAATACCTCATGACCCAGCCATCCCACTACTGGGTACATATCCTAAGAACCTGAAATCAGCAATTTCAGAAGCTCTATGCACCCCTATCTTCATTGCAGCATTATTCACAATAGCCAAGTTGTGGAACCAACCTAAGTGCCCAGCAACTGATGACTGGATAAAGAAGTTGTGATATATATATATATATATATATATATATATATATACAATGGAATACTACTCAGCCATAAAAAAGGACAAAGTTGTCCCATTCACAACAACATGGATAGACCTTGAGAGTATTATGTTGAGTGAAATAAGCCAGACAGAGAAAGACGAACTCTGTATGACTCCATTCATAGGTGGTAGTTAACATATGGACAAAGAGAACTGATCGGTGGTTGCCAGGGGAAAGGGGGGTGGGGGGAGGGCACTAGGGGTGAAGTAGTGTAACTACAACATGACTAATAATGATGTACAACTGTAATTTCACAATGATGTTAACTTTCATAACCTTAAAAAAAACAAATTATAAAAATATATATATATAATTGTTACAGCTAATATCCACATAAGAGGACAATACGAAGTAAACTTACAACTACTCTTTTGTTTACATTTTTATTCCCCAAATTGTTGAAAGTCAAAGTAATCTATTCCCAAAGTTCTCTCTTACCATTGAAGAGATATTAGCCTTATCTCTTTTGCCAAGAGAAATGTTGGCAAAATGTTTTGCTAAGCCTGATTCTCTTTTCTAAGACACACTCAGGAAATTAAAATACATCCAAGAGAAGATAGTTTCCCCAACTAACGATGACAATCACAGCACAGGTTTCTAATTAGGTACATGTTAAATCTGTGAGTACAAGAATAAGTGGAATCATATTCCATCAGTGTTCTAATCGCTCTTCTCTGTTGCAGTTATTAGCCAGAATTTGGGGGGTTTACCATATTTATTGGGCTGCCTGAGGGATGTTTTAAAATTCTACCTAACTTCTTTTCTTCTATGCCTTCAAAACTCAGAGTGGTGCTTAACTCATGCCCCAAGGAAGAACAATTCTTTCCCTAACACATTAAGGTAATAATTAGGTGCTTTGACATCTCCTAATACATTCTAAGGGTAACTTGCTCCAAGGCCCTGGGGAGAGAATAGCCTGAGGGGTCCTGTTAATTAAAGGGAGGCTCCCAAGTTGCTGAACATTTAGCATAACAACTTTCCTGCCCGTGCACAATAAGATATTGCACACCTATCCAAGGGCAGAAGAAAGACAAGCCGCAGCACCGCTCTTTCAACACATCTCAGCCTGCTTTGCGAATTCACTTTGACACAGTCTTAAATTACAGGGCGATGGCACTGTAAAACGGTTGTTCCTAAATGTTAAAGGTGCTTACGGTCAAGCTAAACTCTTCCCCCAAATTCTCAAGAAATTAATAGATGGTGTTTGGCTTGATATTTTTGTTACCTACCTAACATGGCACTTTTTGTTCCCATTCAGTCTAACAAAATATTATTCATCTAAAAAATAATCATCAGCCTTAGGAACTAAAAAGTTAACACACGCTCAATCTAGCAGTCTGCTAGCCACACCATCAAACATCGTTTTTATGAGCAAATAGTTTCTAGTGGAATAAGCAGCCATCACTTTTTTAAAAAGCTCAAAAATAATTAGCACAAGAGAAGTCTATACAGTTGCAACTTATTGATGCTATGAGTCCATTAAGCACAGTGTAGGTGTAAGTATCGGTGGGTGAGCACACATCTCTCTCAAGGATCCTCTAGGGAAGACTTTACCCTTGCGCATGGCCAGACACGCCACAGCCCACCATTGTCCGCAGGAAGACAAACCAGATGTACGAGGGAGAGAAAGAGGTCAGCAAGGAGAAGTAGGCTCCCCACAGGAACGAGATGAGCAAAATCTGAAGCAACAAAAGGAGACATATTAATGGGACCTGCCTCAATGGAAAGTAGGGGAGGAAACCTAACGTCTGAAGGTGATTTTTAGTTTTCAGCCAGATGTCTGCTTCTCTGAAGAGCTAACCTACAGCCAGCCCACTGATCTCACACAACCAGCAGACAATACAATCCATGCCTTTCAATTGTCTGAAAGCCCAGACGTTCTGAGTTTAGACCGTTCTTCAAAACTGCCCAGCTGCGTCCACCCTCACAGGTAGCAGGAACCTGAACTTGTAAATCCGAATGCAAAAACTTGCCAGCCCTGTTCACAGGGGTGTCAGGAACACAATGGAGCATTGTGTTGGAATGTGTATAAGGAGAAAATTTAATTTTTTCTCTAATTATAAGAATAATACAAGTTCATAGTAGAAAAAGATCAATAAAAATATTTAAATCACCCTTGATTCTGCATCCCAGAGAGAATACTCTTGACACAGTTTTATCCTATTTCCCCTGTTTGTAAGGGAAAGCGTATTTTTAATGGCTGCAAAACATTCTAGTGGAAAGATATACTACAATACATGTAATGTAATGCATCAACCTTTCCCCAATTGTTGAATGCTGAGGTTTTTTCACATTTTCTTGCTATTAAAATCAGCTGTGATGATGCCTATGCATAAATCTTTGTGGTTCTCTGATGATCTCAACAGGCTAGATTTCTGGAAGGCAAATTATCAGGTTAGGAGAATGGATATCCTTAAAATTCTTAATTCATACTGCCAAGCTGATGATGAGAAAAATTTCACCAATAGTACATGGGAGTATCCGTAAACTTGCAGGGTCTTTAAGACAAAGAAAAATTCCTTATAGATTTGATGTTTGATACGCATTCAATACGAAAAAATTATGTCTTGTTTTGTAATTTTGCTTTTGCTAACTCCTCTGACTGAATGTTTTTCAAGGTTTCTCGACCATTTGTATTTCTTTCTCCTCTTTTTTTTGAGGAAGATGAGCCCTGAGCTAACTGCTGCCAATCCTCCTCTTTTTGCTGAGGAAGACTGGCCCTGAGCTAACATCCATGCCCATCTTCCTCTACTTTATATGTGGGACGCCTGCCACAGCATGGCTTGCCAAGCGGTGCCATGTCCATGCCCGGGATCCGAAATGGCGAGCCCTGAGCCGCTGAAGCGGACATGTGCACTTAACCTCTGCGCCATGGGGCTGGTCCCGTATTTCTTCTTTTATAAAATGCCTTTTCGTACTCTTCACATTTTTTGAGATACTTGTGCTGTCTGATTAATTTATGAGACTATGATATTTATTTTGTGTGCTTCAAAACATACAGCCAATTCTGTTAATGTTTTCGTTGGGAGCTTCTCCCTTTGTGTTTCCCCTTAGAGAGGCCTTCCCCACTAGAAATCAGACTAGAAAAGAAGAGAGATCTGGGTTTGTAATCAGAAGACATGGGTCCGTGTCCTGATGTTTAATCTCAGTAGGTGTGTGACCTTGAGCAAGCGGCTTAGTTCCAAAGCTATATCAACGTTGGCTAATGTGAAGCTTCTTACGTTTATATGTGGAAGTTCCCACATCATAATGTGTGCTAACTTCGCGCATCCATCGCCTCCGTACCCGTCACACCGGGGATGAGGTCGGGGGAGAGGGACCGTAGGGAAAGATGAGAAAACAAGAAGGCAAGCCTGGAACCCAGGCCTGTGATGTCAGAGAAGGACACTTCCGCACTTTCTGTCTTGGGTGTTCAGAGAGAAATGTCTAGTAAAGAGCAGGGGTGACATGGCCACAGAGGAATACACGAGAGAAAATCCCAAATCACCCTTCGAGACCAACCTACCTTCCAGCGGCCATATCTGTCAGCCAAGAGGCCGAAGACGATGCTGAATACCATGTAGCCAAAAAACACCATCTGTAGGTGGGGCGAGAGAAATGATCCTCTAAACAGAGTTGTTATGATCCGCTAATTCACTGCATGAATTCATGCATGCTTCACCCATCTTCACTAAAAGTAGACTGGGCACGTGAGGGGTGGGACTTGAAGAAACGGTTCTCACAAAGTGCAACCCTGAGTCCTGTTTCACACGTCCAGGCATCAGAGGCTGATACGTCTCATCGGCTGACCGCGCGCCTGGCGACACTGCCACCAGGTGGAAACGGGGGTCGAAGGAGCAGGAATCTGCTGCCCCTCTGATCCGAGATGACGGCATTGGCCCACTCTGCTCAGACGTATAATTGTAAATTTCCATTTTAGTTACAGAAAAAGATGAAAATATAGTCATGTGTGCTCTGCCTTATTCCACACACAAGTTGAGACTTCCAGAAGGAGTCTCCTTTATGTTACTACAGGTGAACATAAACTTTAAACAAATACCAAAACCCATCATTCATTTAGAAACACTCTTCAAAACTAATAAACCCACTTCTTTTCCTTACTTGTTCTCACAGTGGCTGGTCCTACCCTGAAAAAATTCAAGAACCTGGAGACGATGCCAGCGTTTTCAGTCAGCCTGAGCTGTGATCCGACGTCTGTGCCTTCAGGAAGCTTATTTTTCCCGCTTCAAGCAGTTCCAGTGCCACCTGCTTTCCTTTCTAGTCAGATCCCTGACTGATTGCTTCCAGGGAAATCAAAGGACAGGTGTTAGCTGGCATTTCTAACACTTTTTCAGTGAAAAACTCTGTTTCTCTCTGCTGCCTGCTTTGCTTTCCCTTTCTCTCCCTTCCTCACTCCTCATAAGGAAGACTCAAACACATTTCCTCCACAGGGAACTATAAAAAACCATCACGTCGGGCCATCCCGGGTAGGTTCAGTGAGCTCTGCTTTGGCGACCAGGGTTTGGTTCCCAGGTGTGGAACTACAGCGCTCTGTTAGCGGTCATGCTGTGCTGGTAGCCCACATACAAAAAACAGAGGAAGATTGGCATGGATGTTAGCTCAGGGTGAATCTTCCTCAGCAAAAAAACAAAAACAAAAAAAATCCCACAAAAAACCCATCATATCTATGCTTGAAAGACAAAAGCTATGCTTTTCCTCTGTGTACCGTTCTTTCTAGGATGGACTGGGAGGGAAAAAGCTAATGCTTTCTAAATGAAAGTCCTGGGGTGGATGTTGCACTGTGATGAAATCTAACCAGTCCTCAGCAAAACGGTAAAAATAAGGACAATGTGATACATTTTCATAAATCTAAATTTATTAAATATGAAGGCCTCTTTTCAATCTGGAATAATTTTCTTTCTGATTATTGGTAATAATGTGCCCTTCTTTTTTGAAAGGTGATGGTAATTGGTGGCAAGATTTTCTACCTTTTTCTCTTCTTCTAATGGCCTTACTTGTCAAATATATATATATTTTTAATGTCAACCACTCAATATTTTTAAAAATCATATCAGTTGATGAATTCCAAAATTTGGGTGCCCCTGAATTTAAGTAGTTTCTATTGTGGAGCCAGAAATTATCAAATTTCCTCCAAGAAGAGAAAGGTGAACGAATAGTTTTTCTTTTTCCCAGACTTGAATAAAAGGAAGCAACAGACAAACCGCCTAAGGCAGGGAGGAAACTGCCTCTATGGACTTAAAATATTTTTGTTTATTGAGATGCTGTGTTGTGTAAACAGACTAAATTGCAACTGGATTCAAATAAATTAGCCAAGGGCCAGCTCCTGCTCTGTGGCAGAGTGATTGGGTTCGTGCGCTCCGATTCAGTGGCCCTGGTTTTGCTGGTTCGGATCCTGGGCGCAGACATGGCGCCGCTCCTCTGGCCATGCCGAGGCGGCATCCCACATGCCACAACTAGAAGGAGCCACAACTAAAATATACAACTAGGTACTGGGGGGATTTGGGCAGGGAAAAAAAAAAGGTTGGCAACAGTTGTTAGCTCAGGTGCCAATCTCTAAAAGAAATTAAAAAATAATAAATTAGCCAATTAATAAAGGTGAAGGAAATAGTCAAATAAGATTAAATTTAAAATTTACTCTATTCTCTCCCATAAGTGGCAGATTTTTTATTTTCTTGTTTTCTTTCCACTCAGTATAAAGAAATGACTTTCATAAGACTGAGTTGTTTACTGCCTGTCTGGAACACGAACCTTGACTCAAACGTTATGTGAACCCCAAAGCTTGTGACCTCTGTAACCCTGTGTGGGAGATGGCATAGAGACATAAAGCTCCCTCTCCCTCCCTCTCTCCCCATCTTGCCTTTTGGAGCGTCTGCTCTTTTCTGCAGATACTTATTTTTAGTATTAAAATGACTCTCCTGTTTCTGATTTATGCACCACATGAAGTTTTGTTTCTTCAGCACTAACTCTCTTATTCACAAAACGTGGGGACATAGTTCACCCACAGTCCTTGGGTTACTCATTAACAACTGCTCACCCAGAAAGTGGATGTGGAGTTGGGAGCTGGGAAACCCGGGAGATGGTGAAAATGTTGCCTCTTTGCTAAATCATTCTGCACCCCTCCCATTAGTGAGGTTGTGGTCACTGAGCTCAGAGGACAGTTGCCAAAGTCCGATGGGACCCACAGCCAGGATGACAGAGAGTAAAGGACAGGAGGACATGAGGAACTCAGAGCAGGAAACAGTCACATCTTAGATGAGTTTCATCACCTAGAGAAGTCTTCTGAGCTGTGACCCACCTAACAAGGGAAGTCACATTACTGCTGATATTAAGGAGCCACTTCTTTTTTTCGCTTGAGGGAGATTCACCCTGAGCTAACATCTGTGCCAGTCTTCCTCTATTTTGTATGTGGGTTGCTGCCATAGCATGGCTGATAAGTGCTGTAGGTCCACACCCAGGATCCAAACCTGTGCACCCAGGCGGCCAGAGCAGAATGCGCCAAACTTAAACACTAATGCCACAGAGCCAGCCCTTTAAGGATCCTCTTTAGGCACCATTAGAAATGATATAAAGGTAACCAATGAAATGGGAGCTGTGAATACAGAAATTTACCATGTAATACAGACAGTCCCTGGCTTACAATGGTTTGATTTATGATTTTTCAATTGTATGATGGTGTGAAAGCCATACGCATTCAGTAGAAACTGAATTCGAAGCAGTACTTCGAATTTTGAATTTTGATCTTTTCCCAGGCTAGCAACATGTGTCCCGATCCTCTCTCATGATGCTGGGCAGCAGGCTCAGCTCCCAGGGAGCCACATGATCACAAGTGTCAACCACTGATACACCTATAACCATGCTGTACCCGTCCAGCCATTCTGTTTCTCACTATCAGTACAGTCTGCAGTCAATTACATGAGATATTCAACACTTCATTATAAAATAGGCTTTGTGTTAGATGATTTTGCCCAACCACAGGCTAATGTAAATGTCCTGAGAACATTCAATGTAGGTTAGGCTAAGTTATGATGGGTTGGTAGGTTAGGTATGTTAAATGCATTTTCAACTTGCGGTGGATTTATCAGGACATATCCCCATTGTAAGTCAAGGAAAATAAGCATAATTTTGTGGAAGTGACAGATGCAACATTCTCAGGAACGAAGACACACTACATGCGGGTTGTGGAGCGGTTACAATTGCACAGCAATCACTCTCAGGGTACAAGGATTGACAAGGAATACTTTCTCAGTTGCAACTATAGTTTACGTGTAACAGGAAATGAAAAATGGCAGAGTCACTTAATTGCAATTTGTACCTTCTCTCTTTTCTAAAAAAAAAGAGCAGATGCCACAGGATTAATAACAGAGGAATTTTCATGAGGGAAATGCAACTAAGAGAATAAGTGCAGATTTGTACCTTTGCTGCCATGATTGGGCATAAAACTGGCCTCCAAATTTCCTGGCCTCCAAGACACAGAAATAAACACTACTGGGCATATAATACACATTATCTGAGAGGAGAGCTCAGATCAGTTACTCAGGTGAGGGAGAATTTTTCCTGGTTCCCAAAACACTTGAGAATTCCCAGGTAAAATTTGGTTAAGAGTGCGTGAGAGGTGGGAACACCCTCTCCCCTGAAGCCTTCCACTACTCTCTGCCCACAAGCCCCGGAAGGTTGAGGGGGGAGGGGGAAACCTCGGGCTTTCTCCACTGCCAGCCTCAGACCATAACTCGCACTCTCTTACGGAGCCTTATCCTCCTCAAGGCCTCTGCCATCTGACTCTGTCATCCTCTACCCATCACCATCAACCTGCCCCCGAAATGCTCTCCTCTTTTGGTGAGGATGTTAGCCCCTCCAAGTTCTGCCTTCGTGAAAACCAACTTCAGTACCCAAGTAAATCAACGCTCTACTCCTCGCCTTGTGTTTCTTTGACCTCCTTGGCTGATGTGACCGCCTTAGTTAACGTTACCTCCTAACTATTTCCAGAACACACTTTCTCACCTCCACGCACTGTAACTTCACCACTGCCACAGCCTCCTAACATATCTACCCTCCAGCCGTCTCTCCTCAGGGTTCTTAGAAACTGACCATGTCCCTCTTTAAACCCCTTCAATGGCTCCCCATCATCCACAGTGTGGCCTCTAACATTATTATGCATGAAAAGCCTCTTTTAAGATTACAAAAAGACTTAGCAGAGCTCTGCATGATAAAAGGTGTACTTTAATATTCATTTGATGAGGAATACATAATGACCATGAAGTCAATGACGCGTTTTAGGTAAAATTGATTTTTGTTATACAAAAGGGTAATTTGAAAAAGTGTCATACATATTTGTGCCAACTATTTTTTGCTTGAAGGGCTGTGCACTTTGGCCCAAGTTGGGGCGTATCGGCCTGCAGTGGTCTACAGAATGGAGTCCACGGGCAGACTCTGAGCCACCTCTCGCCCCTGCCTGTCTCTGCAACCTTGCCTCCCATTGCACCTTCTTCTTCACTTTCTGTTTACACAACATGGAACTGCTTATACTCCCTCCAACACACATGCACACACACAGTCTACTGGCAATTCATTGGTACTTAATAAGTACCTTTTGAAAGAATGATGGGTGATATCCTTAATTCCACTTTGTGGCAAAACTCAGTGTCCAACCATAAGGTTATTCCAAATAGTCTTTGAGAAAAGTTGGATGAGTAACACAATACAGTTCAATGAGGGTGATTTGGTGATTGAAGTCACTATGGCCCAACTAAGTAGCCTCTTAGTAATCTGAACTAATAGTTAATAGTTAGTTAAACCATAACTAACCTATGACTCAAGGGTCATTTTCTCTGATTCACATTTATCTCTTCAGGGCTCTCGCCAGGAGCCGGAAAATAAGTAGTTCAAGGTTATGCTTCCCAGGGGAAAACAGGAAGGGCAGAAAGGCCTCAAGTGCTAGTTTGGTCCCGCAAACCCATGAGCTTTGGGGGCCAACACACCAAGTAGTGAGGTATCCTTTGGCTCTGGGCCCTGTGGGATGGGGACAGGGGAGCAGAATCTCTGGGTCCTCAGTTAGCTCATTCACAGCACAGGAAGCTGGAACTCACCGTGGTCACTAACGCCACCTGCCAATTCTCCAGCTGCCATTCACAGCGGATGACGGGAGATACAACCGCTATTAACATGATCTCCATGGCCTCGACCACCTTAAAGAAAAAGGAGGGAAGTGATATGTCTAAGTGCTAGTCTGTCGTTACTTCTTCCGACGTCTGTCTGTCCATCATCCTCCGAGTCCTAACCTCCTCCTACCCCTCCCGCTCTTTGGGAGCACCTGTTGTGTACCCACTCAGCACTGCTAGTTGGATAAAGAAGTATGGAACTTTAGTTTTCATGGATGTAGCATTTACAGTTTGAACGAGTTGAGAAGGCCCTCAAAGATTTATGACACGTATTTGCTTGTGACGTTGCTGATCCACGCATTCGCATTGTAACACTGTGAGGGTGTTGCACGGAGGCCAGTCACTTCGCTAGGGAGTGAATCTGACTAACCACCAGCATCCACATTAACCCAGCTTTGTTGTTTTATACTCTTCATAGTGAAGATCTCAGGGCATACCCCTGGCAAATGGATTTTTGAAATAATTCCTGAGCTCAAGAAGCTAGGATGGGGAGGCAAGATTCGTGAAAGCTAGAAAACAACAAAGCAACAAGTACAAGACAATATGAGTTCATCATCAGGAAAAAACGTCTACTTAGCAAACACTGTAAGATATGCTACTAAATATTTCTTTCAATAGAAAGTTTGAATATCATCCTCTATCCATGTCTATTCCAGGGTGAGTTTACTTCCCAGGGAAAGGATGAAGTAGATGCTAGAAAAGAATAGAAAGAACAAACAGAAATAGATGATAGAAATTCAGTGCAGGATAATAAAGAAGGAAGTCAAAGGCAATTCTGAGGTTTTGTGTCTGGAGGAAGAGATGAATAATGACATCATTGACAGGGACAGGGTATCAGGAAGGAAAAGGGGGAATTAAAGGGAGGAAACATGAACTTGGGACATGTTCTGTTGATAACAATAGCATATTTGTATGCATTATTTATTAAGGTACAATTTGTATTTGTGTAACTTGGGGGTCTGGGATGGAAAAGGTATAGTGATGTTAGCTAATATGTGGGAATTTGAAGTATATCATAATGGCTTGCCCCCTCTTAGTATTATAGTCATGTTTGGAGTTCAGATAGCTGGTATGTTTTAGCCCCAAAAGTATCATGAATAAGAGGTAGCATGATGACCTCAGAAGAATGTTTGATTTATTAAACTTATCTTCCTCAGTAATATAGAGCAGTTGGGTCAATATTAATCAGGACTCCACTCTACTAAAAGGTCTTAGGAGGAAATAAGCCAATAAGAGAGAAGGCTCTGTCCTACTCTGATATAATAGCTTTATGGGAGAGGGAGCAGCCAGGAGGGAGGGAGGGGAGCATAGAGGAGCAGCACTCTATCAGAAGGTCTTAGAAGACCTCATGGAAGACCTTAGAGAAGACCATGACGCAGGAGTCTTGTGATGCTATTACACACATCCTGGTCACATGAAGCCCTGAAACCCAACTACTGCTCCAATGCCTCTGAACAAGAGGCATGCCCACTGCTGTCAACGTATCTATTCTGATGAGAAGATCCTGATCCACAAAACAGCCCACCCTAAGATCAGGGGAGGTATTTGTTTACCACACTCAAATAAACAGTTCTCTTTTCCTTTGTGAGTGTGAGATAGGGAGGGGGAGGCCTGGTCAAAAGCCTCTCCCAGCTGGTGGGCTGGGAAGAACTGAGGCAGCCCATAAAAGACTCAAAGAAGAGCAGGAGCCATTTCGCAATAACGTCAAATGTAAATATGCAACAGACATACAATCTCCATGGACGAGAATCGGAGATGAACATCTAGGGCTACCTATATAGATGTAAGAATTGTTGCTTGGAAGAGGAGTATAATGGCACCCTCTGTTTAATATAGGTAACAACTAATAGAGACGCACTTCCTTTATATGGGTAGTTTGATTGATTTGGGGAGGTAAAAAATTTCTCCATTTTCTTTTTACTTTTTAGAGGGCTGTTATGGAAGAAAACACAGAGTTTCCAATGTATTTGAAGGTAAAAGATGCAGAGAGTTTCCAACACTGTTTAAGCCAAGGGGACCATGAAAGGAAATCATACTAGAAACCAAATATGCAAAACAGAAGTGGAGATGTTCTGGTTGAAAGAAAGGAGAGTTGATGATAAAACCCTACCCATTCATACCTACTAGTCCCTTGAAATATGGAATCTTAAAAATTTGGAGCCTAGGTGAGACCTTACTTTATAGATGAAGAAATGTTCTACCCTGTTTTATTTATTGGCTATTTTAAAAGTAGAACTAGGACACGTCTTGCCTTTCTCTCTCTCTATACTAGACTGTCTCCTGAGAGTGCAAGGGTTCTGAGAGACGCATCAGAACTTGTCATGTGCCGTCTCCAACTCACGTCTTCCTTTTTCTTTTTTTTTCTTTTTTTTTTATTGAGTTATTGATAGGTTACAATCTTGTGAAATTTCAGTTGTACATTAAGGTTTGTCAGTCATGTTGTAGGTGCACCACTTCACACTTTGTGCCCACCCCCCACCCCACCTTTCCCCTGGTATCCACTAAACTGTTCTTAGTCCATAATTTTAAATTCCTCATATGAGTGGAGTCATACACAGATTATCTTTCTCTCGCTGGCTTATTTCACTTAATATAATTCTCTCAAGGTCCATCCGTGTTACTGCAAATGGAATGATTTTGTTCTGTTTTGCAGCTGAGTAGTATTCCATTGTATATATGTACCACATCTTCTTTATCCATTCGTCTGTTGCTGGACACTTAGGTTGCTTCCACGTCTTGGCTATTGTAAACAGTGCTGCAATAAACATTGGGGTGCACAGGACTTTTGGGATTGCTGACTTCAGGCTCTTTGGATAAATACCCAGTAGTGGGATGGCTGGATCGTATGGTAGTTCTATTTTTAGTTTTTTGAGGAATCTCCATACTGTTTTCCATAGTGGCTGCACCAGTTTGCATTCCCAGCAGCAGTGTATGAGGGTTCCTTTTTCTCCGCAACCTCTCCAACATTTGTTGCTATTAGTCTTAGATATTTTTGTCATTCTAACGGGTGTAAGGTGATATCTTAGTGTAGTTTTGATTTGCATTTCCCTGATGATCAGCGATGATGAGCATCTTTTCATGTGCCTATTGGCCATCAGTATATCTTCTTTGGAGAAATGTCTGTTCATGTCTCCAGCCCATTTTTTGATTGGGTTGTTTGATGTTTTGTTGTTGAGTTGCGAGAGTTCTTTATATATTATGGATATTAAGCCTTTGTCAGATATATGACTTGCAAATATTTTTTCCCAGTTAGTGGGTTGTTTTTTTGTTTCAATCCTGTTTTCATTTGCCTTGAAGAAGCTCTTTAATCTGATTAAGTCCCATTTGTTTATTCTTTCTATTGTTTCCCCTCTCTGAGAAGGCATGGTGTCCGAAAAGATCCTTTTAATACTGATGTCAAAGAGTGTACTGCCTACATTTTCTTCCAGAAGCCTTATGGTTTCACGTCTCACCTTTAGGTCTTTAATCCATTTTGAGTTTATTTTGGTGAATGGTGAAAAAGAATGGTCAATTTTCATTCTTTTACATGTGGATTTCCAGTTTTCCCAGCACCATATGTTGAAAAGACTTTCTTTTCTCCATTGTATGCCCTCAGCTCCTTTGTCAAAGATAAGCTGTCCAGAGATGTGTGGTTTTATTTCTGGGCTTTCAATTCTGTTCCATTGATCTGTGCACCTGTTTTTGTACCAGTACCATGCTGTTCTGATTACTGTAGCTTTGTAGTATGTTTTGAAGTCAGGGATTGTGATGCCTCCCGTTTTGTTCTTTTTTCTCAGGATTGCTTTAGAAATTCGGGGTCTTTTGTTGCCCCATATGAATTTTAGGATTCTTTGTTCTAATTCTGTAAAGAATGTCATTGGGATTCTGATTGGGATGGCGTTGAATCTGTAGATTGCTTTAGGTAGAACGGACATTTTAACTATGTTTATTCTTCCAATCCATGTACATGGAATGTCTTTCCATCTCCTTATGTCGTCATCCAATTCTCTCAGAAAGGCCTTGTAATTTTCATTATATAGGTCCTTCACTTCCTTAGTTAAATTTACCCCAAGGTATTTTATTCTTTTTGTTGCGATTGTGAATGGTATTGTATTCTTGAGTTCTTTTCCTGTTGGTTCATTACTGGAGTATAGAAATGCTACTGATTTATGCAAATTGATTTTATACCCTGCAACTTTGCTGTAGTTGTTGATTAACAGTTTTCCAATGGATTCTTTGGGGTTTTCTATATATAAGATCATGTCGTCTGCAAACAGCGAGAGTTTCACTTCTTCCCTCCCTATTTGGATTCCTTTTATTCCTTTTTCTTGCCTGATTGCTCTGGCCAGGACCTCCAGTACTATGTTAAATAAGAGTGGTGATAGAGGGCATCCTTGTCTCGTTCCTGTTTTCAGGGGGATGGGGTTCAGTTTTTGCCCATTGAGTATGATGTTGGCTATGTGTTTGTCGTATATGGCCTTTATTATGTTGAGGTAGTTTCCTTCTATGCCCATTTTGTTCAGAGTTTTTATCATAAATGGCTGTTGGATCTTGTCAAATGCCTTCTCTGCATCTATTGAGATGATCATGTGGTTTTTATTCCTCAGTTTGTCAATGTGGTGTATCACGTTGGTTGATTTGTAGATGTTGAACCATCCCTGTGTCCCTGGTATGAATCCCAGTTGATCCTGATGTATGATTCTTTTGATGAATTGCTGAATTCTGGTTGCCAAAATTTTGTTTAGAATTTTTGCATCTATCTTCATCAGTGATATTGGCCTGTAGTTCTCTTTTTTCGTGCTGTCCTTGTCAGGTTTTGGTATCAGCGTGATGTTGGCCTCATAGAATGTGTTAGGAAGTGTTCCATCTTCCCTAATTTTTTGGAATAGCTTGAAAAGGATAGGTATTAAATCCTCTCTGAAAGTTTCGTAGAATTCCCCAGGAAAGCCCTCTGGTCCTGGGGTTTTATTCTTTGGGATGTTTTTTGATTGCTGTTTCAATCTCTTTCCTTGTGATTGCTCTGTTCAAATTGTCTGCCTCTTCTTGAGTGAGTTTTGGGAGATTGTAGGAGTCCAAGAATTTATCCATTTCCTCTAGGTTATCCATTCTGTTGGTATATAGTTTTTTGTAGTATTCTCTTATAATCTGTTGTATGTCTGCAGAGTCTGTTGTTATTTCTCCTCGCTCATTTCTGATTTTGTTTATTTGAACTTTCTCCCTTTTTTTCTTTGTAAGTCTGGCTAGTGGTTTGTCAATTTTATTTATCTTCTCAAAAAACCAGCTCTTTGTCTCATTGATCCTTTCTACTGCCTTTTTCGTTTCTATAGTATTTATTTCTGCTCTGATTTTTATTATTTCTCTCCTTCTGCTGACTTTGGGCTTCATTTGTTCTTTTTTCTCTAGTTCAATTAGGTGTGCTTTAAGGTTGCTTATTTGGGATTTTTCTTGTTTGTTAAGATGTGCCTGTATTGCGATGAATTTTCCTCTTAATACAGCTTTTGCTGTATCCCATATGAGTTGGTATAGCATGCTATCATTTTCATTTGTTTCCAGGTATTTTTTTATTTCTTCTTTAATTTCTTCAATGATCCATTGCTTGTTTAGTAGTGTGTTGTTTAGTCTCCACATCTTTGTGCCTTTCTCTGCTTTTTTCTTGTAATTAATTTCTAGCCTTATAGCACTATGATCTGAGAAGATGCTTGTTATTATTTCAATGTTTTTAAATTTGTAGAGGCTTGCCTTGTTTCCCAACATATGGTGTATCCTTGAGAATGTTCCATGTGCACTTGAGAAGAATGTGTATTCAGCTCTTTCTGGGTGAAGTGATCTATATAAGTCTATTAAGTCCAATTGTTTTAGTTTTTCATTTAGCTCCACTATTTCCTTGTTGATTTTCTGTCTGGATGATCTGTCCATTGATGTGAGTGGAGTGTTGAGGTCCCCTACTATTATTGTGTTGTTTTTAACATCTTCCTTTAGGTCTGTTAATAGTTGTTTATGAATCTCGGTGCTCCTGTGTTGGGTGCATAGATATTTATAAGTGTTATTTCTTCTTGATGAAGTGTCCCTTTGATCATTATATATTGTCCCTCTGTGTCTCTCTTTACCTGTCTTATTTTGAAATCCACTTGGTCTGATATGAGAATTGCAACACCTGCCTTTTTTTCCTTGCTATTTGCTTGAAGTATTGTCCTCCACCCCTTCACCCTGAGTCTGTGTTTGTCCTTGGGGCTGAGGTGTGTTTCCTGGAGGCAACAAATTGTTGGATCTTGTTCTTTAATCCATTTTGCCACTCTGTGTCTTTTTATTGGAGAGTTCAATCCATTCACATTGAGAGTGATTATTGATGCATGTGGACTTAATGCTTTTAATCTGTCACTCATTATCTTGTTTTCCTGTGTTTCTTTTCCTGTGTGCTTTAGACTACCCATTTAATACTGCAATTTCTTATGCTGGGTTCCTTAGATTTTTCCTTATTTATGATTTGTGACTCTGTTCTGTACTTTATTTTAGTGTCTACCTTGAAGTTTGTATTTAGAATCTCGTGTATACTACAGTCTATTCTCTGGTGGTCTCTTACCTACTTGACCAATACTGATTTAGACCCTTTGCTCTTCCCCTCCTAAATAATTATTTTCATTTTTTATTCCAACTCGTCTTATTAATTTGTGGTTAGAGTGCTAAGATCGTCCTTGTTTTGGTAGTTTCCTTACCTTTACCCTATTGCTATAATTGAATATTTGCTATCCTGTTCTGGTTCTACCCATCGGTCTCCCTAGTCTATGGATTGTGTCCCCTTTCTCCCTTTTTTCTTTTTTCAAGTATGAGAGCCTTCTTGAGGATTTCTTGTAATGGAGGGCTTTTAGTTACAAATTCCCTTAACTTTCGTTTGTCTGGAAAAGATTTAATTTCTCCCTTATATCTGAAGGAAATTCTTGCTGGATAGAGTATTCTTGGCTGAAGGTTTTTATCCTTTAAAGCTTTGAATATATCACTCCATTCTCTCCTAGCTTGTAGGGTTTCTGTAGAGAAATCCGCTGACAGTCTGATAGGGGCTCCTTTATAGGTTATTCTCTTTTTTTTCCTTACTTCCCTGAGTATTCTCTCCTTAACATTCCTATTTGCCAACTTTACTACTATGTGCCTTGCAGTAGGTCTTTTTACATTGACAAATCTAGGAGATCTAAAACGCTCCTCTACACGCATTTCTCCGTTGATCCCTAGATTTGGGAAGTTCTCTTCAATAATTTCGTTAAGCACACTTTCTGCTCCATTTTCCTTTTCCATATTCTCGGGAATTCCTATGATCCTTATGTTCTTACTCCTCATTGAATCCATTATCTCTCGGAGATTTTCCTCATTTTTTTAAATTCTTAGTTCTCTTTCTTCCTCTGTCTGGAGCCATTCAGCCTGTCTGTTCTCGATTATGCTGATTTTTCTCCTCTATGTTGTCTACACGGACATCCAGGGAATCCGTATTCTGTTTTATCTGGTCCATTGTGTTTTTCATCTCAAGTAATTCTGTTTGATTCTTTATGATTTCAATCTCTTTTGTGAAATAACGCCAGAACTCAGCTTGTTTCTCTATCTTTCTCTCTACCTCATTGAGTTTTTTGATTATAGCTGCTCTGAATTCATTATCACTTAGTTTACCTAATTCCAAGTCCTCAGGACTTAATTCTGTGTTTTTATTGTTTTCCTTCTGGTCTGGGGCTTTTATAAATTGCTGGATGGTAGAGGAGTGGCTTTTTCTCATGGTGGTAGAATTCAGTTGCAGTTACAGCTACAGCCTGTCGCCACTAGATGGGGGTCGAGAGCGGCATGTTATGAGCTCTCCGCCTTGGGGCAAGATGGCTGCGCCCACTGGCTTTGCTGGGGGGGAGGGACTGTTACTCACACACACCGGTCTGGGTTCAGATCAGTTCTGTTCTCTGGTCTCCCAAGGCCCTTGATTTATAGGGTCCCCTCTGACGGAAGCTTTCCCCCCGTCAGCGGGTCTCCAATGAATCAGCGGCAGGAGTCCTGGATGATCCCCCGGTCGTGCGGCCCCTCCCCCGCTCCTTCCCGACCTGCGCCGCAGCGATCGCAGACTCTAGGGGAGGGAGCGATGTTCTCGCCTACCGTTCCAGCACCTCCAAGGCCGTCTGCAAGGTTTATGATCTCCATCTTCTTGGTATTGTAGGTCTCTAATGAGCTGGCATTATGTTTATTCTCTGAAATTCAGTTCTTCCAATCTTTTGTTGTATTTTGGAGGGGAGAGAATCCTGGGTCAGCTCACCCCGCCATTTTGCTCCACCCCCTTTTCCTCACGTCTTCCTTTTTCTTATACCATTTGGCTGAGTGGTGAGGGTCTGGGCTCTCTAGAGTTTGCTCTCGGTCTCCCTCTTAGTTATCTTTATCTCCTACCTGAAACCATTGTTGTGTTGACCACTTGTCTTAGATTTTCCATTGTCTCGTGATCACTATCATTACACATCTCAATATGGGCTTCTTAACATATTCTCACTCCACTTACAAAAGGGGAAAACTGTAGTGGTTTCATAGTACAGCCCACTGTTTGTGAAAGCCCTGGACTGAGCTGTCAACTCTTCTTTCCTCAAAATAGCAGATGGTAAATAACAAACCTTCATCAGTGCCACTGAAAGGATCTGCAAAGCTCTAAGTACAGCAGGTGTCCCAGGTGATTCTTAGGCACAAAATGTTTGAGGACCATGTGTCTAATTTTTCTTAGAATAATATGACAGTTTTCTCCTCTCTTCTCAGTACTTCAATTTAAATCATTTTTTAAAATGATTAATGAATTTCCACAACATACAGACACAGATATTCATTTGCTCATAACCAAACACCTGCCAAAGGTAGATGAAAATTATTTTTGGGTTGTCCACCTCACAGGGTTGCTGCTCCCTTTCACACCCCTCCCTGAATGGACAACCCCAAGCTGGAGATCACTGGAAGACTCTACGTGTCCAACAACGAGAGATGCAGATGATCGCGAAGGAGCACTCACCCCAGTGCTGCCCATGATCAGAAACAGGGCAATGTGGAAACGTCCGAATCCGATGGTCTCCACAGCCTCCTCCACAGTGAATGTCTTCGGCTCTAACAAGGAAAGGCAAAGTGAAAGGAACAGCTTCTGTGGGGAGTGAAAGTGTGTAGATTACTGCTCACCCTGGAGGAGGTTGGAAAACCAATTCATTGCTATAAAAACTAGTAAATACACGGGGAAAGATTAAGCAGCAACTTGAAGACCGGAGACTCCTATGATCATCTTACCTTTCTGCTGTGGCTCTGGGGTCCCCAGGCTCAACTTCCTAAGGCTAATGACGGTGACTGGCTCTGTCTGCTTGGTTGCCATCTTCTAAATGGTTTAAATTCCCCACACGGCTTACCTGCTGGAAGTAGGGGAGGGAAGAAAAAAAGAAATATGAGTACATAGTCTCCTTTAATTGTCACAGAAAATCTATGAAGTAGGTATTATAATTTTTTTTTTTAAGAAGAAGATGATTAGCCCTGAGCTAACATCTGCCGCCAATCCTCCCCTTTTTGCTGAGGAAGACTGGCCCTGAGCCAACATCCGTGCCCATCCTCCACTTCACATGTGGGACGCCTACCACAGCATGGCGTTTGCCAAGCACCGCCATGTCCACACTTGGGATCTGAACCGGGGAACCCCAGGCTGCCAAAAGTGGAACATGGGAACTTAACTGCTGCACCACCGGGCTGGCTCCTATAATTTATTACCATTTTACATATGAGGAACTTGAAACATGGAGAGGTTAAATGGTCAAATGAGACAATTGGTCCCAGTGGCTAGTAATGAACCCTGAGTCGGGGGCCAGGTGAGTTCTTGACTATTTGACAAATAGCGTCCTCTGACTGGGAGTGAAGATGGCCTTTGATACAGAGAAATAATTACAATAGCCAGCACTTTGCATTCCCATAGATCCTGTGGTTACAGTGCAACCATATATAATAGTGTGCTTTCCCATATATCATTTTCATTTAATTCCAACAGAAACCCATGGAGTACTTCTTTTTATCTCCTTTTTTTGTATTTAATCCTAAGAAGGATTCTTAACCCTAAAAATCAAAAGAAAAATAAAATAAAGAAAGCTGAGTTTCCAGTTAGTGAAATTTCCTTCAAGTGACTTTAAGACACAGTAATTTAATTCTACAGCGCAAGTGGGATAAACAGAAATTCTCATCTGTTCTCAGTAGTTATATTCTCAGTAATAATATTGGTATCATTATTTTGATACTAGTACATATTGTAGGACAAAGCAAATAGGTAATGACGTTAATATTAGGAACCAAGATTTTCAGTGTAAGAAAAAAAGATACAAGAATCAAAGTTACGTAAAAACCTTATAATCCTAATTTTGAATTAAAAATATCAGTGTGAATTCATTATGTATTACATTTATATATGTGAATAAGAAGACTGATTGTAAAGAATTGAAACACATCAAAGATATCAAAATCCATTGTTCGTAGGATTACTAAAATGAAGATCTCGATCGTTTTTGGAGATTACTAAAAAAACAGCTCAATCTGAAAACTAGTAAATATCTTGTCTTTCTTGTACAAATTACCAAACCAGGTTACCAGGGTAACCAAACCGTTGGTGAAAGAAAATTATTCTCTAAATTCAGGTAATACATGCAGAAAGAAGGATGGAATTAAATTATCACCATTTTGCAACCCCTAAAGAAATAATGGATCTAGGCAATGATCACGAGTGGCTGATGAACGATGAGGTGAAAGGGTGATGGAGAAGTTTGGAAAATGGAAAATCCTAATGCTACTAAAAGAGAGATGATCAGATATTATGCGGCTCCCGATGAAATGCAACAGGAGGGAAGCACACAACGTCACCGTGATGTATTCTCGTGAGAAGAAATCAAACCTGAAACTGATCCAGCCTCTGTAACTACCCATTTATTTGGGGATAAAGAAATGTGTTAAACTGCACCATGTGGATGCAATAAGAAAAATCCAGAATGTGGGAAGTTCTATAGGATAAATGACCCAAGTTCTTTAATAAATAAATGGCAAGAAAAAAAAAGGAAAGGGGAGCCTATAGACTAAAAGAGACAACTCAACCAAATAAATGAGTTGGTCTTGTTTGGATCCTCATTCAAAAAAGCCAGCTGTAAAAACAACACAACAAAGAGAATGAGATGAAAAACAGGTGAGAGAAAAATCAGAGAAATCTAAGCAAGTTTGGGAGTTTGATGATGTTAAGGAGTGACTGATGACATCATTAGGTCTGACAATGAACTTACAGATGCAGGAGAAAAAAAAGAGTCCTTATATTTTAGAGCTACATACTAAAATATTTACAAATGAAATAACACAACATCTGGAATTCGTTTTAAAATAATTCAACGGTAGGCTGGGAATAGGGTGCATAAGAAGCAGATGGGTGTGTAGATGAGAAGAGTATGGCCATATGTTGAAAATTATTGAAGGAAGACGGTGGGGACGTTGGGGGTTCATTTTACTATCCTCTTCTTTTGAAGATGTGTAACATTTTTCAAAATAGTTCAAAAATTGAGGTTCTGAAATTCTTAAATAACTTTTCCATTGTCAGAGCACTAGTAAGCAGCAGAGTCAGAACTCAAAGGTCTCCTTTTTCCCAGAACATGAAAACAGCCCAGAGCAGCTGTACAGCCACACAGCAAGTCATTAAAATTTGCTAAGTGCCGGCTCTGTGTCCTGTGTTGTGCGGGCTCCTGTGGAGACGTTGAAGGAGGGTCTGACATGTTCTCTGCCCTAAGGAGTTTCTAATCTAGTTGGGGACACCAAAGATACACATAGAAACAACTATACTGTAATGTAGATATTATTTGTTTTCTTAAAACGTTGTCACAGAGACACAAATATTCCAGGATGGGAGATAGATCAATAATGCTTGGAAATAAGTCCATGAAATCCTCTTTCCCAAGAGAGACTAGGAAAAGGACAAAAAGTTCTTCTTTTTACAGAGTGGGAAAAGTGAAAATAATTGGTCTCTCAGCCCATCTGAGAGCCTGAAATTCATGAAGACAGACTGTTCTGGAACTCCTACTGCTCCCTTTTCAGACATTGTCCAAACACCCTTTGGAGGCATGCTCTTTATCTGATAACTTTTTAAATAAAGGAGTTAGGAGAAAAATCACCTTCTTTTAGGTATAAAAAGGACTTCAGAACACACTAAAAATTGGCTACGACTGAATAACGTGTTTCTAGATGGGAAGATGAACTATTAGCATAGATTTAACTTAATCAAAATATGAAAATAAAACCATTCCGTGAGAATTAAATAGTGGTGATGGTTGCACAACCTTGTGACTACACTAAAAATCACTGAATTATACGCTTAAAAATGATGAATTTTATTGTATGTAAATTACATCAATTTTTTCCCTAAAAAATAGTAATGCAAATCATGGCAGCAGATTTAAAAACCCAAAGTGATTCTGACCATTTATAATGTTAGGGAACAAAACAATTTAGTTCGGGGGGAAAATTTTTTTGAATCCCAGTAAGTTCATTTTAAGTTCAGTCACAACTGAAATACTTAACAATAAGCTCGACCTTCAATCAACACTTAATCTCTTCCAACAGTCAAGTTTTGTGACTTTTCATAACAATCTAAACATGTTTTAGAATTCTAACAATCATAAAGGCTTATGTTTTGAGGGAGGAATAAAACTGTCTCCAGCAAGTCTCCTTGCTTTTTGTATTGAGTGGCAAGAAAAGAAACCCAGGAAATCTGCCACCTACTATGGAGCAGAACAAGTTTTAATTTGATGTGAGTGTGTGTGCTTTCATCTGATTAGGTAGCTCTGTGTCAAATATCCCACACACTCCTCCTCTCTTATCAGCTAAGTGATTCATCACCAAGGGCTTGGACAAAGATGTTATGTTCAAAATAATTACTTCACAATTTCTCTTGAATAAAAGCTGATCCTGGAAAGAGAGATTCATATTTGGAGGTATTTTGGGGTTTTTGGAGGAAGATTAGACCTGAGCTAACATCCACAGTAAATCTTCCTCTTTTTGTGGAGGAAGATTGGCCCTGAGCTAACTTCTATGCCCATCTTCCTCTATTTTATGTGTGGGACGCCTGCCTCAGCATGGCTTGATAAGGGGTGTGTAGGTCTGTGCCAGGAATCTGAACTGGCAAACCCTGGGCGGCCGAAGGGGAAGCGGAGTGCACGAACTCAACCACTACACCACTGGGCTGGACCCTGTATTTGTGATTTCATGTTTTTCATGATTAAAGAGGAGACGTGTATTATTTTGTTTCCATAATACAAAGAAAACTAAAACGCAGTATGTTTTGAGGCACTTGATAGACAAAGAAAAAAGAATTCCTTTCAGTCATGACATTGGACCTGTAGAGAAATAAATGTAATCCAATAAATGTAATAACACTTGTTCCTAGACTGAGCAATATTTACATGGTCTTACTGCTGTTTATTCATTTTCAGGTTTAGAGTCAGCATTTGAATAAAACACACAGACTTGATTGTGTTTTCAGAACTGAATGGAAATGATAATACTCTTGACAGTGAGACAGTAAAATTGTACATGACGAAGATGAGAGGTGGAAATCCGGGAGGAGAGATGGGAGGATGGGCAGGCATACCACCTAAGGGATCAGCCTAAGAACCCCAGCTATAAGTATTGCCAACACAATAATCCATAATTAATCTATAAATCAAATTGGGGTGAGTTTATTACGAGCCAATCCTAAGGACAATATAGCCCAGGAGAGAACGTCTACTAGGGAAGGAAGCTCTCCAAGGAAGCAGGGTGTACAGAGTGGTTGTATACCATCTTGGAACAAGGAACATACGTCACATATGACACAAATAACTCTTTTTTTAAAAAAAAAGATTAGCACCTGAGCTTACAACCATTGCCCATCTTCTCTTTTTTTTTTCGGCTTTTTCTCCCCAAATCCCCCCAGCACATAGTTATATATTTTAGTTGTGGGTCCTTCTAGTTGTGGCATGTGGGACGCTTCCTCAGCATGGCCTGATGAGTGGTGCCATGTCCACGCCCAGGATCCAAACCAGTGAAGCCCTGGGCCACCAAAGCGGAGCACACGAACTTAACCACACGGCCACTGGGCCAGCCTGGAGGAATAACTCTTTTACTACTGTCACGACATGCTTTGCTAGCACAGCAGTCAGTGGCCACAAGGTGAGCCCAGTGGGTCAATAATTAATCCTTAGTTTCTGGGGAGAAATGCTTCTCCCTAAAGTAATGCTGATATAGGGAAGGCAACATCCCTCTTTAAGGGCATCATTCTTGACTCTGGGACATTGTAAATGTTTAGAGCAGATGTACAATGCATGTTCAACAGGCCACATCAAGCCTTTCTGGAAAAACAAGGTCAGGCCGAATTAGTTTTAAACCACAATTGCTTAATCCGACTTCCAATATATCTTCTTGTTTTTCGTTTATTCATCAGTATACTATTACAGAAATAACTAAGAGAATAATTAAAAACAAGAGTAAGATAAAGAACAAGAACTATATAATAATTACATAAAATAAAAATACACACCCCAAAACTGTACATTTTCTGCCAGGCAGGGAGGTGTGCAGTGGTGTGCTGGAGCCAGCTCCCACCAGCTTTTGAGAGCCAACTGTGCACTTTTTTTCCAACTCTATTCAGTGGTGTCACACTGGTAATTTAAGATCAGCCATGGTGGGAATACGTACACCATAGACATTAGCAAACACTAGAAATGAAGGCATCTTTTTGGTTTTTTTCTGAGAGCCTGTTAGTGAATGTTTACCAGCACACCACTGCCCCAAAGCCCATATTCTCCCTTCCTTACTGGAGATTCTCGGCCTCAAGGAGGAGGGGGTGTGGAGTGACACAGGTGGCTTGAAAATTTTGACCAGGTGATTCTGATACAATGAGCCCTACCTAGGCCCCACTTGAAAACCATTGTTCTATGCATTTCAAATAGTTTGAGTCAATTGGCAATGTGTCAAAAGCCTTAAAAACTAATTTCCTCTAAATTAGTAATTCCAGTTCTAGGAATTTATCCTAAGGAAATATCTGAATATGGAAAATGCTTTCTATACAAAGAAGTTTATCTAAGTCTATGTTAATAATGGCAGATGGGAAACAACCTAAAAGTAAAGAGGGAATGCTTATATAAACTAATATACCTTCTGCATTTAAAATTATATTTGCGCAGAGTTTTTAATAACATGAAAAACATTTCTATTATTGGCTTAAAAATATTTATAAAATATTGGGAGATTGGCAAAGATGAAATTATGACATAAATCATCTTTCATAGTGAATAATGGATTGATACTGTGTTAAGTTGCTAAACCAAGAAATAAAGTATAATTATGTTGTTTTAACTCTAAAGGTAATCACCAGGGAAACTGAAAACAAATAATTAAAAGAAATTTTTCTGGGGATGGGGAAAGTCAAGGCAGGAGGTCGTTTATTTTTGTTATAATCCCACCTGACAATTTGATTTCTTGCCACATGCACTTATTACTTCAATTTAAAAATTATAAATTTAAATAAATGTAAACAAAAAGCAGAATATCTGAAACATACATGTTTAACAAAAGCTCTTGTAGGTAAGGAAGAAAATGATGGAGGGGTCAAGACATGATGGAACAATGCAAAAGAGTAAATACAGTGGCTGATAAATCTAGGAAATTGCATTCAACCTAACTTGTTATCATGCCTTCAAATTAAAATGAGTTGTCATCTTCCTCTAGCAGATTTGCAAAAATCTTAAAGATCGATTATATCCAGTGTAGGGGAAATAGGCACTCAAACTATTGGTGGGAGTGTACATGCTACAGCCTTTCCAGAAGGCAATTAGGCAAAGATGGAAGGATGTTGACTAAGCAATTTCGTTTCTGGGATTCATCCTGATGAGGTAGTCAAAGATGGACAAAGATACAGGTGTAAGGAAGGACACCACACTTTTGTTTTAACAACAACAACAAAAGAATTGGGTACAACCTAACGGCCCACCAGTGACTAAATAAATGACAGTATATTCCTGTAAGAGTACCATTTAAAAGCTCTTGAGTGAAAGGCTGTATAAGGTTGAAAAGCATTTTCCAATATGTATGTGTATCCATAATGTATGCTTACATATATAATGATCCCAATTTTTAAAATTTCATTTAAATACATACCGACATAGAGATTTCAGAGAGATGTTGTCCAAAACTGTGTTTTGTCTTTCAACAAATATTTGTGGAGCACTCTTACTGTATCAGACAATAAAATATGATGGAAAGGGTTCCTTCCCCCAGAGAGCTTACAGTCGCATGGACCTGCGACCTGGGGAGGCTTCCGCAGGCGAGTCTCAATGGAGACCTGAAAGACGGGGAGGAGCTGGCCACGAGAGGAAGGTGAGAAAACAATTCCCCACAGCAGGCGGAATTTAGGTTGTTTCTTCCTTTGTTCTTTACACTTTTCATGCAGTGTTTGAATTTTTAGAAAGGCTATTTCTTTTACCACAAAAATTCTTTTTGGAAAAAATGAACCAACGTGCAGTTGATATGTTGCTCACCATGCTCCCTACGTCACTGTTCCAGGCAGGCCTGTGACCTGCCCCCACTGGCCAAGACCTATTGGGCCAGGAGTGGGCACTTGACCTGGAGACAATCAAATAATTGGTCGGAAGTCCACGAGGTGGCCTGGTATAGGAGGCCCTGTTTGATAGAGGGGGTGCTTGCACAACATTGTGCAAATAAATGCCGCTGAATTGTTCACTTTAAAACTGGTACAATGGTAAATTTTAGGTTTGGTATATTTTAGCACAATTTCAAAAATGAAAAGAAGAAGAAAAAGTATTTGCAAATACATATACATGAGAGCTCAGTGAATGTTTGTGGTAGATACGTACCACAAACTGTAAGAAAGAAATTAAAATCTTAATAGATTAATATGCAAATTACATAAACAAGCAGTTCACAAGAGGATATATAAATTATAAACAAAAGTGGAAATTGTTCATCTGTAATAACTGACAAAATTGTGGAATACAAAATCTTTAGGTATCATTTTGTAACAGCTAGATCTTAAGTTAGCCTGAGGGAAGCCATCTCAGGGAAAGCAAGCAATATTGTAACTTTAACCCTGACTCAGTAGTCTCTGTGGACACATTCCAGCCTGCACGTAGCCTAGATGATTAAGCACCTCTCGCTTTTGCAAAATACATGATCAGCTAGTTCTATGACTCTTGCTTGCGTATATCTCCGAGCTGTGCTAAAACAATAACTTTGTTCTCTGAGTTCCCCAGGAACATGACGACCTCTGGAAAGAAAAATTCTGTGTTGGTATCCATCACAAATGATAGAAAAAAGAGATAATGTGGCGCCTTGAAGTTCATCACGCCTGATGGTGGAGATCCCCAAATCCCCTCCTGCCCTTCCCATTTCCCCATATAAACGCCTCAAGATTCTGCAGGATTCTAAGATGGTTCTTTAGGACACTCGTCCGCCATCTTCTGATTATTCTAGCTGATCGTATAAATTTTCCTTTCTCAACCACTGGCTTGTTTGCATTGGTTGGCACTGGATTGTGGCAAGCAGAACAAGCCCCTTTTCCCTTGGTTACAATTTTATACATAAGAAGGAAACATAAACATAAGGAAAAAAGGAAGAAAGGACAGTGGGAGGGAGGGAAGAAGGCGGCAAAGGAGAGAAGAAGGGGGGAGGAAGAGAGGGAGGGAGAGAAGGAAGTCTGCAGCCACAGTGAGACTGAGATTGAACTGATTCTCTCTCTTCTATCTCAGTTTCCTCATCTGAAAATAAAAATAATACCAGCTACCTGGGGGAGAAATAGCTTGCTGCCTACCCAATAACAAGTCTTCCCTTGTACCTTGCTGAGGAGGGCAGCAGCTGAGGTGCAGGTGGAGGTTGTTGCAGGGGATTCTGAGAAAGCCCGCCTTTGCCCCTTCTCCTCTTCTTCCTGCCTCCTCCCTGGATCAGAGATGTTTTGGCTGGTGCTTCAGCAGGCATCTTGGGTGATGACACAAACATGGCGCTGGAAACTTTGGGCTAAGTCTGGCAGAGCAGAAGCTGGAAAGAGTCTGGGACCTGATAACGTGGAGCTCTCGTCCAGCCTCAGGCTGCTTACCTCCAAGTGTCTTTTACATGGGAAAAAAATAAAGCTCTCTCTTGTTTAAGACACTGTTGTTTCTTGTCTCTAGTACCTGCAGTTGTGTGCAGTTCTTTTGTTTGTTTATTTTTAGGTTAGTCAAGTGAAGCAGTGGAGCATGGAGAAGGAACATGTGACTGGCTGTGATGGATTGTAAACACCACCGCACTCAGACAGCCAGTTGGATGTGATTCTTACCTGGTAAGCTTCCTCTTAAGAATGTTATGAGGATGTTTGTGTAACATGGCACAGTGCCCCAAGCAACAGAAGCTCTCATGGCAGGACTGTTTCTCATCCGAATAAAGCTACCAACTAAATTTCTAGAATGTCACCATAATCACAAATCAAATACACTCAGGGTAAGTTTTTAAGTATCTTTGCAGTTATCAAATGTTTATCTCTTCAAAGGCATTTATTACTAACATCCTACTAACATTAGAACACCTTGACAACTTGGGCTCAAGTGAAAAACTACCAAATGGGGGTAAAAGTTACTTATTTTCTGAAATAGATTGATTTTATTTCAAGGGTAAACTTAAGTGGTGTTAGGAAACCCTCACATGTACTACATGCCTATAAGAACTCAGACCAGATATATCCAACATAACACCGAGATCCACCCAAACCAGAACCTCATCTTACTTATGACAGGCACAACAAAATGGATCTTTTTCACTAAAAAGATCACTGACTCAAAAATCAGTATATTAATTTAGAGGAGGGAAAACCTTTCAAACTTCAGTTTGGTGTAGGAGTGAGGCGGGGGTGGAGAAAAACGCTGGCCGTGCTGGGTGACTCACTCAAACTCCACTGGAAGGAGCAAGCCTGGCCCTTGCCCAATCACCAAGGCAGAGTTCAGAGTCGCCAATTGTAACATTGGTCTTTCTAAGGCCCAGCCCTTGATGATGGTGAAGGCCTGGGAGGGGTCGCAATGTCAGGGCAGGTTGCTAAGGGATGGAAGAAACAAATGTGTAAGTTACCTGCAACAGAGATAGTTCTCATTCCTGCCCTATTAGCTTATACAGGGTCTTCAACAACAGAATTCCTTTGGTGGGGGCAGCTTGGGCAGGGGGTGCACAGAGGTATCAGGATTCGGTATTCACATCTGTGCATTGGAAAGGGGCTTACGTTCCATGTCATTAAGAGGACACTGAAACTAACTCAGTTGGTTGTCATGGAAAGTATTCACTTAGTATTTTCTAGAGTTTCATCCAAAAGTTTCATAAAGAAAAGTCTTCATAAAGAGGACGACAAAACGTTTCACAGAGATGGATATGAGGAACATTATTGAGAGAGAGGGATTGTAATCTAAACTCAGAAATGGAATGTTGGAAAAGCTGAGTTGGCATCTGCTGTTCTCTGGCTCCATAAGTCATTCTAAATCCCTTCTAACCCAGGAAGAGGACGACGGATGGATGGATCAGTCAGACCAGTTCAGGAAAATAGAGAAGAACATGAGGAAGGATGCTTCACATCCCTCACCCTCCCCTTCCTTAAAAACCGCAATGGGAAAGTCACCCATGAACTACCTTCAAAAAATCTAAGAAGTACTGACATATCGGGATTTACTCTGAAACTCAAAGGCTCAGATGGAGTTCAAGCTTCATTAAAACAAATTCTAAGGGACTGACAGACATTTTATTCTATTGCATTTTGCTATACTGAACTTTTTAGCCAGAAATAATTGGGCCACTGTAGAGCTTTTTAAAATGGAACTTGTGTGTGTGTGCGTGATAGAATTTGTTTCGTGAAACCATCAGTAATAAGAGGGACATGTTCGTACTCCATTTGCCTTCAGCCAAGCACTAATGGTCAAACCTCCCAACCCCCAGAGCAGGAAAAATACATCCAGATCCATGTTGCCTGCCGGAGTTTCTTACCTCTGTGTGTTTCTTGGGAAGCTTTCCAGTTTCCGGCTCTTTCGCTCCCCTTACCACAGCCAAATCTCACACAGAAGTTGGGCCACTGATGGCCTCTCGGGGCTTCTGGACTCACCTTGCCAAGAATCCTGGCCCTCAGGTCTTCTCCTCCCCTTTCAGCTCAGTTCTGTGAACAGGATTCTTTAAGGAACAACCTTGCATCCTGGGCAAGTGAGTGACATCCAGGTCACGCCCCCTTCTCAGCCGCCCTTCACCTGATCGCTTTTTAAAGGGGAAATTCCATCTCTCATCGAGACAGGAAGAGGCTGCCAAACCTTGGAGGAATCTAATATGTTGTTCTCAGGAAAGCAGGGGCATTTCTAAAAGAGCAGGCGTCTAGGCAAGGGGCAGAGGGAAGTTTTGCCCTTTCAAGTCTTTTCTCGCAGTCCCCACTACTTAGAATTGAAGGGCAAGAGGCTGGTGATGCGTCTAGCAGAGCTTACTATCGAGAAGGGCAGTAACAAGCTGAGAACCTTGAAACTGTCAGTGACCTTGACATGGGGATTTGTGGATTTATAGCCACCATTTACATACGGCTTTAGCTGTTCTTTCTTCTGGCAATGTCATTGACTGAGTACCACATCCATGCCCAGTGCTTTCCAACCCCCTTCCACAACCCAGAGAGGTGGAGATCTCTATCTCCATTTCGGCAGTGAAGGGAACAACAGTTCTCACCCAAGGGCACACACGATAAAGCATCAGAGTTAGAACTCAAAGATCTATGTCTTCTGATGCCAACTATCATTCTTGGGCTCAACCTATTTTAATCATTAAATGAATATTTGTTGAGCATCTAACTGTGCCTTAAATTGTTCTGGACAAGTCATGACGTTGACGTAGAAGGTGACATGGAAGCTTCCTCGGTTATGAGCAATGACACGTCCATGAGCACCAGCCAACCCCACTACCTGGAGGGGCAGGTGAGGCTGAAAAACACAGGGACCTGTCCAAAAGGCGATTTTGAATTTGGTCAGATCTTGGAGAATCTGATTTAGATCTACATACTACGTGGAAGCGCTTTGTAAATTGTAAAGCACTATACCAATGTTAATTATACTGAATTCTGCCAGTATAGCGACTATAGAGGTTATAATTAACCTGGATAAAGGTCATTTAGAATAAACAGTCAATGGAACAGATCTTATTCAACACCTGGCTCTTCAGAGTTTGCCAGTCCAGGTGCCCTAAGACATGACTGGGGCCCACTGACCTGCAGCATGTCAGTGACAGTCAGGAGACTGTCTGGCAGTCTCCTTTCTGGCAAGCCATTTCCAGCACTCGCCCGAGCCTCAAATCTCTTTCTCCAGTTACTCCAGCATAATGTACATCGAGAGCAAACAAAGTCACCAATGATGTCATGCAGTCACACTTCATTCCACAGGACTGAACAATGCAGAGAGCCACGCAGGGGCCAGCCCTCCGTCCCAACGGAGAACATCATCCATTCCTCCTCACCTGGAGCGAAAACCCATGAGAAAGTTCCTAATCCTGTAATGCTTAGCCCCAGACAAGGACAAAGGTGCTTGAGGAAGCAGGAACTGGAGGGATAACATCAACATAATCCTCCTCTGGGATTAGTCTGTGTAAGTCTACGGTTTAGCTTTGGCCTGTAATTATCAATACTAAATTTCATGGAATAATTTTGAATAAAGACATCTCAAAGAAAAAGTGAATGGCCCAGAAGTTTATTTTCTTCAATATAATACTTAAAATATTGCAAGAAAACATCAGTTTAGCATCCTGCCCCCCTCCATTTCTCAATCACTTTAGTATTTGATAATTAAGACCCCATGTGAGGTTGAAATGACTTGCCATTGTGGTCCCTCTATGACATGGTTAAGTCATATCAAATCCCAAGGCTTTTAACTAAATACTACATAGCTTCCCGCCTCCACTTAGCCGAGAACAATCGTTCTATTGACGGCCTTGCACAGGCTGACGTTAAAGACAAGACTGAACTTCTTCCACTGACACAGAGACCAACGCAGGAGGCAGCGGCACTGCTGGGCCTGCAGCTACTCCTCGGCCGTCCCATCCAGGATGCGTTTAAAGGAGAATGGACAGAACTTGTAACCAGCCCCGACGTAGAACTTATTCTGGAACTCCACCCTGTTGTTGGGGAGCAAGAAAAAGGGGGATTAAACACGTAAGCTAGAGGCTGGCAGCTGGAGGGAAGAAGCAAGCATTTGTAAGATCCAGCACAGAGTGAGAAAAGCACGCCGGGGAGGCACCCAGGCCAGCGCGGGAATCCCTGAGGCTTTTTAAACCCTTCTCTCACCTGCCTCTTAGACCTTTCCCTTGCCCTCACACCCCACTGTGGGCCTGTGCCAGTGACCTCACAGACCACAGCATAACCACTCTCCTCCCAGGGCCCCGCAGGCAAAGAGCCCTCACAGTGCGGCATCGTCTGAGGAGCGAGGGATGAAAGAGGGCTGCACGGGGTGCTAGGGGGCTTTATGTTTCCATCCTGACCTTAAATTGCGGGGCTTACACCACTGCGGAAAAACCAGAACCATGACTTACATTTTTATAACTTATAGAACCGAGATACCACATACGCTTGTTTAGGTTTTATTCTGTTGCAGAGTTCATTTCCTTAACGACTCGGGGAGAAATGATGTTATAACTTGTGGCAGGGGACGCCGTGATTCTCTCAACTCAATACAGGGAGTGTGAACACTTCTGTTTCTGAACAGCGGTCACAGAGGGAGGTGGAAAGCATCAGTGAAGCTGAAGGCAGTCTGTATGGCTTCAGGGCATGCATGACGCGCTTGAAATTCTTGGTTGAAAAGTGACTTGGGAGAGAAGCAGAAGCCTAAACAAATGTTTTCATGTGTGCAAATCTGGTGAGGGCTAATGGTCTCCGGACACACCTGTGAATGTCAAGTGCCTCCCGTGAGCACCTTCCTCCCTGCAGGTACCCTCCTTGTTTCCACTTTCTGGAGAGTTTAATTGCCTGTTCTACTGAAGTAATTCCCTTTTTTTCCCCCTTTTTTTCTTGAGGTAGATTGGCCCTGAGCTAACATCTGCTGTCAGTCTTCCTCTTTTCACTGAGGTGTAGGTCCCTGCCTGGGAACCGAACCCTGGCTGCCAAAGCAGAGCACACAGAACTTAACCACTAGGCCACTGGGGCTGGCCCTCTATAACGTAACTCTTGTGCTCAGCAACAAGGGCCACATGTCCCACATTCACTGAGCTGCCCTCTGTGAGCCTATTTTAGATAATACTTGGAGGTGTCCCTTATTTTGCAGCCAGTTGTAACAGAACAAAAGAACACTTCAAAGAGAAGGAGTAGACGGGAACTAACATTTTATAGGGCAGCCATTATATCTGTGTCCATGTGTGCATATATTACATCATTTAATATCACACCAACAGGTGACTTTCCTTCGAGCATCTGGAGCCTCCAGGGCATCCTTACCAGTGCAGTCGCAGGGCGTGCAGGAAAGCAGAGAGGCCCTCCATAATCAGGAGGATGGCCACTGTCAGGACAGCAAACACGGCAAAAATGATAAAGACCCCAATGAGTCCTCCCCAGCCTCGAATGCGAAGGCCAATGTCCATTACCATGGTCCAGAGCACTTCAGACAGTTCTGCAAGACGCAAGAGAAGCATTCTCAACCAGAGGGTTGATCTAGCAAAGGCACATTATTTTTATACTGTAATCCTGGATCTGCGCACCCTGTGATCCAGCAACTCCACTTGCCAGTGGAGGATATGGGCACGCGTGTTCTAGGGTACCTGTGTGAGACTGTCTACACAGCTGCATCCACAATGGAGGAGTTCCCACCAAGAGGACAAATGCACGGTGGCATATTATTCTTCAGTGAAAGTAAGCAAACTACAGTTACCAGGAGCAATGAATAAATTCAAGTAACATAATGTTACACCAAAAAAACAAAACACAAAAGAATACGTGTAATAGCATTTGATATGGACTGAGTGTGTCTCCCCACCCCTCAAATTCTTCTGTTGAAGCTGCAACCCCGAAAGTGATAGTATTTGGCAATGGAGCCTTTGGGAGGTAATCAGGGTTAGATGAAGTCACAAGGGTGGGGCTCCCACGAAGGGATTAGTGCCCTTACGAAAGGGACACCAGAGAGCTCACATGCACGTTCTCTTTCCCTCCCTTCCAGGGATACACTATCATTACGTTGTTGGGTTGAGACTTGTGGCCCCCCAACTAAAAGGTCACAACAACCTGGGCTAGAGAGATAAAGGCCTGTGACTTGCAAGCGGTGAGGGTGACATGGTGAGAGCAGAGACACAGGGGGGCACAGGAGGAGGACCTGTGCTTGCTCTCTGCCCCCCACCCTGAGTTCTGGCTTTCTGCCTGCTGCAGCAACGCAGGGTCCTTCTCCAGTGAGAACCCCATCTGCTCATCCCCTCACCCACCTCTCTTAAGTTGGGATGGATTCTTTGCTTCTATAATGAACTAAATTATCGAAATAAAAACCGAAAGCAATTTGAACTGTGCTGTGCTGTGGAACTCCTGCGCTTCTCCCACGGCTCTGAGACGTGCAAAATCACACGGAACTTCCCCCAGAGCGGCTTTCCTCTGCCCAGCTCCCCGCGGGCAGTGGTCTAACAATGACACCGCCTTATATTCAGAGACTTTCGGTGGAAGCCATTTCATGAGCGCCTCCCCACAGCCCTGTGGGACGGCGGGCATTTAATTCCAGTGTTTTCCTCTCGCCTTCCTTCTCCCCCGTCTTGGTGATTGTGAAGCCTGTGTCAAAATAGAGCCTCCCTCCGCCTGGGTCTTAGACGGCACGGATGAACACAGATGCGATAAATAGTAACCGTCTATGGTCTCAAGCTGCTGAGATCCGGGGGTGGCTGTTACTGCAACAGGTTCGAGCCTCGCCTGGCGAATACAGCAGGCGAACTACTAAAACCACACACGAACGTCAAGGCACACACAGATGAGGCCGCTTGCCTAAGTTACCAGCTAAAAGTGGTGGAACAGGAACTAGAACGTAAAGCAGTATTTTTATTTTTTTCACTCTACCAAACTACCTGTTCAAGCAAGTTTGTTAGTGTGGAGTGGAGGGTCTCTATAGGAGCTGTAACTCGCAGGAACTTCCAGAAAGAACCAGTGGGTGGACCATGGCCGGCAGCTGTGAGCCATATGGGTTTTCTGGGGTTAAATTACACCCTCAATGGGCAGGGGCTGGCCAGAAGGAACTCCAACAACCAGTGTCAAGCTCTTGCCTGGGTAATGAAAACGCCAAAACTCCTTCTCCTGTGCTATTTAGACTCAGCCCTACTGTGACCCGAGTCCCCCAAAGCACGGCTGAGGTTGGAGGTGAAGGCTGACCACTGACCACATGAAGCTCAGAGAGGCACTTGGGGTCCCTGGACAACCAGTTTACATGAAGGCCCATCAACGCACGAGTAATCGGATGCAGGTGCTGGTGGGTGTCTGTGTGTGGGTCCTTGCAGCTAGATGTGTGCACCTAACTATCTCTGTGCACATGGGAGTGTGCGTGTGTGTGCACAAGCAGGAGTTAAAGCAAGGAAATGAAGCCGGCCTGAGCAGTGCAGACTCATCGTAAGCACTTGTTTTTGCTGTAAATCAACAATCAGGCTCTGCCTTGCTGCATTGCCCTCTATCCGTTCAGCACACACCTTGGCCTGGCTTCTCTGTTCCAGGCATTGTGCTCAGTGCTGGGAATGCAGAGACAAAAGTCAGGCCTTCCAGGAGCTCACAGTCTAGTGAGGAGACAGGCTCATCCAGACAGAATTTCAAGCTGCTAGGATGGGGCACTCCCAGAACCCAGGGCAAGGGCACCTTCCAGACGGGGACCAGGGGACCAGGATTCCCAGGGGAGGTGCCATCTGAGCTGAGTCCTGAGGAGGAATTAGAAATCAGGTGGGGAGAGAATTAAAGGGAGGAGTCTCTCAGGCAAGGGAGCTGCAGAGCAAACACACAGAGGGGCCCAGAGAGCCTGGCATCTTCAGGAACATCCATGAAGTTCCTGTGGCCATTGCATATGAAATGGGGGGATGTGGGGGGACCGATGGGGCACTGAGGGAAATACCAAAGAGACTAGACCAGACAAGCAGGCAGAGATCAAGAGGGGTCTCACAAAGTAAGTTAGTGAGTCGGGATTCCAGACTTATGTCAACCCTGGGGCTTGAATCGCTACCAAAATTGGATTCCTGGGCCTGGCCTGACCCTAGACAGCTGTGAATTCACCAAGGTGGGGAGGAGGCCCTGTGGGTCAGCTCAATGGGCAGCCAACTGGCCCACCTCCTGCCAATGCTCACACTCAAGGCCAGCCTTCTCTCAAAGGTCAGCACCTTCCAGGAGGGCATGGCAGCCTAAAAAATGATCCCCTCTCCCAAGACGTCCTCATCCTAAGAACCCATGAATATGAATATATTACATTATATGGCAAAAGGGGCTTTTTGCAGATGAGATTAAGTTAAGAATGCTGAGATAAGGAAATTATCTTGGATTATCTGAGAGGGCCCAATGTAACCACAAGGGTCCTTATAAGAGGAAGGCAGGAGAGTCAGAGTCAGATCAAAAGGAGATTTGATGACAGAAGCAGAGGTGGGAGTGATGGGGCCACAAGCCAAGGAATGCAGGCGGCCTCTAGAAACTAGAAGAGGCGAAGAAATGGATTCTCCCCTCAAGTTTCCAGAATGAACACAGCCCTGCTGACACCTTGCTTTTAGGACTGCTGGCTTCCAGAACTATAAGACAGTAAATATGGATGGTTTTAAGCTGCTAAGATTTTGGCAATTTGTCAGAGCAGCAACAGGAAACTGATACAGAGGATAAGCATCCCAGCAATACAGACCCAGACCTACTGAAAACAAGTCACTTCTTCCTAAGGAGGGGCCATTCCTCTGGTAAACACATCAGTTTTAACCCAGAGAAGGCACTTGTACGTACAAGTCCATTGTGTCTATTTCCCAGGGGAGATTTGATTGTGACCCCGATGGGCGGTTCACTCACGTGCATGAGCCAGGCTGAGGGCCCAGAGCCGGAGGTAAGAGGCTGTGTTTGAAATGCAGCCCAGGCAGTACTCGATCGTGTGGATGGCTTGATGCACAAAGACGTCTCCGAAATTGAACTGAAAGAGAGAATTTTTTATTCTATTTCATTAAGTACTTTCTACACAAATGGTATCACCAGTAATACTTAGACGAATAAGACATGGGCTCTGCTGTGAAAACCTTTCCAGTTGAACCAGGGGAAAATAAATATAAATTAATATACTCGTAGAAAGAGAATTAGCAGCACAAAGTAGGATATGATATGTGTGCAGTCACAGTTGCCAGAAATGGTTGAAAAGAGCTCAAAGAAGAAGAGAGACTGGTTGGTAAGGGGAGAGGTCACAGGAGTTGAGATTTGTGCTGGGCCACGAAGGATCGGAAGGATCCAGAAGTAAAAGACAAGCAAGACCCCTCCTGGAAAAGAATATGACAGCTGGTTAAAAAAAAGGCAGGTGGTTGGGAACAGCAGGAGGGCAAGTTTGGGGGGAAAACAATTTGGCTGGAACTGGGAGCTTGTTTTGCTGAGGAGGAGATGAGAGCGCTCAGAAGTTTCGGGAAAGGTCAACTATGGACAGAGTTGAGAAAATAACCTGGAGTCAATGAGGAACCACATAGAGCATCTGAATAGAAAGTGGCAGGGGGAAGGGTCACACAGGCTCGAGGCTCTCAAGTCTGAGTAGCTAAAGAATGGCATTGACAGAAACGGAAAAACTGGGGAAGGAGATGAGTAGTTGATTCTCAGATGTGTTGCATTTCAGGTTATAGCTGGCCGTACAAGTAGACTCTCTCAGCACACAGCAGTAGAGGCAGAATAGGCTCAGGAGAAAAGTCCGGGTTGGAGGTGGACAGCTGGGACCTCCCCCGTGGGAGGAGTGACGGTGGGAGCTAAGAGGATTGAGATGATCAACAAGTTAAAGATCATAGAAAGAAGAGCTCCCAGCCTTGGGAAACATCCTCATTTGGCTAAGAAAGAGATTGATGATGAAAAGAAATTGTCGAAGAAAGAGGAGGAGTCACACGGCTGCAGTCAAGGATGGAGAAATATCCAGGAAGGAAGGGGTGTTGTGGCCGACCATGTCAGATGTTACGGAGAAAAGACAAAAGTCACTGCCTCTCAATTCAGCAATGAAAATAGCTGGGAGGAAATGAAGGGATGGGGATGGGCAGAGATGCAGAGAGTGGGTAGAGAGAGTCAAGGTAAAGGAATAATTAACCTTATGCAAACAGACGTCTTACTTCGCCCTTTGGCTCCTGGGAGGCAACCTTTAAACCCTTGGCATTTCCCAAGTGAAAGAAAGGTCTTTGTTATTCATCGTGAGCCCCGTCTGGGACCACATCTGATGGTTTATGTGGGGGCTGGCCACACCAGAAAGACCAACCACGTGGTTAGAGAGTTGAGACTTGGAGCCACATGTAATCAGCACAATCCCCAGGGAGGGGAGGGAGCTGGAGACTGAGTCCAACCACCTGGGTTGCACTCAATCAATCATGCCTACATAGTGAACCCCCAATAAAACTTGGGACACTGAAGCTCAGGTGAGCTTCCCAGGCCAGCAATGCCGTGTGCAGATTGCCACATGTCAATGCTGGGAGAGTAATGCATTCCTGAGGACACAGAAGCTTCTCATTTGAAACCCTCTCAGTGTCAGATTCTGCCTACGTGCCTCTTCCTCTGGCTTGTTCTGATGTTTTCACTTTTGCTACGACAAAACCTTAAGCGTAAATATAGCACTTCTTGAGTGCTGTTGAGTCGTTCTATAAATTATCGAACCTGAAGGAGTCTAAGGTTTCAGGCTGAAATGAACTTGTAACTGGCTGGTCTGAAGTGAGGGTGATCCTGGGGCCCCCCAAACTTGTGGCTAGTGTCAGAAGTCTTAGGCAGACTTGGCAGTCTGAAGAACTGTGCCCTTAACCTTGAGTTTGGCTAATTCCTGGTGGGGAGAGAGGTGGGAGAGGACTTTGAGGGGGAAACAGAGTCAAGCCTATATTTGTCTTTTGATGGGAGACCCATGCATACTTGGGGGAAGGAGCCTACGATGGAGCCTGAAGTTGCCCAAACAAGGGCAGCCAATGCATGGTGCAGGGGGCAAGTAGAAATGGACTGGATATACACTGAAGGCCTGAGAAAAACAGATGAGGGGGGTTGGACTGGACAAGCTGGGACCTGATGAGTCAGAAGATGTGTGGGTTGAATTCTAAAACATTCCAGCAGGTCCAACAGACTTAGTAATATCAATAGCCACGAATATGAGTTACTCTCTGTACCTGGAATCTTGTTGGAAAAATTTTCCATGATCCAGATTTTTCATTGATTCTAATTGACCCATCCATTAGCACGCAAATGATTTTATTTTTTAGTAATTAACACCATAAATGGAGCTACTTATAGCATCCCTCAGGCCTCACAGAAACACTGCCCCCACTCCAGAATTAGAATAGAGCTCCAGTTAAAACCCCCAGCCAATTCAAGATTGTGGGTGACTTCAATCATGGATAGAAACAGCCAGCTGCCTCCCTCTGGGAGAACATGGCACATTCCTAAGGGGGGAGTGGCTGCCCATGGACAGAGGTGGCAAGGAGAGAGGAGGGAACAAAACAATTCCTGAATTCACAGGAGAGGCAGATAATGTTACAGAGATAAGTCAACAAAGTCAAGACAGAGTGAGGGCTGAGGCAGGAGGAAGCGATGGTGGTGTGCATGCTGATGTCGGAGAGGAGGGCTGGGTACAAATAACCCACTTCTCGCTTCACTATTAGGGCTAGATTTGGACTCTGCTCTCACGGTTTGAGGAGCACTGATGGGAAAGCTCATAATAAATGTAGCTGACTCCCAGGGACACAGTTCTGAGCCATGGAGGCCTCAGGAACATTTAGGACCTTCTATGTCACTAGAGCTAAGGCTGATAGTCACCTCATATGCACAAATATAGAAGCACCTGGGCTAAAATATTAAAATACTCCCAGACTGGTAAATAATTGTTCTGATCTTCGTAGACACTCTCCCTCCCCCGGGACCTCCCCAACTTCCCATGACTCAGCAATTACAGGGCTGCCACCATTCCCATGACCCAGCAATTTACAGGGCTGCCACCAGCAGGGTCCTCCCAACCCTCCCAGCTCTACTGCCTAGGTCCATTCTGATGGGCTGCTGCCCATGCTCTCCTGACTGTTAAATATTTGACTATCACCCCTGACTAGATCCCCTTCTAGAATCTGTACAAGCTGGCAAGTCCCAAATACCTCTTCTTCATGGTCGTCCTTAGCCCCGTGGGCCCCTGCAGAAGCCCCCTGACCGGGGCTCATGGAAGGGTTGGAGTTGCCACCTTCCATGTCCTTGTTGGCATCTTCTTGGACCATGGATGCCTGCAACTGTCAACAAGCAAGGAAATGAAGCACCAAATTCATCCTCAGAATTAGAATTAGAGCAATTCTATATGAAATAAAGGCTCTCATTAAATATTAGGTACATACCAGACACTGTTCCAAACTCTATATTATCTCAATTGGCCTTCCTAACAATCTTTTTATGTAAGTACAATTTTCACCCCATTTTACAGAGAAGTAAAGTACCACACAGAAAGCTTAAGAAATGTGCCCAAGATCACACAGCTGGCAAGACTAGTTAGTGGCAGAGGAGGAGTCAAATCCAGGCAGTCTGATTGTGCAGCACGTGCTTTCCTCCACGGTGCTCCAGAAGGTGCCGAATCGACGGCAGTCTCTACAGTAAACGAATGCATGTACCAGAGTGCCTTTCTATTGTTAAAAAGAATACACGCTGTCATATGATTGTCAGTGTACCTTTGACACAGCCTTGTGACCTGGACAACCAAAATCCTATGGGCAAAAGTAACTAGGAGAGATGAATGACAGCTACAGTCTGAATGTGTGTATCCCCTCAAAATTCATATTGAAATTCTAACCTCCCAAAATGATAGTATTAGAAGGTGGGGCCTCTGGGAGGTGCTTAGGTCATGAGGGTGGAGCCCTCAAGAACAGGATTAGTGCCCGTATAAAAGAGGCTCCAAGAGGTCCCTTGTCCCTTTCATCATATAAGGACACAGTGAGAAGGTGCCAGCTATGAACCAGGAAGAGGGCTCTTGCCAGCAGGTGAACATGCTGGAGTCTTGATCTTGGACTTCCAGCCTCCAGAACTGTGAGCGACGTGTTTCTGCTGTTTATAAGCCACCCAGTCTATGGTATTTTGTTACAGCAGCCCAAGTGGACCAAGACAATGACTTTTCCAAAACAAATATAGCTTTAAAAATAAAAACATCACTTTATAACAACAGCTAAGAAAAATTTCAAGGAAAAAAAAATCTAGGTGTAGTCACCATTCAATTTGGCCTGGTTTTGAATAGAATGTTTCCTTCTTCTTCTTTTTCTTTTTAGTGAGGAAGATTGGCCCTGAGCTAACATCTCTTGCCAATCTTCCTCTTTTCGCTTGAGGAAGATCGTTGCTGAGCCAACATCTGCGCCAATCTTGGTCTACTTTATGTGGGATGCTGCCACAGCATGGCTTGACAAGCAGTGCTAGGTCCACAGCCAGGATTGGAACATGTGAACCCCAGGTCACAGAGTGCACTAACTTAACCACTACGCCACCGGGCTGGCCGCTAGAATATTTCTTTCAAGTTACTGTGAAACAATGTCCAACGTGTGAAGTTTTTTCTAGGATGATTTCACAGGTGGGGTATTGCACATTAGGCACTAAAATACTTTTCTATGGCATTAAGGTTCTTTTATTAGGCATTAAGTTACTTTTCTTTCTTTAAAGGGTCTGCACTCAATATTTGCAGGGCCCTTGGGAAAGGTAAAAATGGAAGTCCACTTGCCATATGTTTAAATATTTTAAAAGTTATAAATCAAGCCAACAAAATCCTACATAAAATATGTTCCAGCCTTCTATCTTGATAAATAAATCTTCACGAGAACTTGGAAGGCCAGGTTCAAATTCAGAGTCCCACGCCAGGACGTGGCAGCACAGGAGAGCTGGCCTGGACCACAGCATGCCTCTCTTCCCTTCTCATCTCTGGTTCATCCCACAGCATGAGGGCCTGGTGTGCACACGCATGGACACTCCCGCCCACAATGTCCATGTTCCACCCCCACTCCCCACAAACAGATGCCCCTTGGCCACACCAGGGTCTAGTGGAACCCATGCCGGCGGTGTGGCTGGCCCTTTGGAGGGCCCAGAAGTGGGCTTGAGTCCACCCAGACAGGAATTCCAGGGTACCAGGGACCAAGAGGGGGCTCTGGGTAAGCCTTTCCCTTTGGCCACATGGTTCCTTGCCCCATGGTGAGGGTATGGCTCAAGTTCACATTACTTTGCCTTCTTGAAATCCTATTTCCTCTCCCAGTCAACTTAAGGAAGAAAATACCAAAGAAGAAATGGAAGATAGTGGGGCCAACCCTGTGGCCGAGTGGTTAACTTCGCACTTTCCGCTGTGGTGGCCCAGGGTTTCGCCAGTTCGGATCCTGGGAGTGGATGTGGCACCACTCATCAGGCCACATTGAAGCAGCATCCCACATGCCACAACTAGAAGGACCCACAACTGAAATACACAACTATGTACCAGGGGGCTTTGGGGAAAAAAAGGAAAAATAAAATCCTTAAAAAAAAAAAAAGAAATGGAAGATAGTTTCTCCATTTCCATCGCTAAACTCTAGCCTTTTCTGGTCATTATCCTGGAATCGGTTAAAACGAACATGACCAAGTTTGCAGACTCATGATGCTGGACTTGGTGAATCCTTGTGCCTATCTTCTCCCCTTACTGAACTTACCATCTCACAATGTTCGAGGTGGGTGCCTAGTGAAATGAGACAGATAGCAAACCAATTTTAAATTAGTTACTAGCAACTTTCTAAAAACACATGTGCCAGAAGACATGCACAAGAATATTTAAAGCAGCACTATCTGTAATTACTAAAACCGGAGACAAGCCAAATAGCTATCAATATATGAATCAAATCAATATATGAATGGACTGAAAAATTGTGTGTTCATGCAAGGCAATACTATATAGCAATCACACACACACACACCCTCAAATACTATAGGGCGTACTATATGATTCCATTTACATAAAGTTCAAGAACAGGCAAAACTAACCTATGTGTTACAAGTCAGGATGATGGTTGTTCTTGGGGTGAGAGTGACAGGAAGGAGGCACCAAGGGACTTATGGGTCTGATGGTGTCGTGCGCCTTAATCTGAGCGCTGGTCACACAAACTGGTCATGTTGTGACACTTCACTGATCTGTGCACTTTCCTATATGTATGTTATACTCCAGTAAACTTTACCATAAAAAATGCACATGTAAACATAAAGATTTTCAATAAGAATGCAAAGTTACTTCACTGTGACCCAGGACATGGGAGCGGGAGGAGACCTGGGTCCATGGCAGCAGGTCAGAGGTCACAGCAGACTGTGAGAGGCCCCGGCCGTCCTGGCAAGGAGATGTGTACTCACTGACTAGCTCAGGGCAGAGGCCACAGGGCTCGCTAGTGAAGGGGTTTCCAAACCATGTTCTGCATGGACCTCAGGTTATAGGATCATAGAGGAGCCTGAGTGGATGGGACCTCTGCTCACATCCCCTGAGGCTCATCAGAACTAATCTATTTATGATCTCTACATATTAGGCCTTCTTCAGGTTTCATGGGGAAATTAGGAAGGGGCCAAATTATACCATTACAGAATTATTTCTTGATGGAGGTGGTAGGAAATGTTTCTAACATGAAAAAGGACCACCAGAACCCTAATCAGCAGCCTGAGGAATCAAACAAGAGCCATGAACCCCAAGGGCCAAGGAGACAGGCCTCCCAGCAGTCTTGGGGAGCTTGCATCACCCAGAGTCAGTTTAGGAGGTACCATCCAAGATGGCAGACTAAGAAAAACCTGTCTCTTCCTTCCCTCTTGTACAAATCATCCGTGGGGAAAAGGGAGAAGTCCACCACCTTGAGATCAGCAGCTATCTAAACAGCTCTTGCAGAGCAAAGAGTAAGACGAGCCATTGTCTTAGAGTCCTGGGACTCAGGTGAGCCAGCAGTAAACTAGCTCTCGACCTACGGACAGGTTGAGTTTCTAGGAAAGAGAATTGCATCTATTCTACGATTTGTAGAAGGTATTTGCCACCTTCCTTTGAAACATCTGGTCACCTGTTTGAACAACCTTCCACCTCAACCACCTTTACCATCTTGGCCTCTCACCAATTAACCAAAGAATAAACAAGTATTCTTCACCTTCCTGTTTATTTATATCTCACATAAATTATATTTATCAGAAGGCTTTGGAACAAGTCAAGGCTGGCAGGAACTAGACAAGGAGAGGAGAAGCAGGTGCTATAGAAAGAGGGTGCCACCTGGGGATGAACCCTCTGAACTCCAGGCTCATCATTTCCAGGGCTCTGACTCTACCGCTGGCCAGTCAACATCCAACAAAGATTTTAGAGAAAAAGGAATTTATCTGAAAATACCTACAACCATTTAAAACAGACGTAGTCTCAGCACATTCCACTCAATCTTCTGCACTAGTGGAGGAAAGCAGAGACTATCTCAAACAGCGCTTGTGTGTCATTTCTAGACTCTGATGTCCCTGGAAGGTTAAACTTCCCAAAACCTATTTGATTTAGGCTGATGGTAAACTCTTCCTCGCTCCCTGAGTAAATCTGAGGCTCAGGAGCAGTTTAGACGAAAGGAGGAAGTGGACTGAAACTGGGATTTGGCAATAGGGGAAAAATCACAAATAAATAAGAATTGACATTCGAATTTGTTAACTATCCTAGTTCTCTCACACGATTTGTAACATTATATAGTAAAAGTTCACAACTTTAGACTCCTGATGAAAACAACTTTCACTATTCATTAATAAAGTAAAAATATAGTTTTAAAAACTCTTTGTTTTCAACTAATAAAACAACCACATTCAGACCCTGATAAGTCATTAACTGCCACTAGACTTGGCACACACACACACACATACATACACACTCACAGACACACACACACACCCCCCAAACAAAGTTTCTAAGTCATAAGATTTAAATGTGCTTGCCCTTAATAGAGCATTATGCCGGAAATGAGAAGGCCCAGAGGAAAAGTGGAACTTTCCAGAAGGAAACACACCTGGGGCAGGCCTGTTCCTCACCTCTCCACTCGTCCTTCAGGCCCTGTGTGCCCTGCGTTCTCTCTAAATCCCAGATTCTATTTCCAAGGAACCCACACTCCTCCCCGCAGTGAGTGAATTGACATGAATGGCCCTTACCTGGGATTTCCGATGATTGGCTCGAAGAATAAATGGCTTAATAAGAAGCATCCAGGGCACAGAAATCAAAGCCATAATAACAAAGAAACTTTGGACTTCTTGCTGCAAGACCAAAGAGGTAAGATGCTATCATTTTCAGGTGATCATACAGCATACTTTATATGATAAAAAATGATAAACATGGGTCATTCCAGTTGCAGTAAGAGAGCGAAAGCATTTCAGTGAATCCACTGACCTTCACATCTTGGAATATTCCCCCTGCAGACAGAGAAATGTCGGTGAAGTCGTGCCCGGCGTCAACACAGGGCGGGCACTGGAAACGCACTGTCTTTATCCCTTACTCGCTACGTAGCCCCTCATTAGACACGTGGACCACATGTAAGCAGTCATTTGAACAGGAAGTGCTCATGAGACACATCATAAGGGCAACTTTATTTGTCCCTTGTCCTTCAACTCCCTTCCATGGAACAGTTAGCCCCCCACTCTGGATGAAAAGTGTGGCAGGTCTCATAACTTCACCAGCCACTCTAGTGACCCAAAGTCCTTGGGTACTTTACTCACAAACATTATCTCAATCGTTAGTTCTATATTCCCAGCACTAGATAATTATCTGAGTTCTCTCTTTCAAAAAGAAAAGCTCCTCGCAGTCTCCACCTGATGAGCATACTCTCATTGTGCGTAGGTTCCCTAACAGGTCCTGGGATCTCTATTTTGACCTCTCACTGTCTCTCCCTCACAACTCACTATTTGGAATGAGGCACCTATGGCCTTTATGCCTCGGTTGAAACCCAGGAGGGGATCTATTTTATCTTTCTGTTACATATTTCCTTTCACATCCTTATGCTCCCACCTCTTTTTTCATAGACTCCTAGTCACCAACTTTGAGAAGTGACCCAGAGCTGCTATTGTCAAAAGAACCAGGAAGCCTCAGAAGCTGGTGGAAAGGAATGAAAACTGGGTGCTCCTAGAAAAAGGAAAAACATTCCCTGAGCCTACACATTTCTTCAACTGTGCGGGCCAAGCTCTCAGTGAATGCCAGGAGATAATTTATTATCCCAATTGTAACAAGATTTACCCTGATAACAGTGGGAACATCTTATCTGCTCAATCTTCTACCCTCCTCTACTCTTGAATGCTCAAAAGAAGGATGGGAACCACGTGACCACGCACTGCACTTGCCGGTCCTGGTTCCCTGAGCACGAAGCTACCTCATTGCCGTTTTTCCATTTTCACACAACGCTTTTCCCCCTCATGAGGTACAAAGCAACTGGAGATTTATATTTCTCTGTTGCTCTTCCTCTCTGACATTCAAACATGGCACTAAGACAGCCAAGGCAGTGTTGGGAAGAGGCTGTATTTATCAACTTACATTGTCTCTTCCAGCTGCATGACCCCAAAATGAGGTTATGGAAACTTCAAATTATGTCAAGGTAATTAATCTTCATAGGAGGGCATGGGGAAACCAGCCCACTCCCGACAATGTTCGTGAATGGAAAAGCCATACACTGTGCAACGCCCAGTGCATCTTCCAGACTAAGCGAGGACTTCAGTCTTTATGAACGGAGTTAGCACATGAAATATTTGGTGAATCTGAGTCCTTTCCCTAAAAGAGAAGACTCATTTGGGAACTCCAAGGAAACTTCCATTTAGACTCCAGCATTGAGTAAAGGAACCTTCCAAGCACATTCATTGAATGCTAACAGTCTGGGGTGGTTCAAGGTCACCAACCATGTATAACAAAGAGGTGCTACGACAGTAAGGGGCGGGATACCACAAAAGAGCTCTCAGAGGCATATGTCTTCTCTGATTATTACCTAAAGTCATTCCTTATTTTTCATAAAAATGCCCTGGCATAAGACATTGTTTCTCATTATTTGCTGCTTCTGTAGGGGAGGAGAACGCAACTAGGAATCATGCTCGTGAGGACACGCATGGCCACAGGAGGAGCGTGACGTTAACTAGGACGCCCAGGATGAGTGCTCACTGGCAGGGGACAGATGCACCGAAGGGCCACCTGGCATTGGGAAACCAGCCCTAGAGCTGGATGCAGAGGAGTCAGAACCTATATAAGCGAGCTCTCCTTAGTGACAATCTACCTTCAAGCAATATTATCAGGTTAATCACTGGAAGACGCCAGAGAAGAACTATTTGTTACCAAAGAATTACTCACTGAGTTATTTTTATACCCAGCTCCCATGAGACATTTATTCTTTTTAAAAATAAAATATTAAGTTGATAATGTGGCTGAATTGCCAAGTTGACCATGAATTGCTAGAAATGGAAGAAATCAGAATGGCAGTAAGGTCTAATTGTTGGGAGGTACCGTCCACGGAGGAAGAGCCCAAAGAAAAAAGCAAAAAAGCATCTCCACCTAGCCACAGAAGCTCATAGGGGAGTTCATAGTTTTCCAGAAACCCATTACCCATGTGAACAGAGGGACTCCTCTTCCTGAGCCTATTTCCATTTTCTTTCTTATGAACCTTAACTAGAGTTTACTTTCAGAAAAAAAGGATTATTAAATTTTAAGGTGCTATTTAGTGCATTCACAGTTTCTAGCCAATCAATTAGAAGGATTATTTTTTTCTTTCTTCACAGACAATGCACAAACCAATTTTCAATGCCACAGCAATAACCCCTCTCATGTACGTATCACCCAAATAGGAGTGACTGGAGTTGCACCACCACACTGCCCTCAGCACCTGCGCACTCATCCAAGAGAAGCCTTCTGAAATTTACAGAACCTAACACCCTTGACCGGGTGCTAAGATGGCTCAGTCATGCAAATAACCACTCTCTGCAATACTCAAGAGTATGCGAGAGTATAATCAAGTGCACAAAAGAAGAAAAACCCATAAATACCTGATGTTTGTAGAGGGGTGCATTAGAAGGGTCATTGTAGTTGAACAGAAACATGTTGATGAAGTGGATGAGGATGCTTGGGGCGTGCTGGGACATGTGGACGTCAAAGTGGCACCATTTGAAAATGATCATGAAAACCAAGTATCCAAACAGACACAGGATAAAAATCATCTCTGGGATAAATTGCAGAATGATGTTGAGAGTTTTTCTGAAGTATCTGGGGTGGAAAAAACACAGACATACAAGATAGAACACCAAAGGAACAGCAGTGACTAATCATTCTCCCCAACGCACAAAATGGTCCTTTTTTGAACACTGCATCCACTGCCTTAGCAAGCAGCAATCATGCATGGATGGGAAAGAAGAGAAGTGAAAGTGCTTTTGCACAAAAGATCCAGAAAGAACCAGGGTCTACAAGGTAAGTCTGACGCAAAGGTCAAGCACACAGAGAGCTGGTGATCTGGCCACAGCTTCAAGCGCAGACCTAGCTCCTATCAGCACCGTCAAAGGCACAAAGGTACAGAAGGGTGTCTTAGAAGCTCTTCTCCTAAGAATGCCCCAAGACAGCGGTTGGCAAACTATGGCCCGTGGGCCAAATTGAGTCCATCAGCCATTTTTGTACAGCCTGTAAGTTAAAAATGGTTTTTACATTTTTAAATGGTTGGCAAAAAAATCAAAAGAAGAACAATATTTTATGACACACGAAAATTATATGAAATTCAAATTTCAGTGTTTCTAAATAAAGTTTTATTGGCACATAGTCACACTCATCCGTTTACATATTGTCTATGGCAGCTTTCACATTACAACACCAGAACTGAGTAGTTGTGACAGAGACCATGTGGCCCGCAAAGCCCAAAATATTTACTATCTGGCCTTTTACAGACAAAGTTTGCCAACTCCTGCTCTAAGAGACACAGTCCCACAAGGCTACATTGGGGGCTGCCAAGTTAAAACATCAGAAAGGGCCCCCACTCCCTTTGTTAAATTTCAAGACTCACTTGAAGGAAAAGGGAGATCTCACGATAAAACAGGATTGCCAGAGAGAGTTGAGGCCAGCCTGACACGTAATGACAGCAATTATAGTTTAGTCCAGAAAGTGCTTTCCAGGATTAACTCTCATTTAATGTCACAGCACTTTCAGGCAGGCCGTGGTGCTAAGCTGCTTGTCATTAGTTTACTCATAGTTCTGATTTTTCAAGTAGAATCGTGCTTCTATGGACTCTCAGCTCAGGGGTCACCGGGTGACTGGTTCTGGCCAACGAAATGGGAATGGAAGTGACAAGTGTCACTTGGGCGGAAGCTTGATCCAATGTGTACTTGACCACTCTCCTTCTGCCATGGCAACTGGCAGTGTTCCAGAGAGTGGCTGCCCATCGGCCCAGGCCCCAGTGTGAGGATGGTGGTAGCGGAACCCCCCGGTGGGCCCATGATGGACATATGTCACAATCTTGAGCCACTGAGATTTGGGGGTTGTTGGTTACTACACAATAGCTTAACCCATTCTGACCACTATATTCCCACTCTAAAGAAGAAACACTCTCAGAGACTTAAGCAACATGTCTACGATCACACAGCTATTAAGAGTTGGAACCAGTGCTTAAACTTCTGATTCCAAACCCTTTATCATTTCTTTGGTGCCCTGCCGCCCTCAGTTCTAAACTACACAGCAGATGGGGCTTCAGCTACACACACAAGCTGCGTGTCCACACAAGGTGCCTCTGAATAGGCACATTTGAAACTGTTTTCAAACGTTTATACATTTAGCATAAATAAGTTTGAGAAGCTTTCCAGAGACAGATCTTGATAGAAGGAAAGGAACAGACAGGACAGCATTAACAGCCAAAGAAGTGAGAGAGGCTGCTGCGAAGAGGAGGAAATTACACCAAATGGAATTCAGAATCTGAGGGCACTTTGGTTGAAAGGCATTTACATCCCCCTGTGTCCACTGACGGAAGCTAAGCCTGGATACAGCGCCGACGGAGGCCTTTCATGGTGGGGGACAGAAGGCGCGTGGGCTCGCCAGTCTCTTTCTGACCCTCAAATATCTCTGAGGTGAAAGGTTCACTCACCTTTAAGAGACTCAGCTGAGGAGAAACATAGGTGCCATTTCTGGCAAACCAGCTTGGCCTGGCTCAAGCCAAGAGATGCAGGAGGGCACTCCCCATGGGAGGAAAGCCCTCACTCAAAGGGACGCAGGGCCCGACTGGCGGCTTTGTCACTGCTCATCACCGATGTGGTCAGACCACAGGCAGAAAGTTAATCACGCAACTTACATGTGATTGAAGAGGCTGAGAATAACGCCAAAAACCATCTGGACGATTCCCAGGATGACCGACATCTTCATTTTATAGGAGTTCAGGAACGTTAGTTTGTTTGAAGCCACGTTCCAAATCTGGGTGGGAAACGTGACAAGAAATACATGAGATCAGAGTCTGGAAGTTCTGCTGGAGTTGGGGGCTCTGGCACGATTTCCTTTAAGGAATTCACTCTGGGAACCACTTTTTCCAATTTCAGTCCAGTTCAATGCACGCATTTTAGAATCAGAAAAGGAAAAGGACCAAGCCCTTTATAAAAGCAACTCTAAGGACAGACGTGTCAGAATCATTAGTGTCATTAGTAAAATATCAAGTGGCTGGAAGGAGACGGGAGAAAAATCTACATGATTTTTCCCTTGTTCTAAATGAAAAAAAATTCTGAAACATTCTGGAGATCTCAAATTTGCCTCATTCCCTTAGTAAAAGCGTAGACCTCTGTCCCATGAATTTATCCAATCCCTTCTTAATAATGCCACCTTTTACTCTGAATTTCTATAGCACTTCACATTACAAAGCTTTTCCCAGGTCCTTCTCAAGAAGCCACTCCTGTGGCCAATACTTATTAGCACTGTGCCTAAGACGTAGTCCTTGCCTTCTACACAGGCTCTGTTTTAAACAGAGCTGCCAGGCTTGCAAAGTGAGGGAAGCTGTGCTTGCCTGCCCCAAAGGAGACACATACACAGAAAAAGCACTCAGGTTAGGAGGCTGGTCAGGGTCTCTCCCTGGTTAACGACCCCAGTCACTAATGTCCTTCTTCCCCACAGAAATCTCAAACACCCCTGGGAGAGGGGTCTCCACTCCTACCCCATGCAAATGATTGGTGTGCTCCTCTCCCGACCCTACTAAACTAAGCACATCCCAAACTGCCGGCTAAACACATCTTGGGGGTTTGTTATGGTGCATCTCGAAGGTAAAAAAGCCACCAGGGTCTTCTCATCTTCCCTCCTAAAATGACTTCCTCCTCCAAACTTCTTTGCTTCTGTTAAGGGGTCAACTGCCCTAAGTGCAGCCTCAATGTACAGTCACCTTGCCCCCTCCCCCATGCGCACATGGGCAAGAACCACATCTCACTGATTCTTTCTTTACAACGTCCTCAGCGGCTGGCAGCTGGACAATCACTAAGAGGGCTGCTGGGAAGGCGGGGGAAGGGACTCCCGTGACAGGTGCACAGACGTTGGAGGCGCCTCCATTCCCCTCCCCATCTGCCTTGGCATCTGAGCTGCACCAGGCTCGCCCTCCACCCTCTGCTTTTCCCTTTGCCCACCTGGTTGGCCAATCCCCATAGGATCATTTGACATGGTGAGGGCAGGGTTACCAGCACACTTCAGACCCAGCCAAATGTGAGAAACCAAAACATTCATGGTGAAGTACGAGCCACATACTAAGCTCTTTAAATGTATTTACCTCGTTTAATTCTAACAAAAGTCCTCTGAGATAGACGTAAGTATTCCCATCTTACAGATAAGGAAATTTCTTTTAATCTCAGGGCGATTATTTACACACCTAAGAAGAAAGAATATAATAGCAAACAGAGTATTTACCTGTCTATGGACAAGACTCTGTCCTGGGTGTTCTACATGTAAAAATCATTTACTCTCCTGAGCAACCCCGTGAGTTAGGGCTGATATTATACCCATTTTACAGATGAGGAAACAGAGACACAGAGATGTTAACTTGCTCAAAATCACACAGCAAGGAAAGAGAAAAGCCAAGATTTAAACATAGGTTGTCTGATTCCTAAGTGTGGACTTTTAACCACTGTGTTATGTTTCATTTATTATAAAATATTTACAAACACCTTTAGAAAGATCTCTCAGCTCTGATAGCCAAATATTTTGTGATTTGATTCACAAATAGACACTGCACACAGTCAATAAATGCAACTGTAGAAATTTACATTAGGTAAAATGTAATATATATAATACATATTATACATTTATTAATATATATAAGTGCTTATATAGGCACAGAAGTGTTCTGTTACAAAGGTTATCTCTGGGGAATGGAATTGTAGGAACAGGAAAGGTAAGGTGGACAACTCTTTTCATTTTTTATAATATTTTGTATTATATGGATTTTTAATCATATATATTACTTTATAATAAAAAGACCAGAAATTTTCAAAAATCTAAATGGTACTAGGAAAAAAATTTATTATGTTTGACATCCCATCTTCTCTTTCACCCTCACATTTTTCCTTTCTTTTCTAACTAGTGAGCAGATGGCAAAATTGCATGCAGAGCGGAAACTCTGGACCACTCAGTCTGAAATGTGAAATGCACTATGCTTTGTCTGGGAGGAGCAGAACCAGGCAGACAGGATCTGCTGATGAATTAGACGTGGCCGTGAAGGGAAGAGAGAGGACAGTAGAAGTAATGAGATTCAAAGCAAGGTAAGGTCAACCAGACCCAAAAATCAGCCCCCTCTGGACGCCTCCTTGCCTGCTTGTCGTTCATAAAACTCCTTGGATCAAGGATAAAGACGTCCAGTCTACAAAAATAACACCTTGCATTTGTTTTTAGCACTTTGCAGCTTACAAACAAGCTTTCAAAGACTTTACCTCTTTTGATAAAACTTAGAATGCAAGTGCGCCTGGGTGGCAAGTATAAACAAATGCTGGCTGCTCCTGTCTGTTTTTGTAAGGGAGGGGAGGTGGGCAGACAGTGGGAGGACCCGGGAAAACGGAGGAACAGATGACCTGCAAGATAGGAGAGTGCAATTTTAGGACCAGTACTGTTTACTCTCAACTGTCAGCAATTAAAACTGAAGTCTCAGGTTCTCTCCCACAAAAACAGCTTAAAAGAAACACATGGATAGCATTTGCCAAGTTCAGGTCTATACCCTCGCGCTCATTTGGAGCACAGGGCCGCCACCTGGTGGCAATATGCGCTGGGCCATAGGTGTGCACGGTTTTACACAAAGAGGCATGCGAGTCTTCTGGAAAACCCTTTAAATCTAAAGGCTGTGTGAGGAAGCACTTTTGTTTCGCCTGGCTCAAATCCAATGAGATAAATACAACAAACAAACAAAAGTTAACATATACCATGTTTTTTCACTTGCATCAATTTTATGAAGTAAAATAAAGCAAAAATAAAAGCAAACCCATACTTTTCTAGGAAAAATGGGAGATGTTAACTGGAAGAGAATGGCAAAACAGAGAACTTGATTAAGATGCTAAATAGCTAATCTAATATGCATACTTTCCAGGCAACTGAGGGCTTTTTAAAGAAGCAATCATGAACCAGCAGGGGATACCTGCCAGGAAGAGGCAGATGTTTGAGGGCGCCGTGGGCTGGCTGAAGGGGGCAGGCAGGACATTTACTTGAGTCCAGCACAGTGTATCACAAAAACCTCAAGTACACGTTATTGTATCTCAACATCGGTTTGTTGATTTGACAGGTTCTGGCACTTTCTTCCCCTCTACCAGGAGATCTCCTCAGCAAAACATTTTACATAATAAATATTTAACCCAAGAAGACATTATTACCGGATCAATCCCAAATGGATATGGATTTCCAGAGTACACTCCTGGAATGGCCGGGTCCAGCTGTAAAACTGGGTTTGTTTCCATTACTTGTCTACTACAGGGGGAGAAAGGAAACAAAAGCAAAACCAATGATCAACCAGAGGTAGGAAAATGACACGCCATCCATCAGTCATGAACTGGCAAGGAATCAAAGCCTAACTGTTGGTGCAACCCATCAATTTGGCTCCTTCAATTATTCTACGACCGGGTCGGGAATACCTACTATGTGCCACGTATAGTCCCGGTGCTGAGGCTACAGAAATTACCACATGGCCCCTAGGAGCTCACAGTCTGAGTTTCCAAAGGGCTCTCCACCTGATGGGGAGTGGTGAAGAAAAACAGTTACCCTACATTAGGAAAGAAGTCAGGGCAGGGATGGAGGAGCATGTAGGAAATAAATCCCAGCCCAGGGACCAGCCTGGAAAATCCCCCCCGGAGCATGTGGGCTGATCCTGGAGGAGTGAATGGGCTTTCACCTGTGGGACCTCATCTCTGTGAAAGCCCTCAACAGTTGTGGCCCATTGAATGTCTTTAAATCTGTGTCCCATTTTTGCCCAGAAGCACAAGTGTCAGTGGATAGTCTCTGCAAGCCCTTAGGGAATAAGAATATTAAGGTTTAATTTTTTTTTTTTAATTTTTTTTTTGCAGAGCAACATCTATGGAGGGGCTTAAGAATGAGTATTTGAAACGATGAGGAACAGAGTGCTGGCAACTTTGATGGGCTTCCTAGAAATACACTCCCTCCCTCCTGCAGCTGAGGAGCGAGGGGCTATCCAGGGAACTGAGGAAGGGCAATCATGCTGACCAGGCCCTCAGTGTACGGTGGAAACAGCCGGCCCTGACTGGCCATCGCAGACATAGATCCTGTCCTAACTACACGCTTCAGTGCAAATGGCTGGATTTAAATAGCAGAGAGGGGTTTGTATGTCGACAAAGAACAAAGCTGCCCTTGATGGGAGGGAACAGGCCTGGTACCTAGAGCTACGCCAGCATCTGCTGCTGAACATAAACAACTTCACAGGATGCCAACATCAGACGAGGCCACCCTGTGACCAAGAAGGATCAAGACAAAACAAGACCATTCAACAATCATATCTGAACACAGGCAAAAATAAAAACATTGTCTAAACTACAAAAGCAACCAAGCACCCCCTCATCCTCACAGAGGCCAACTCCTATAAGCCCTCTCAAACATCCTCTTCCTGAGATGCCCACATTCCACAATGGTGCGCCATCTCCCTCATTGAGTCAACAAACCCAATTTGGGTGACAACAGGCATGTTTCTGGTGGTCTTTGGCTGAAGGACACTATGACAGTGACCCTAGTTGATTGTCAGAGAAAGCAAGCCCAAGACCTAGCAGGTGACTGGTGACCAAAATCAGCTTGCTGTGTCCCTTGCTGTTCCGATGGATGACTGCCATCTTCTCTAGCCTCGCTGCTAATGAGGTTCGGCTCCACACTATCGATGCCTGGGCAGGTGGCTGAGCATCTCTCAGACTGGGCTTGGCCTCAAAGAGCCTTGAATGGGACAGGGGGAATTTGCATGTGCGTAAAAGAACAACATCCTGACCTGCGTTTGCAAAGTGACAATAAGCCAGTTGTCTTGGACCTTTCCCAGTCACACCCCAGGGTAAATGAAATTTCGCGTTGGTAGCTTGGTGAAAACTATGCTGATTTAACACATGTTTTAAAAGTCCATAGCTATGCTTATGAGTTTAAATCTGAAGAGCAAAATTAAGTAATTTGTCTTTAAATCTGTGAATGTCTTGTTCTCCTAGGCACGTCTTTAGAACACCAGTTGCAAAGCAAAAACAATCAAAACCAAAAAAACCGTAGATATAGCCATCCGTAATTCTGGAAAATGTTTTATTCTTCATTTTTATTTACTTATTTATTGTTCAACATTCCTGTTCTCTACCACAGGGAACTTGAACCCAGCAGGGAAACTAAAAGGGAATGCATTGGACCTCCACGACATGCCCCCCACGCTACCACAGGCCCCCAGAGCCCACCCGCGTCTTCAATGAACATCAGGCCCTTAAAACGCACTTGGGAAAGTGCCAAGTCATAAGGCACCCTGGAGTGGGTCTTTTCTGACTGAAAAATCCTTGGATGAGATTGATGGTTTATTCTCAGCCCCCTCCAGCGGTGTTTAGTGCAGATTTTGGTGAGCAGGCAAAACTCTTGAAGTACCTTAAACAGAAAGCTTAGCGTCCCACCATGCTTGGGAGAGAGCAGACGGGAAGTGAGATGTGATGGGAACACGTTCACACATCTCTGCCTTCACTTTCCTTCAGTCCCCTCCTGTCATACTCTCAACTGGAAGTTCCAGAATGAGAGAGAAACCTTAAGCCAACCTGAAGAAACTGAGCAGACAGACGTGCGGAAACATCACCTGTGACTTTTAGGCTTCGTCACTTAGCCCTGAAACTACCATGGTTATCTCAGGTGTGTGTCCCCGGAGCCAGAGGTCCCCCAGAGACCACAAGGTGGTCACAATTTCTACTGTTTCCCTCAGAGTCCCCCACCCTCCAGGGCCCTGCTCTTCTCCCCCAATTCTTCAGACTGGCTACCTCTCAAACTTGAAAGTCTTTCTCCCTCCCCACAAAAGTCTCCAATCCTGGGGCCGGCCCCATGGCCAAGTGGTTGGGTTCGCGCACTCCGCTTCGGCAGCCCAGGGTTTTGCCAGTTCAGATCCTGGGCGCGGACATGGCACTGCTCATCAGGCCATACTGAGGCGGCATCCCACATGGCACAACTAGAAGGACCCATAACTAAAATATACAACTATGTACTGGGGGGTTTGGGGAGAAAAAAGGAAAAATAAAATGTTTAAAAAAGAAAAAAGTCTCCATTCCCTAAGAACTGTGTTTCCATTCTGATGACTGTTTGTCTGATTAACTGCATAAAATAATTGTGGAGTGCCTATGGGAGATGTGGTTTGTGGGGATGTAGAGAGCTTCCAGGTCTTTCTTTCCTGTAGCCAACACATCGCCCCACCAGCTATCCCGCACCACCCCCTGCCCTCCTCACTCCATTGCCCACGAGAAAAATCCAGGGTGCCAGCATTGCAAAATTAACCGTCTCCTCCTTTGCTTTTGACATTGAATCAAAGCGCTCTGAACAGTCAAAGAAAATGCCCTTCTGGAGAGTCTGGGGTCTTGAAGACTGGAAACCAATCATTTATATAGTTCAATGCCCACATCGGCCTTTCTTAAAGCAAAGCTTCTGTCCTAAGGATGCACGATTTCACTCTATGTCTAGTTCCCTGCAGGGCCAGGTATGTTTCAAACTCCACCTTCTTCTCCAGGAAGCCTCGCTCCCATGACTGCCGCTATGAGGGCCAGTTTACGCCCGCTCTAGCACTTGGGTTCCCAATAGTGCCTGGCACATAGTACGCACTCCATGAGATACGCTCAGTTGAGCTGAAGTTTTAAAAATGATTTTCATGCATTACAGTTACCAGCACAGTTACTGAGGAAGTGGCACATGGACTTGCACTCAGCAGATAAAACAGAATTACCTGTTGAATTTGTGGGTGCACCTCTGAGCAGAGCCAGGCGTAGACTCCCCTGGCCATGAAAACTGTCACTGAGACCACCTGGATGGCCAGCGAGTGACCTATCTCTGCCTGTAAACTTACTTCCAGGTGCCATTTCTGAACATGGGTCGGACACTCCAAGAAGAACCAAAGATGTTGAAAGACTTGGAGAAGCAGTCGTTGTAAATCAGGCCCGTGTAGATGGAGAAAACACCCATAAGGAGGATCAGATAGCGCCCGTTGAAGAAGGTGTTCCAAATCTGGCCTCAGGGAGACAGAGAGGACAATTGTCAGAGGGCTCTGAGCCAGACCCTGGGGGAAAGTGTGTTAGAGGACGTCTCCAGCACCACTAGATTAGCCACAGCAAGGCGCACAGGCCCTAACAGAGGGGCCGCAGGACCAGGCAGACCTGAAAGCAGTACAAATAGAAAGAGCACACCCAACATTTTCCCAAGCTTACACAGGTGAATCAGAAAAGTTCTAGACTGGGAGTTGTTATTGTGGAAAACCACAGAGCCTCACATTCTTTAATTCAGCCTCGGTTAGAAATTGTAACTGAAGCAGAAGCTGAGGCTTCACCTGTAAAGGAAGAGACTTGAAAGTGAGTTGCTGTTGTCGCAAGTGTTTCTGGGAGAGAAGCATTGAGCTAGCCTCATATGGCTGCTAAATCTTATGGCACATCATCCGTACTCATTGTGGGTCTTCATGATAAAACTGAGTCTCTGTCTAAGCACATCCACTAAGAAGGGAAAGTGCTTTCTGGTAATACTGGACCATGTAAACCAATCACTCTTAGAACTGCTCAAGTGTAACTAGGAGACTTCAAATATTTATTATAGGAAACCACATCTGTTAAAATGCTTGTTGTGGAAAAACTATATTGGTCATAAGTCAAAGGTTGACTAACCTTGCTTATGGTTAACTCACTATGACATCATGGAACTAGCTCTAGTTAGGTCAACTTGTAATTAAAGATTACATATATTCTTAAACTTCAGAACACAGGGGCTAGCCTGATGGTGTAGCGGTTAAGTTTGGGTGCTCTGCTTCAGAGGCCCGGGATTCACAGGTTCAGATCCCAGGCGCAGACCTACACACCGCTCATCAAGCCATGTTGTGGCAGCATCCCACATACAAAGTAGAGGAAGACTGGCACAGATGTTAGCTCAGGGTGAATCTTCCTTAAGCAAAAAGAGGAAGATTGGCAACAGATGTCAGCTCAGGGCCAGTCTTCCTCACACACACACAAAAAAGTCAGATCACAGCTAAAAGCACGTTTCCACTTTGTAAAATGTATCACGATAGACATAAAGTGATGTTAACTGATTAACTTTGAAACATTGCAGGCTCTTGAGTTGTCCCAATCTTCACAACACTCTCTGAAGGGACCTCACAGAAGGTGTGGAAACTTCCAGTGTAAAAATGAAGACACAATATTCAGGATTTCTCAGTGTTTTATAAGAATGCTCATTGTGAGCTGATCATAGGAGAACAGCTCTGCCATGAAAAAATATTTGTGATATTTTTAAGAGAAAAAAAGGAGGCTACAAATTAATATGCAGTATTTGGTCCCAATTTTTGAAAATTATACATCTGTGTTTAAGTACAGAAAAAATTGGAAAGATACACAGAAACATTAATTGTGATTTTTCTCTAGGTAGTTAGATTGTTGCATTTTCCCAGTTTTTGCAATGAATATATACTGTCTTTCCCTTACTTTTCATAAAAACATGTTATTTCTATGGTGAAAACAATATATGCACTTTTAATATTCTACTTATAACCTCAAGGAAATAAGGCGAGACACTTGCAGGACACTCACCTCATTGTTTGTCTTCTGGGAGAGCAAGTACCTTTCATTAAGGACCATCCAGAGGGCTGCCAGTAGCATCACAATTCCGTGACCACAGTCTCCAAACATCACAGCGAACAGGAAGGGGAAAGTGATGATGGTATAGGGAGCTGTGGAGGTGAGACCCCAACAGTCTGAGTCCTCCCAACATCCTCTGAGCCCCCCACCAAAGATTCTCTATCACACCCCATGATCCACGTGCAGGTTCCCCTGTGTCTTTCTGAGTCTATCTTCCCTCACCAGCCCCACCCCCAACACTTGCTTACTCCCACACACATTAACTCACCAACGAGTTAGCATTATTATTCCCCACTTTACAGATGAGCTGAGTTTTAGAGCAGTTAAGTGACTTGCTCAAGATTGCAAAATTTAATGGGATTTAAAACCAATTTTCTATCTCTAAGTTCTTTCTATACTCTTTCCAACACCATCATTCGTCTGTTTCCCCTCCATTCACATGCATCACACACTTCCAGCATTTACTCACAGGACCCTCAACCTACGGGGCCCCTGTCTTACAGGTCACAAGTTATATTGGGACTCAAGCTAGAGAAGAACAGCACTATGAACTGCTTGGCGAAAGGGCATCTGGTCTACCCCTCTATTTCACAAACCAGGCTACCAAGATTACACAGCTTGGGGCACTAAGAATCCAGTCTTCTGACTCCAAGTTCTGCGTGCCCCCATCTCTCCCACACAGTAACTACGGGACTGCGAATATGCCTAGGGATGACCTCCACTGAACTGGTAAGGAAATAAGAACTGAATTCAGCTGCCTGATGACGCTGTGGTTTAAAGAAGCAGGTGAAATCTTGACAAAGAACCAATCTTTCACAATTTGTGAAATCACTATTCATGGTTTACAGAAGACAATGCAAGGCATTAGGAAACCAAATAAGACGTTAGGAATGTCCCAGTTTTAAGCAGTCCACCTCATAGGTCACCTCAGGGGTAAAGCTTACCCAATTCTCACTTTTGAGCTGCCCAGTTGTGCAAAACATCAGCCCCTTTACCTGGGTTTATTTCCCGGTAACTGCCTACGCCATAAGCGTCTACAATGTTCTGGAAGCCAGCTGTGAATTTATTGGTCCTGTTAAATGTGGGAGGATCTGTCTTAGATTGCACTGCTGTCATGATGGGGGCCATGGAGGAGCCACTTAGTTCCTGCAAAAAGAACATGTGACAAAAACGTAAGGCAGAGAGCCGCGGGCTGGGTGTTGGCACGTGGATCACGGTCCAGTTCCTGCCATCGCTTACTGGGTGAGCGTGGGACAATTCTTGACCTCTCTGAGACTCATGATCTCATCTGTAAAAGTTAATACTTTCGTAGTACTTATCTAATTTATCTTATAGGAGAGCTGTTAAGACAGGAGAGTTCCTCCTGTTTCTCTGGCAATTTCCATTCTCCTCCTCCTGCAAATGCTATGCCTCAGTTCTAGGCTCTCCACTCTTCCTTTCTCTCCACTTAGTCTCTCAAGAGCCATCCATTTTCCTAATTTATCCCTGTCTTCCAAATGGCCCTGACACTCTCCCAAATTTCAATTCGTTTTAAATCGCCTGATTAGGCTTTCAACTCTCACGTCTCAGCAACCCCACAAAATCCAAGAGCCTAAAACTGAACTCATCAACTTGCCCCAAAGCCAGGGCCTCCCTTGACCTCCACGCCTTGGCAGCAGTCTCCATTCTCCAGATTCCTGAAACTTCGGAATCCTCAGACTTGTCCCTTCTCCTGAGTCAATCAATCAATCACCAAATCTTGCCAATTGTGCCTTTCAAATCCCTCTTCTTTCCATTCCCACAGCCTCCAGCCTGGCCCTGAGTCTCACCATCTCCCTCCAGCCTCTTTCCCTTCCTTTTACCTTACACTCCAGATAGCATCATCCCTTAATAAAACAAAAGGAACCAAAAGCACTCCTTTCGTCATGTTACCCTCCTACTCAAAAATCTTCAAAGGCTTCCTATTCTCTGAAGAATGAAATCACAACTCTTAAGTCTTATAATCAAGATTTCTTTCCAATATTGACTTCATCCTCCATTCCCACCTTCTCCCCGTCTACCTCTCCATGGAAATCAGCCTACTCCACACTACCATCTCCCCTCTCCACCTACCCAAGCATTGACATTCTCCAGGCTCACTCCCCAGGAACCTTCTGGTCACTCCAAACTCCAACAGAACTTTCCACCTACACACTCAGTGGGACTTAGCACCAGCTAAATGAATGTGCATCAACCCTCCTAACAACTCCAAGAGGTAGGGATCACAAGCCACTTTACAGATGAGGAAACTAAGGTACAGAGAGATTAAGCAACTTCCCCAAGGTCACACAGCAAGTGGAGGAGTTCCTTACTCTATCGTTATACATCTTTTCATGTGTGTGACTAAGAGGGCAAGGGCTGTGGCTGCCTCCCTTTTTTCCAACATGTCCCCCAGCAGCTGACATAATGTCTGGCACAGAGTAAGTGCTTTTTGCTTATTGGCAAATGATGCTCATGATAACCAGCCTTGAAGGAGTCTGACCCTTCATGATTAAAAGATGACACCGTTCAGTTCACATCCCTACATTGGGACAAGCCCTCCCTGATGGTCCCAGACTCTTTTTCGCACTGCAGTGAAGTGTTTCTAAAATGCACACTGGATCACGTCACTCCGGCACGGGCGTGCCATGGGGTAAAACCAGACCCCTTACGCCACCACACAGTCCTTCAGGCCTCCCCCTGACCTTCTCATGCTTTAAACTTGCAGCTGCCTCTCTCCAGCCCCTGGCCTCCAGGGGGTCCTGCCCCACACGCTCCTCCCCTCACTCTTCACCTGCTCACTGCCCTCCCTGCCAGTTCAGCTCGCACAGCACCTCCTCCAGGAAGCGCCCCTGCCCTTCCCAGTCTGGGGGAAATGCTCTTTTGTAGTGCCCCCTTTGGGTAATTGTTGGACTATGATGTGGGGACATTCAAATCCTGCGTCCTGGCTATAGGCCCCTGGGCAAGTTACTTCTACTCTCCGTGCCTCAATTTCCTCATCTGTGCAAAGGGGATAAAGAGAGCTCCTAGCTCCTAGTCCAATACCCCCTCAAAGCGTCCACCTTCAGACCCGTCAGTGGGGCAGCTCTTCCTCCCACCAGCCCGAAGCTTCCCAGGACATTTAGGGAAGTCAGCTCCAAGGCCGCCTGCTCCGGGGGCCTCCTCCAGCAACAGCCCTAGAACAGTGATGTAAAACCTAAAATTCCGAGTGCTGCCTTGACATCTTTGAGTCTCACAGGGCCCCAAGGGCCAAGCCATGAGCTCCTCTGCTCTCACCAGATATGCTGCCCACTCAGCAGGAAGGGCTCCCCACCCGGCTAGTTCTCCTACCAGCCGGACCAGGTGCACATGGAGCGGTCTTCAACCTAATGGGTTTCACTTCTCTGCCACCCCAGAAAATTATTCAAGCAAGCTACTCACATCCTCCATGGAAACCAGGGGTCACTCCGCCCTCTCATCACTCAAAGCCTGCCTTTCATGGCCCTGCTGGTTCATTCTATTCCCAAGTATAGGTCCTGAGTGCAAACTCGATGTGGCCTTCTGCGGCATGTGGAGTCCTCCTCCCCCGGGCTATGAACCTGACTAATAAACTGTCACCAAGCTCATCTGTCCAGTGTCAGGTGTCGTGTGTTTGGCCATCTTGTACTATTTGAGGCAGAAGTTCTCTCCTTCACCAATGGGGTGAATAGGGGATCAGAACAAGCCCACACTCCTCACCCCATCTGTCACCATCCCCTGCTTTACTTTCTGCCCACCACACATCCCTGCCTGAAGTCCTATAGTTATGGACATGCTTACTGTCCACCCCCCTTCCTAGAAAGTCTATCAGAGTGGGGCCTGGTTCTGCCAGCATAGCCCTCGATCAGTTCCTGGTACACGGTGCACATCTAGAGATGAATGAAGAGAGCTGGAGCTGTGAGGATTAAATAAGGTACTGAAGTGCTTAGCACAGTTGCTGGCACACAGCGAGCAATCTAGTCATTGGGCTGCGATTACAGGCAGCTGATTATTGTCTTTCCAGCTAGACCGTGACCTTCATGAGGTAAAGGATGGTACCTTCAGTCATAACTAGCAGAGTGAGTGGCACATCAGTGCTCAAGACACGCTCACTGAAGAGCAAAGAAATGCTGAATATTTGTCAAACCCTGAGAAGAAAAGGAGTTTCTGATCCGTGCCCTGGCACTGGGTTAAGAACTGAAGGTACAAAGGCAAAGGAGACAGTCCTACCAACTTGGCTTGTGAAGCTCATGTGCCTTAGGGGGCTGACAACCTTCGCGTGCCGGAAGGCGGGCTGCACGGCGTGACGTGACTCGTGCCCTCCCCTCTCCACCTGCCGCTCACCATGCCTTGCTCTAAGGCCCTCTTGATGCGCCCGGTGTCCGCCACCGGGAACCAGATCTCAGCGATGACGCACTGCTGGGTGACGTCGATGTTGCACATGTTCAGGATATGGTAAACGGCCTTCATCTTCTGCACTTTGACGACCCAGGAGTGCCAGTTGGCAGCTGCTTCTTGCAGGAGGCGCTGACGGTGAGACTCTGTTTGTGTTATGACCTGGGCAAAACACAACACAAAGACAACAAGGCACACTTATGGAGATGTCGGGCAATGTGGGAAAAATGCAGGTTCATCAGCCATAGTGGCTCTGGGCTCCTCCGCTGGCCCGCAGCTCTCATGCGACCTTTAACTCTCATGAGCAGTTTACCTCCCCTACTAGGGGTTAAAACCCTTAGGCAAAGACTATGTCTTCCTTCTAAATTCCTTAGAGTACTATTGTTACGTGTTGAATTGTGTCTCTCAGACAGATGTGTTGAAGTCCCAACCTCTGGTAACTGTGAATATGATCTTATTTGGAAATAGGGTCTTCACAGGTGTAATCAAGTTAAGATGAGGTCATAGTGGAGTAGGATGGGCCCCAATCTACTGACTGGTGTCCTTATCAGAGATTTGGACATCGAGGCACCCAGGGAAGAGCACCCTATGTGATGGAGGCAGAGAGCGGAGTGATGCATCTACAAACCAAGGACACCAAGGATTGCCAACCACCGCCAGAGGCAGGAAGATGCCTTCGTCTACTCAGGCTGCTAGAATAAAATATCATAGATTGGGTGGCTTATAAACAACAGAAATTTATTTCTCACAGTTCTGGAGGCTGAAAGTCTGAGATCAGGGTGCCAGCGTGGTTGGGTGAGGGCCTTCTTCCAGGTTGCAGACTTCAAATTCTATCCTCACATGGCGGAAGGGGTGAGCAAGCTCCCTGGGGCCTCTTTCATAGGGACGCTAATCCCTCTGCCCTCCCAAAGGGCCCACCTCCTAATACGATCACCTTGGGCATTAGGTTTTCACCCTATGAATTTGGGAGGAAACAAACATTCGGATCATAGCAGAACAGGCAAGGAGAGATCCTTTCCTAGAGCCTTCCAAGGGCCCATGGCCCTGTGACACCTTGATTTCAGGCTCCCAGCCTCCAGACGGTGAGAGAATATATTCCTGTTGGTTTAAGCCCCCAACTTTGTGGTCCTTTGTTATAAGCCCTAGGACACAAATGCTTAAAACACGTGGTCTCCAATAAACAAGAGAATTAACGCAGGAAGGAAGGAATGAACCATTAGGCCCACACAGAATTTGTTTAATGCAATTAGTTTTTGTTCTGGTGTTACAACAGAGTAACCCTTTCCAGTAACCTTTACGCGTGGCTGCCCAAGTCATACTCAACACAAGCAGAAGTTGAGCATAACTTCTTTTCCATTCTTCTCATGGAGTTTCCATAAAATCTAGCATGGAGTGTTTGGGGAAAAGGACTCCAAGGGTAATTTCTTCAGGGAAACACAGTCTCCTTGGCAAGTGACCAAGAGGGAACAGAAAGGATTAAAGAAATTAAACACAGATTTTTCTGGGAAGGTAAAATGTCTGTTGGCCTGAGAGCTTTGAAACACTCACACACACTCCCCTAATTTCTAAACACACTCACTGAGGATCCAGAACGGTGCTGACCAATACAGCAGCCAAGTGCAGGTACTAAAATTTAAATTTAATTAAAATTAAATAAAAATTCAGTTCCTCAGTTGCAGTAGCCGTGTGTCAAGTGTTCAAGGGTCTCATGTGGCTCATGACTATCACACTGGACTTGCAGATTATATGGCATTTCCTATATCACAGAAAGTTCTATCGGACAGCACTGATCTAGAATATTCAATGTGATGGAGGCTGACCTACTTTGAGTGATTACTTTCAAAGCTGATGGAAGAAAGTGTTCTAATCATGTAAGTGTTGAGTGCTACTCTGGGTGATGACAGACTTTACAAGAGGATATGAATTTGGGGTGTGTTCACATGGTGAAACGAGATTCATTGCCTTTACAAAATTAATTGGTTGGCTCAAACAACTAGGCAATTCAGTGGAAAAAGAATTGGTCAGACTGGTTGTTCAACTTAATTGGCTAGTTAGTTGTGTCATAGCTGTGCCCTAGGCTAGGCTGGCAATAAAGGGCTCCTTTTATCAGACTGGGGTGGCCACCCGGGGGCTGACTAGGGCTGTGGTCAATTCTAAGTCCAGACAAAGCATTACTGACATGCAGAATCATCACCTCTAGCTTATTGAACACTGTTTTCTAGTTAGGAAATTTTCTGCAGCAATAGCCAGAAGAGCATAGCGAACATTCCAGCCAGCCTTCCAGCAAGAGTCCCCGGGGACAGGACTTAATGGAAATAGCAGAGATAGCCCATCTACAGCCCCCACTCAGGTCACGCGCCTGAACTCCTCACTCACGGTGATTAAATCTTCCAGCCTCATGTTGACGCCAGCCAGCATCTCTCTGCGCTCCACCGCAGGCTCTGGGCAGGGGTATACCGTGGCTCGAAACCTGAGTTTAATGCATTCCAAAGGACACACATGGGTCATTACTGCAAAGCATTCTGCACGTCCTCTTCTGCTAAGCCATCATTTGCTGACTTCAGTTAGATGGCCACTTTTTCCCAAAACAAGTGCCTCCTTGTCAGTCAAAATGAGTCCCAGTCAGAAGGGTTCCCAACACCTCACTCGCACTATTTGAATTGAAGCTGTGGTTTTATTATATAAATGAGCTGCATTCAAACCATGAAACCTGTGAGCTGTTTCATATATAAGATTACCGGCTTGACTTGCTCTTCTTCCCTGCAGAAATGATTAATCTCTACTGAGTAATTTCAGCTCCTAAGGGGCTGGATACAAGACAATTGTATAAAATCAGAAACTTAGCATGAGGTTTACCTACTCTTTAGCAGCTGATAAAGGGTGTGAGAAGGAATAAGCTGAAATGGTTAACTTGTCTACTTTTGGGGCCGGCCTGGTGGTGTAGTAGTTAAGTTCACATCCTCCACTTCAGCAGCCCAGGGTCTATGGGCTCAGATCCCAGGTGCAGACCTACACACCGCTCATCAAACTATTCTGTGGTGGCATCCCACATACATATAGAGGAAAACTGGCACAGATGTAAGCTCAGCAACAATACTCCTCAAGTAAAAAGAGGAAGATTGACAATAGATGTTAGCTCAGGGCCGATTTTCTTCACCAAAAAAAGTCTACTTTTTTTTTTGAGGAAGATTAGCCCTGAGCTAACTACTGCCAATCCCCCTCTTTTTGCTGAGGAAGACTGGCCCTGAGCTAACATCCATGCCCATCTTCCTCTACTTTATACATAGGACGCCTACCACAGCATGGCTTTTTGCCAAGCAGTGCCATGTCCGCACCGGGGATCCAAACCGGCGAACCACGGGCTGCCAAGAAGCGGAACGTGAGAACTTAACCGCTGCACCACCAGGCTGGCCCCAAAAGACTACTTTTATCTACCTTTAAATTTTGCTCATTCAACTTCTCTCTTTTCCTCTTCTCTATTATTAAAAATCAGTTGCAGGGCCAGCCTGGTGGCACAGCGGTTAAGTGTACATGTTCTGCTTTGGTGGCCCGGGGTTCGCTGGTTTGGATCCCCAGTGCAGACATAGCACCACTCAAACCATGCTGTGGTAGGTGTCCCACGTATAAAGTAGAGGAAGATGGGCATGGATGTTAGCTCAGGGCCAGCCTTCCTCAGCAAAAAGAGGAGGATTGGCAGCAGATGTTAGCTCAGGGCTGATCTTCCTCAAAAAAAAAAAAAGATCAGTTGCATTTTTAACACTATCTTGTCAAATGTGGGAAAGTTACTCTAAAACCCTAATAAATAACCTCAAAGAAGCCCCATCCCTGTGTATTTTGCACTGCACATCTCTTTATCTAATCCTGACCCAGCTCGCTGAGGAAAGAGCCATTAACAGTCTCTCTTACCCATCACAGATCTTCTTGATTTTCTGCCTCAGTTGCTCTCCTTGGTAAAATATGATGAATATATTCTTTTTAATTTCTTCTTTCTGGAAATCAGAACAAGTAAAAATAAATTACTTTTCTTTCAGGTTAGAATATAATAGAGAGAAATGTAAGGTCCTGTTTTTAGGTTTAAAAAAATTATAAATTTAAAAGTGGAAAATTTAACTTCTCCAAGTTGATCTAAGTTTACAGTTCATTATGGTTGAAGGCAAGGCCACCAAGGCAGTCTGGGGTCAGGGGGGTGGCCCTCAGAGAGGCCAGTTCAGTCTTAAAGCAACAACCCCACTATTCAATACACTCGTTGGACCACAGCTGGGCCTTCTATTCAGCTCTCAGCCCTACACTTAAGAAATGTGTTAACAAAGAAACATCCAGAAGAGGGGAGCCGGGATATTGCAAGTCTTAAAATAAAAATAGCTGACCTAATTCAGCAGTTAACTGCACACAACATCTACCTTCAGGGGTGAGTGGGTGTTTGATATTTAACAGAGGTAAAGCCGTGTCTAATGTTTGACTCATAGGTTACTCACTGTATGCCCATAAGGACACTGATTAAAATGTATTTTTAAAGTTCAAGTCTGACAATTCACAAAAAGGGGAGGATATATACTTCATAAGCATATACGAAAATGTTTTAACTTTTACTGTAAGCAAAGAAATGCACTGTTTCACTTTTATTTCGTTTGGGCTAAGGGGTAAAGGTAAAATTATGAAACCCATTGTTGGAAAAGTTATAACAAATCCAACACACTTGTTCCATACTATTCAGGGCATTGGAACGAGGCACGACCCCACTGAAAAGCCATTTGTCAGGACCATCAGGTGCCGTGAAAATGCCCACACCCTTTAAACCAGCAATCCTATTTCCTAGTATTCCTATCACGGAAGTCAATCAAAAGAAAATAAAAATCCTCAAGCATGAAGATGCTTATCAAAGTGTCTATATTCTGGAAAAAAATGGAAATAAAGTGTTCAAACACAGTAAATGTCACATCAATTCAATGGAAACACTAGGCATCAATTGAAAATAACATCAAAATGAATCGTCTCTTTGGGAGTTGTTCTTTGGAGCAGAGGAGGGGTCTTTTAGGATTTGGGGAGCTACCTGCTTTACATTATTTCCAAAGCTTTCTTCATCCATGAAGTCCCCGCCTAGTCCTTTCTGAATCTCCTAGGTTCTCCTGTCTCTTGAGCCACCAGAACCCAGAATTCATTCTGATCTCATATTATCTGTACGGTGGATCTTCAATGTCAGCAGGCTAAAGTCATCTTTTTCCAGAAGTCTACTCTATAAATACTCTCTACTGCCATGATTATTACGTGTCAAAACATGACAATGAAAAGTGATGACTCAATGTCAAATTCTAAAATAATATTTATAAAGGACAAATAGTGACAAAGGGGGAAATTTAAAATGAAGGGAAAGTGGAAAAAATGATTTCTATGTTATTACTACAACCGTATTAAATTATACCAACCTATGGCTAAGAACTAGAGAAAAACAGCACAAGGGAACAATAAAAATAAAGACGTTAAAGTGGCGGGTGTTTGTGTTTTTCTTTTATAAGCTTCCTTCTTATTTTAAATTGCATTTAATTTAACTGTAAAGTCGTTTTCCATGAAATAAAACTTAAAATTAATTTTTAAACCTCTATTCCAGAAAAGATTATGACTCTTTTAGAAATAAGCCTAGCTTCTTGGAATTAAAAAGTGGACTTAAATACTAACTGGAAGGGTGGAGGAAGCAAAACCCTACAGAATTAACAACAACAAATGTGTGGCACTCAGTGAAGAGCCCCTCAAAATCCTTGTTCAAAGTGTGTGGTCCATTAACTAAGAGCATCATTCAGCAAGTTTGTTAAAAATACAGAATCTCAGGCCCCACCCCGGACCCAGTGAATCAGAATGTGCCTTTTAACAAGATCCCCAGGTCACTCTCAAGAGCCTGTGCACGCTGAAGCTTGAGCGCAATGACCCAAATCACTTCTTAGTTCCTTGTGATTAAGACACAGCTGCTGTCCAGTGTGGCGCTGGTGCAGATAAGTTTCTAGGAACTAGTATAGCTAAATTTCTTGGAGGAGTGAACATTTATGAGGTGTTAAAAAGAATCAGTCCCTGAATTGACCTTTCAAAGGTAAAAAAAAAAGGAAAAGAAATGAAAGGAGGAAGAAAATATATATTAGCTTCATAGAAGTAAAATGTCAGTGTTTGGGAGAATGAAACCCCTCTGGTGAGGGATACAGGAAATTTAAGAGAAAGTGTTCTTCAGCCTGAGATACCCACTGTGACGGGATCCTCGAGAACCATGTCCATCTCGTTGAACTTCAAGTAGATGTTTCCTCGGCAAACGCGCCACAGCAACCTCTCAAAGGAAGCCATCCTCTCCCTGTTTATCACGCCGGCCGTGAACCTGGGCAGTCAGGAGAGGAGACATTACTGAGGCACGTGGAGTGTGGCGCAGGGAGAGGCCCCGTTAGGATGTGAAGATGTGCAACCATAAGATGAAGGACCACCTCCCCCTGAGCAGGAGGCAACAACACAGCTCTACCTGGCAGGGGTCACAAGCCCACTCTGCATCCCAGCCCCGACTTTCCAAAGTCCCTTGTGACCTCATGTTTCCTTGACATATTGAAGTTTCCTTAATCATCTCAATACTATGTATTCACTTATTTGCATTTAAAAATATGATAACCATTCATTATAGCATTGTGGCTAAAAGAAACAAATGTTCAAAATGCTCAATGATGGTCAGTATGCATTTTTACAAATAATGTACTAAGAGTGAAACACACACATTGATTTTTATACATCTCCACTTTTACCATCATCCAGGTATCTAGATAATTTCTGACCCAAATTTTTCATATCAACCTTAAAATGGTTGCTTTCATTGATCTCTTGCTTTAAATGTACATTCATCCTGTATTACTTTCTGATCAAATATTTTCAATACATATTTTTCTTTGAATTTCAAATTTAATGCCCAGTGCCTCAAATGACAGGCCTCCAAGTAGCTACTGAATGAAAAACTAGAATTCCAAAACTCACCACTTTTACCAATTCATCAATTTTACTTGGGCATTCAATGAAATCCCACCATTTGGAATCACCAGACATTTCGCTCACCCCGCCATTTTGCTCCACCTCCCATCACCACACATTTCGATAGGCACAATCGCATCACATTACTGTTACTTGTCGATAACTTGATTGCATAACTACTCATTTCCAATTATACCTCAAACTTCAAGCTCCAAATCTATTGATCATCAAAGCAGTATTTCAAAGATAAGGAAAAAACATATACCCCATAAGCCTCATTCCAAAGCCAGGGAACAGTTGAGAAAACCCATCTGAACAGTTATCCCGCATCTTTCCCACAATGCAAACGTTGCACTTTTCAGGCTCAAGAATGTCAATATCACCTTTAACAAGAAGGTAACACTACCTCAAACTCCACCAACCCGAAAAGGTTATTGGGTCTATTACTGTGTGCAGGCTCTATATTCATGTGACATAGTCTTTATTCCAGGGGCTATTTGTGTGTTCATTCATTCATTCACTCAAACACTCAGGGAAATCTATCACACACCAGGCATTGAGCTACAGACCAGGGACCCATCTACAAGTAACTGTCAGAACATGGAGTTGCACTAACCCCAGCTTTCCGGTCATGTATGCAGGTGTAGCTCTTAACTCCAGGAGACCCGAAGTGTCTTCAATAAAGAAATCATCAGCTAAATTGGTTTCCGTCTGAAAGTCAAAGAACCACTATTTTCACTTAAATGTTTTTAGACTACCTTAAAAGCACTCCACATCTCAAAGTTTTGTCTGTTTTCAATGAAGCTTTAATTTTCCACAAATGCTTAACAGAATTCAAAAAGTAGAGTGCTCCCTGACAGATCAAAAAGCTTCTCCAGTCTCTTCCTACGAAAGCCCCAAGTCTGCTCAAACTAACTGTGGTTTGTTCTGACTTCCACTTCTGTCCCGGCCACTGTGGATGCATACTTTTTAATGAGCGCCACGACAGTCTTGCATTCAGTTCATCCAGTGCCACATTCCACCCAGAATACTCTCCCCCTCACCAACGGCCTAGCCATGGGACAGAAACAGAGTGATTTATTTATTTCCAAACCCGCTAGTTTTCAACATGGAAAATTGAGGCTCTGGGGGAAAGGGCCCTTTAATAAATGGTCCCCAAATAACGACCTCGAAGAAGTCCTGGGTTTTCTTCAGTAGATGCTTGAGTTCCGTCAGTTCTAGGAAGCTTTTCTTCAAAGCCTGGTGGTTCTGGTTGGCTTCCTGTAACTCTCCTTCCAGTTTTTCTAGAGCAGTCTATGCAGGAGGGAGAAAGAAGATAAACCAGGCAGAAAGTGCTACGACATTTACTGTATATCAACCACATTAGATAACTAAATATCAAAGAAATATTCTGTGCACCATAATGTAGCTTGCAGTTGAGAGGCCTGTTCAGTCATAAACTCAATATGATTATAGAGCTATAAGCTACATCACATTCATACTCTCTCTAGGGCTCACTCATTGAATGGGAGGGTTAGGAAACACTCTTGGGGAGGGGAAGCTGGCTTCAGGAAGAAGTCAAGGCATTTCAGCAAATCGCAAGTCTTTCTCCACTTAAAACACTATAAAGGGAAGCTAGAGTGAATTCACACTGTCCAGAGTGACTTCTCACTCTTTAGTGAGTAATTCCTTCTGCCTCAAACACATTGTAATGATCAAATATAAAAAGAGAAACCACCAGTTCTGGGTTGGGCTCTGGAGAGCCAAATACAAGCAAGAGAAAAAGGCTACCCAGAGAAGGGTGAGCACAGAGGCAAGAACACAAAAACAACCTCCCTTCCAAAATGAGCATGCAAAAAGAAGGCGGCTCGCAAAGAACTCTAATGACGAGAAAAATCACCAAGAAAATCAACAATCAAAACACAAGATCACCCTGGGTGAAATTATGTTTATAGAATATAAACACTGAAAAAGAGTTTAAAGTTTTTAAAGAATGTTCAAAGAGATAATGAAGGCATTACTTTCACTAAAAAGAAAAATAAGAAACTATTAAACAAACGTGCTAAAATGAAAGAACAAGCAAATATAAAAAGAAAATTATTTAGAAATCCTGGAAATGCTAAATATAGCTCTTGAAATTCAAAATTGAACAGGTGAGGATCAGCTCTCTACTGGACACAATTTGTGAATGCACTACTGAGATTTAGCAAATAATTTAAAAGTATGAAAGCTCATTTCTCATCTGTCCAAATGTCCATCGACAACAGAACGAATAAAGTGTGGTATATTTAATAAAAGAAACACTATCCAACAGTGAACATGAATTAATTTCAGAAACATGAAACAATATGGTGGCTTAAAAATAAAATGATGTAAGAAAACAGCAAGTTGCAATAGAATAAACAACATGATTCCATTTATATAAAACTTTAAAATGTACAAAGCTAAACCATATGCTATCTGGAAAACTAAAGATTTAATACAACGATGAAGAAACAAGAAAAAAACAAAGTCAAAATTCAGAATAGAGGTTATTTCCAAGACGAGAGCAGTCATGAGAGGAGGGTGAGGAGGGGAAGGGTGGCTGTGGAGGGCACGCCAAGGGCCTTAAGAGCATCACTGTGTGGTCACCTGTCATCCTACACAGGGTGGTGGCACTTGGTGTTTGCTATATTGTTATTCTTTGTATCTTACACATATTTTCTAAAAATTCTACTGTATCAATTCAATACTTAACAAAAACTATTACAAATAAAGCCATATTTAAACACATTGTAGTAAAACTATAGAACAAAGATAAAACTTGAAATGCTATTAGGAGGAAAAAAAGACACAGCCCACAAAGGAATAATCATTCACCCAGCAGCAGAGGTTACCAAGAAAACTCTACTAAGTATGCATCTTGAAATGTTAAGCGTAACTATAATCTATAGCCTCCAAATCAGGAGAAGGGGGAAAAGGGTTGGATGGTATTACAGAAAGGCAAGAAAGAGGAGAAAAAGACAGAGGAAATGGTAAACCAAAAAGCCAGTAAATCAGTAATCACAATAAATGAAAATGGATTAAAGTTACATTAAAAGACAGAGATTATCATGCTAGATTTTTTCTAATTTGTTTGAGTCACTCTCACCAAAGAGAAAAACATAAACAATAAAAAAGATATCCATGCAAATGTTAGTTCTTCACCCCTCAAAAAAGCATATTAATATCAAACAAAGTGGAATATTTAACATTTTTATGATGGAAAATTTCAAACATACGTAAGTGGAGAGAACTGCATAGTGAATCTCATACACTCATCACCCAGCTTCAGTTGCAACCCATTCTCTCCCCTCTCAGAGATAATCACTACCCTGAATTTTGAACACTGACTATAGTGGCACAACGTTGGGGAAAAATGAAATCCCCATTTTTTAACCATTTTCTCTATTCACTTAATGATTCCATTAATAATAATGCTGCCATTAAAATTATTTTGGAGAACAATGCAATAGCTAAGAAATGGTTTACAATGGGATAGTAAATGCAAAAAGTAGAAAACTATAATGTATATTATGGATAGGTAATTATATAAAAATGTGGCTGGTAAGAATAAAGCCTGAAAACAGAAAAATGAAGGCAGTTTTTGCTGAGACAGTGGATTTGTGGGTAGATTTTTTTTTTTCTGAATTAATATTCCCTCTAAGATTGTTACAAAGCCTCATTAGAAATTCTACAAGGCAAGGACCCCAAGCCACTTGTGTACTCTTGCCAGAAGGATTCTCCTCTCTAGGAATTTTGGAGGAACACTCAACTAACCGCCAGATCAGTCAGATCAATCAATCAATCTGTGTGATCAATGGTAAGACAGATATTACTCTCATAAGCTCATGGTGCTTTAATATCATCTTTACAATAAATAATACCCAGAAGGAAAATACTGAGGAAAGACAGTTGGCACAAATCTGATTGTCTCTTGTCTCACTAGTTATCACTACAAATGTATGAGAGCGCACAGTTTCAAAACCAACCAGTCAGCCCACACCAGACTCATTTGGATGAAGTGATTTTTTAAGGTACTGTCTGAAACATACAACCAACTCAATTTAGAAACAAAAACCCTTGCTACCTGTTTAACAAAAGCAAGAAAGTCTCCATGCTCGTCAAGTTTCAATGTAACATCAAAGAAGAGTATCCACAATTATTTGAAAAGGCTGTTAAAATACCCCCCCCCCCTTTTCTAACTACGGATCTGTGCAAGGTTGAATTACCTTTACATACTTCAACGAGAACAACATATCGGAACAGATTCAAAGCCTAACAGACGTGGGAAGCCAGTCTTCTATTGTCACGCATTTAAGAAATTTGCCAACAATGCCACTCTTCTCCCTAAAGTTTTTCTCTTGGAAAATACAGTTATTTTTCATTTTAAAAAAGCTAACGTGTAATGAGATATTATTGTTATTTTTAAATGAATTAATAAATTTTTTTTCAGTTTTAGTTCCTAATGCAGTAAATATCAATAAATATAACCCACATAAATAAAGCTCCTTGGGATCCTCAATAATGTTTAAGAGTATAAAGATGTCTGAACTCAAGAAGTTTGAGAACCGCTGAATCAGCGGGTAAATTATGAAAATGCATATGGCCCAGAAGCCCAATAGACGGTCTGAGGAACTTGGAATTCATGCATCTTGGCATGGCAGGGGAAGGCTTTACAGAACAGGTGGGAATTAAACTGAGCCTGGAGGTGTGGTTAGAATTGAGAAAAGCCATGGGTGTATACACGGAAGGCACTCCAGGCTCTGTTCCTGAGGTACAGTGCGAACAACCGCTTGGAACTGAGAGATGAACCTGAGGCAAGCAGAGAACAATCAAGGGACCAGCCCAAGGAGAGCGAAGGACTTGAGAGGTAGGACAGGGCTGGGCGGAGCAGGCTCTGAGGGCCGAGGTGGACCGGACATAGGTGAGAAGGGAACCACTGTGCATTCCTGAGCAGCGAAGTGGCAAGAGAAAGCAGTACCATGACAGAAATTAGGCTGGTGGTAAGAGGCAGAAGAGACTGGAATGGCTACGAAAAAAGCTGGGAAACCTAGAAAACTATTGCCAAAACTCAGAAGTAGGATTAGGCTGAGAGCAGAAGCGAGAATGACATCCACAGTCCACAAGAACACGTCTAGGTGTTAAGGAGGCTGCAGGAGACGACGGCGGGAGGCTGGTACTGGAAGACCAGTGATAAGATGGAAACTGGAGACGATTTTATGGAGATCCTATTCATACTAGTGAAAAGTTTTCTCCCCAGACATCCAGATTTCAATATGACAAGATCCAAAATATTTTCTAGGGGAGTTGCCAGTCTCATATATCTGTTAGAGTATCTAGATTTCTCCTACTGATGGCTTCAAAAATTTCAAGAATTTTAAGTTACCTTGAAAGAAAAAAAAACACCCAGCAGAGATAAGGCTCGGCTCAGTGAAGCTGTAAGTCCTTCCTCCTGAGGACAAACAAATCCAATTTCGTATCAAGGTCTACAGGGCCTTCCAGGATCTGGCTCTGCCCAGCTTTCAACATTCTCTCCCACCTCCCGCCCCTCCCTCCTCTCCCCACCATCTGCTCTAGAAGCTGCTAGAGGGTATGGCCATCCATATTTTATTTCTCTCTAAGGTGCCTTGCACATGGCAGGCACTCAATGTTTTATAAAAGGAAGTAGAGAAGGGAAAGAAAGGAGGAGAGTCCCACCAGCCATGAAGTCCTTGACGAACGAAAACTGCTTTAGCTGACCTCAGAAGCCAGTCTGAGGAGACGCCTGAATCTAGAGTAGTCTCAAGGCACCAGCTTTTTCCCACCAGACAGATAATTAGGAAACATCCTATTGGATCCAGCAATTCCACTTCTGGGTATTTATCTGAAGGAAACAAAATCTCTACCTCGAAAGGCTATCTGCCTCCCCATGTTCATTGCAGCGTTATTTACAATGGCCAAGACATGGAAATAACCCAAGTGTCCAACAACAGAGGGATGGATAAAGAAGATGTGATTTTGTATATATATATATATATATATATATATATATATATACACACACACACACACACACACCAATGGATATTATTCAGCCATAAAATAGAAGGAAATCCTGCCTTTTGCAACAACATGAATGGAGCTTGAGGGCATTATGCTAAGTGAGATAAGGTAGACAGAGAAAGCCAAATACTGCATGATCTCACTTATATGTGGAAACTTAAAAAAAAGAACTCATAGATACACAGAACAGATTGCTGGTTGCCAGAGGCAGGGGGAGGTGGGGGCGAAATGGGTGAAAGTGGTCAGAAAGTATGAACTTCCAGTAATAAGACAAATAACTCCCAGGGATGTGATGTACAGCATGGAGACAATAGTTTTAAAAAAAGAAAGAGAACATCCCAGTGTGCTAGCATAAGCCCTGTTCAGTGGGACCGTACAGACAAGACCGCACTCCCTATAAGAATCTTATGCCCACAAAGGAAACCACTCCTCAAACTGGGGTGCACTTCCCCAGGGCTGTGTTGGGAGAGAAAAAGAGCTCTCTCCTGGATCAGGAGGAGTGACTCTAAGAATTGGGCAATAGGATTTTCCCGAGGGAGTAACACTGAAAAGTGGACAACTACATAAATCCGCCTCAACGCCTTCAGGAACCGGGTAAAGGATCCATGAGTGGCTCCCAGACTCCCCAGGAGACAGGCTTCATGACTGTCCTTAGCAAAGTGGGGAAGAACCTACCTCCAGGGTAATCATTTCCCGTGGCAGAGGGGTCGGTGGGGACTTCTCAGGCAATTGAACCTCAACCTCATTTTGCATCTCATCTTCCAGAAAACCTGAGGGATGAAACCCCACCAGAGAGCCCAAGGTGACTGCGTTTTCTCATTCCTGAGAAATGAGGTCAAGCAGGGCAGGTGCCTTTTGGCCAGCTGAGCTGCCTGAATCGCCCCAGGACCTGCCGCAGCACATGGATCCCATCTCTAGCCTCCCCCACCCTGTCTCCAGGATCACCTCGTAAAGTATTACAATAGGGACCGGTTTGTTAACCTTGTTCTGCAAACCATTAACCTCCCAGGTGCCCATTCACATTCAGACAGTAAGCAGAAAACTGGCTTACGGAGGATTCTCTCCAGCGACTCACACCTTCTGACTTCATTCACAAATTTCCTTTGGAAGCTGTTCACAGCCACATTTAACTAGAGAGAGGAAAAAATCACAAGGCACACATTAGTAGCAACAGCTGCCAACATATTCCCTTTCTTTATTATTATTTTTTTTTTAATGCTGGAGAACGTTGCTGGAATCATCTTAGGAATAGAGGCTTCCATGCACAAGAGAGATGAGTTACAGGCAAAACACACTTTGATGTTTACACCCAATCCCCAAATGCCTCAGCTCTGGCCTTCTTATCCTTCTAAGACAAACATCCTCCCACAGCTAGGATTTCCTTTCCTTTAGCCGTATTTGCTATCCCAATGAGCCTTGAAGTCCTCAGTGGAGCCAAGAACATAACAGGACCTTGAAAACTACACAGCTCCATGCGATGCATCGCAGTCATCAACACAAATTCAGCATCCTTGGGGTGGCGACCCTCAACCCTGCCCAAAAAATGTCACTGGGGAACTGCCTCACGGCAGGTCCTGTGCTAGGGAGTAGGGACGCAAGGAACAAGACGTGATCTCTCCATGCAAGAGCTTGGTTCTGACCTTGGCCTTGGCGAGGATCTTAAACTGCCCCCGGGAAACGATACCCTGACATCACACTCAAGACAGTCTAGCCTTACAATGTCACTCTAGGGAGACTGTGGATTCTAGGACACTTTGTCCTCAGACCCACTGGTCAGGAAGAATAGGTATCTGTCCTGAGAACAAGGTTTGGTAACCCACGTGCCCACTGGCTATATCCACCTGCCCATTGGCTATATCCAATGCCTTGAAGATGCTACGCAGGAAGTAAAATACAACCCATCTAACACATAGTGAGTGCATTAGTTTCAAAACATTCCTCTAGAGGAGACACGCATGGAGGAAGGGAGATCGTTTGCAAGTCACCTGCCCGATGTTATCGCAAATCTGAGCCAGAAGGACTGGAACCACTGAGTTCCGTCTATTCGAGCTCAGGGCTCTTCTCCCTGCAGTTTGTTCACTACCAAGAAATGGTATGAAAGCATTCTCCAATATCACTCCACCTTCCTCCTCAGTACTTACATCTTTGAACTGAACCAATCCAAGCTCTCCAAGCTCAGCCACACAGCAATAGGCAGCCTCCACCTGGAGGAACAGCTGTGACAGACACATCTCCTCACTTCGAAACACAGACGCCATCTTGACCCAGCCTTGGTCTGCAGGAGACAAACAGATCTGAGGTAACAGCTGTGCGGAAACCTTGGGATGGAAACTGTTTTTAGTCGAGTTAAATTAAAATCCAACAGGAAAAGGAAAGATCCAACAGGAATCTCTCCTGATTTTAAAAGTATAAACCAAAAACAAGATGGCACTTTTCACCACCCCATCAGATTGGCAAAGGATTGAAAAACATGATTAAAGACTCCCGCTGTGGAGGAAGCAGGCATTTTCATTCACTTAGCAGTTGAAGAATAAATTTATGCAGCTTTTTCAGAGAGCAACTTGTCAATATCAAATTTTATACGACTCATACTGGAGATTTCCACTGCCCTTCATCCAGATAAACTCGGAGATGCATGGGAAAATGGGTGCACAAGGGCATTTCTGATAACATTGTACCTGATAATTATAACCAGTGGATCTAACCTGGACATTCATCAACAGAGGAAGGATTAAACCGATACCACAGAGCCCTGTGTAGTCAGCAGGAATGAAATAAATCTGTATATCCTCTATATAAAAAAAGGATATTCGTCAGAATCCGTTCCCACCACAGACGCTCCAGACTGCCCTACTGCTGCCAAACCGAATTGTTTTCCCCAAAGCCTAGCCTTCTGGAAGAAGGATCGCATCTCCAGAGGGAGCCCCTTTCACCCCATGTCACTTTATAACCTGTAGACTATCTACTATTTGCCGGACACGGGGTCTATCCCTCCTATCTTAATCCTTCTGTTGTCCCATTTCCCCACAGGATACAGTCTAAAACCCTTGACCTGGCCAACAAAAGGCAGCATAATCCGGCCTCTCTGCCTTCCCCTCCAGCTTTATGTCTCTTCATGCTGCCTGCCAGACACTTGGAATTTCTCCCTGCGCTCCCTCCTGCCCCAGGACCTTTATCCATGCTTTCCCCTAGATTTGGAACCTCAACCTCTTCCTCCCCACCCTGCATCACCCCGACACCTCACATAATCCTGTCATTCCTGGGGTCTCCATGTAAGGATCCTCTTCCTCCATGAGCCTTTCCCGGTCACCACCAAACCCCAAAGAAGGAAGCCCCCTCCTCCATGCCCCCAGATAGAAACCATCTGCAACTACTTGCTTAAGGTCTGAATTGCCCGCTAGCCAGAAAAATCCATGAGGTTAGACCTACGTCATCTTTTTCATCCTATCCCCAGTCTAGCTCAACCATAAAGCAGATGCTCCACGAATGTTTCCCCCTTTATAGACTAATTTTGCCTTTTGACACGCAGATAAATCCACTTTTCAAACCGCCCTTTCTGAAAAAGAAGGCAATGTTTTCACAGAAAAGAGACATAAGACAGCTTCATGCAGACCGCAGGGCGCAGGGTAAGGACCTTCCTACCCCAGCTGCATCCGAGCAGGTCCCGGGCTGGGGGTCTGGAGCGGGCGCTGGGGCTCGGCTCTCCGGCGGCTTCCTTCCTCCGACCCCTGGCAGGGAGCCCCCGGGGCGCGGCGGCGGGCGACGGGCGGGTGGGACCAGCCCGGCCGGGGTTCCGCAGGCGGCGACTAGCCACTCCCGGCTGCTTCTCCTTCCCAGGCTCTGTTGTATCAACACCGGGCCCGTAGCGGACGAGGACAAACCTGCCGCGCCGGCTGGCCCTGCTCAAACCCCTTCCTCCCCCGCCCCACCTGTGCCCTCGGCCACGACCTTGGGGCCCCACCAGGAAGCAGTGACTTTCTTCTCGGAGGAAAGTACCTCACCCCCCGCGGAGTGCGGGGTTTGGGAAGGGGCCTCAGAAGGGCGCAGAGACAGCCTTCCGAGGCATCCACCCAGGGCACCCAAACACTCCCTCTTCTCATTGCACAAATGAAAGAACATTAAAAAAAGTTTTGGAAAAGAAAAAAAAAAATCACACCATCCTATCAACAATTATTTTCAAAACCTCTTTACTTCCAAAGAAGAATAGACAGACAAATCCGTATAAATCCGCACTGGCTAAAATTCAGCTTCCAGGCGGCCCAGGTAAAAAGAGACAAGGCCAGACACGATATGCACCCTCATCTCCCTGAGCACCCCTGTTGTCCCCATTTATTTGGCGGAGGGGGAAGGCGCAGGGAGGTGAACCGAGTAGGCCCTTTGCTCTGGCCCGGGGTTACTCTGCAGGACCGCCTGAGTTCACGTCCATGAGCCCCGCAGAGCTGTTTCTCCAGGTAGGGTGGGTAGATCCCCGGCATGCACCCACCTGGGGTGCCTGTGAAACGTACCCCAGAATGAAGGGTGCTTTGTTTTTTTACTTTTTATTCTGGAAAAATTAAAGCATCTGTAAAAAGGAACCCCCACGTCCAGACCACTGAGCGGTCAACACCTATTGAATTGTGCAGCCGTCCACGCCCCCACCCGCTTCTGCCTGCCTCGGATTATTTTGAGGCAAATCCCTTACATCATATTCTTTCTTTCAAAATATTTTAGTATGGGGGCTGGCCCCGTGGCCGAGTGGTTATGTTCACCTGCTCTGCTGCAGGCGGCCCAGTGTTTTGCTAGTTCGAATCCTGGGCGCGGACATGGCACTGCTCATCAAACCACACTGAGGGGCGTCCCACATGCCACAACTAGAAGGACCCACAACGAAGAATATACAACTATGTACCGGGGGGCTTTGGGGAGAAAAAGGAAAAACATAAAATCTTTAAAAAAGAAAATAAAAAAAATATTTTACTATGTATCTCTAAAAAAATAAGGATTCTTTCATATATATACATATGTATACACATACATGTATACTTAATACCATGGTTATGCCTAAAATTCAACAACAATTCCTTAATATCAAATCTCATCAGTGTTCAAATTTCCCAGGGTATCTGAGATGTGCCCTTTTTAATAAGCCCCGAGGGTGATTCTTGTGCGTGATCAAATTAGAACCAGTGCTTTTGGGAACACGGGGTGAAAAATCTAACTTTGGCTTTGGGGAGAGCAGGCAGGAGCAGGGTGCAGAGAGTTTGGAATGATCAGCTAAGAAGAGGCAGCGATTTGGGGCCTGGGCAGTGGAAAGAGCGGGTCGCCTATAAGGAGGCCCTGTCGGCAAGGTACTGCTTGGGCTTCTCAAGGAGCAGAGCTTGGCCGCACCCACCCATCCCAACGCAGCAGAGCCACCCAAGAATCCAGACTCACCTGGGCAAAGTTCCGAAGGCTGAACTCAGGATTCGCAAAGCAGAGCAGGAGGATTAGAACTGAAAACTGCAAAAGGAATCACCAGTGTTGATTCTGCCTGTCCCATCAGATGAGCTCTGGAGGCAAGAGGAGCCCCTGCCCCGGTTAGTGCTCGCTCCTCTCGCCCCTTCCCCAGCCCACCTCTCATTCTGCTCCTCGCCCCAGCTGGGGTTGCTGTGTCTTCCGGTCAGCAGGTGGAGCTAGAGTTCTCAGATGTCCCGATGCCCGGGAATCACTGAGGAGCATGCAGAGAGAAAAGGAACATCTTGACGTTACGAGCAGAGTCAAGAGCCACTCTGCCTGACTCAGGATCCCAGCTCTGCCGTTTACCATGCGCAACCTTGGGGACGCTATTTAACCTCAGGGCCTCAGTGTCCTTGTCAGCAAAATATAATAGGATATTGGATAATTATTTAGAATGTGTAAGTACAGGAGGGAGAGGATGTTTTTAAGGTTTGCCTTTTTTCTCCTAAAGCCCCAAGTCAAAGGTGCAGAATGCCAGCACACTCACACAATGCTGGCAGGACAATACGTTAGTGCACTCTGTCTAAAAGGCAATTTGCATATGCTTTGACTCAATAATTCCACTTTAGAAGGCTCATCCTAAAAAAAATTTTTAAGGATGTAAACCAAAATTTAACTACAATAATGTCCACTGTAGCATTGTTTGTAATAAGGGCATAATTGTAAACAACTTGAATTCTTTCATCCGTTCAAGAAGTATGCGTCAAGACTCTTCTGTGTGCCCGCTCTGTCCTGGTCTCTGAGGCTAGGACAGTAAGTAAGGGACAAGGCCCTGCCCCTCGTGAAGCTTATGTCCACATGGAAGGAGACAAGTAGTAAACAAGGAGTAAGTTAGCAGGATAGCGAAGCGCTGAAAGTGCAGTGGTAGAAAGATAGGCTCCAGAGAGATGGAGAGACGCTGCTGTTGAGAAGCGGTCAGGGGACGCCTCTCTCAAAGGCGGCCGCTGAGCTGAGGCTTGGAGCATTAAATGAGGCAGGCTTGCAAAAAGGAGCTGCAGGAAGGGGATTCCAGGAAGCAGGAACAGCGATGCAAGAGCAGAGTGCGTCAGCCCACTAGCTAATTGAGTGCTATTGAGCGCTCCCCATGTGCTGGGCATTGCTTGCGTGGTTTTAGAACACATTTAAGTACTTCACATGCAGTAACCCATTTAATCTTTCCAACCACCCTGTGAGGTTGGCAGTATTCCTATTCTCAAGTTAAACATGAGGAAATAGAGGCACAAAGAGGCTAAGTAACTTGCCCGAGGTCACACAGTCACTCACACCAGGTCACCTGACATCAGAGTCTTTGTTTACAACTACTGCACGATATTGTCACATGGTCTGAAAAGGCTCACACTGGGGGCCGGCCCGGTGGCACAGCAGTTAAGTGTGCATGTTCCACTTTGGCAGCCCAGGGTTCACTGGTTTGAATCCCGGGTGTAGACCTACGCACCACTTGTCAAGCCATGCTGTGGCAGGCGTCCCACATATAAAGTAGAAGAAGATGGGCATGGATGTTAGCTCAGGGCCAGTCTTCCTCAGCAAAAAAGAGGAGGATTGGTGGCAGATGTTAGCTCAGGGCTAATCTTCCTTAAAAAAAAAAGGCTCAACATGTTCTAGAAACAGAAATGAGGCCAATGTGGCTGGGCTACGTGGGGGCGGGGAGAGGTAGGATGAGGTGTGTCAGAGTGGAGGCCGGGGCCAGGCCATGTGAGGTCTGACAGCCAATAAGAAAGTTGGATTTTATTCTAATCACATTGGGAAGGCCTTGGAAAATTTGAAACAAGGGAAAGACATTTCTTGATTCACATTTTTTTAAAAATTATTTTGACTTCTGCTTCTGGAAAGATGGAGTAGAAATACTTTTTTTTCCCAATAAGTAAAACTAAAAACCCTGAACATTATATATACAGCAAACGTTAGAAGTCTCTGAAAAGTGGAGAGAAGAAAAACCTTCTAGGGACCTCAGGGCCTGAAGAACGACAGAGGGACGTTCTCTGGGGTTTCTGCTGCCACATATATTCTAGATGTGGTACTGCAGAAGCCAGCAAGATGTGCAGACAAAGAAGTTCCAAAGAAAGCTTGCTCTCTCCAGCCAAAGGACCAGGAACGGGGCAGCCTAGCAGGAAAGACCTTTAGATAATGGTCACTCTAACCCAGCCGAGGACCATGGGAAAAGTGTGGTCCCACACCCACCATGGCAGCAAAGCCCAAATGGAGAGCTCTCTGCTCTCACCCAGCTGTGCCAAAGCGACACCTGCAGTGTGGTGTCAGACAGGGTCAGGTGGGGAGTCTGAACCCCCAGCCCCACCCTGTGGTAACAAGACACCCCTTGCTAACCCGTGCTGGGGTGGTGTCAGAAGAAACCTAACCAGAACTTTCACCACTGCCCATTGGTAATGAGGCCACCCACTCCCCAGGGCATGGAGGTCATGCGGGGAGAAGTAACCAGGCGCATCTGCTCCTCCCAGCCAGGGTGGCATCAGCTGAGGTCTAGTGAATAGAAGAATCAAGTGGCGAAACCACTTTACCCGATTTCAAGACTTACTGTACAGCTACAGGAATCAAGATTGTGGCATTGGTGCAAAGACAGACATACAGGTGACATGTAGGACAATAGAGAACCTAGAAATAGCCCCGCACGAGTCTGGTCAACTGATTGTTGACAATGGCGAGAAAGCATTCAGCAGAGGAAGGATAGTCTTTCCAACAAATGGTGCTGAAGCAACTGGACATCCGTAAGCCAAAAATTGAATCAAGACATAAACCCCACACCTCACACAAACATTGACTCAAAATGGATCATAGATAAATTAAAAACGTGAAACTGTAAAACTTTTAGAAGAAACATTTTCAGAACTGAGGGCTTGGTGAAAAGTTCTTAGACAGGACATCCACAGCGCAATCCATAAAAGAGAAAAACTGATTAAAAATATTTTTTGCTGTGCAAAAAGCTTCTGTTAAAAAGATGAAAAGGTAAGCTATGGCTGGAAGAAAATATTCGCAAGCCACATATCTACTAAAGGACCCGTATTTAGAATTTATAGAGTTCTCAAACTTCAACAGTAAAAAAAAAAAAATCAAATAATCCAATTAGAAAATGGACCAGAGACATGAAGAGACTTTTCACCTAAGAGGATATGCAGATGGCAGATAAGCACATGAAAAGATGTTCAGCATCGCTAGCCATTAGGGAAAAACAGATTAAAACCACAATGAAATATCAGTATATATCTAGTAAAACAGCTAAAATAATAAATAGTGACAATTCCAAATGCTGGCAAAACTGTGGAGAAATTGGGTCTCTCATGCATTGCTGGTGGGAATGTAAATGGTACAGTCACTCTGAAAAATATTTTGGCTGTCTTTTGAAAGACTGAACAAATAGAAATACCGTACGATCCAGCTATCCCACTACTGGGTATTTGTCCAAAGAATCTGAAATCAACAATTCAAAGAGGTTTCTGCACCCCTATGTTCATCACAGCATTATTCACAATCACCAAGATGTGGAAGCAACCCAAGTGCCCATCAACTGATGAATGGATAAGATGTCGTATATATATATACAATGGAATACTACTCAGCCAGAAAAAAGACAAAACCCGTTTGCAACAACATGGATGTACCTTGAGGGTATTATGCTAAGGGAAATAAGCCAGACAGAGAAAGACAAACACCGTATGGTTTCACTTATATATGGAAATAAACACATAGATTAGGAGAACAGACTAGTGGTTACTAGAGAGGGGTGGCAGGAGGGAGAAGGGGCAAAGGGACACATATGTATGGTGATGGATGAAAACTATACTATTGGTGGTGAACGTGATGCAGTCTATACAGAAACTGATATATAATAATGTACACCTGAAATTACACAATTTTATAAGCCGATATGACCTCAGTAAAATAATTTTAAAAAATAAAAATAAAAGACTAAACATGCATTTTCCTTATGACCCAGCAATCACATTCATGAACCTTTGTCTCAGAGAAATGGAAACTTATGTTCACAAAAAAAACCTGTACATTGGGGCTGGCCTGGTGGCGCAGCAGTTAAGTTCGCATGTTCCGCTTCGGCGGCCCGGGGTTAGCTGGTTCTGATCTTGGGTGTGGATGTGGCACTGCTTGGCAAAAAGCCATGCTGTGGTAGGCGTCCCACATATAGAGTAGAGGAAGATGGGCATGGATGTTAGCTCAGAGCCAGTCTTCCTCAGCAAAAAGAGGAGGATTGGCGGTAGTTAGCTCAGGGCTGGTCTTCCTCAAAAAAAAAAAAACAAAAAAACCTGTACATCGATCACAGCAGCTTTATTTGTAATAGCCAAAAAGTGGAAACAATCAAAATATCCTACTTGTGGTACATCCATCCCATAGAACACTGCTCAGCACTAAAAGCAATGAACTATTGATAAACACGACAGCTTGATGGGTCTCAAGGTCATTATGCTGAGTGGAAAAAGCCATCTCCGGAAAGGTCACATACTGTATGATTCCATTTATATCACGTTCTCTAAATGACAAAATTATAAAGGTGGAGAACAGATTAGTGGTTGCTGGGACGTGATGTGTGTGAGAGAGAGACTGGGAAGGCGTAACACGAGGGAGACATGGTGGTGGTGGTTACATGAGTTGTTGTTCTTGTATGAACTGTGGTGCTGGTTATATGAATCTATACATATGATAGAATGACATAGAACTATATACACTCTTTATATCATTGTCAATTTCCTGGTCTTGATATTGTACTGCGGTTACGTTAAGATGTAACCAATAGGGAAAACTGTGTGATGGGCACACTAGACCAATGTGTACCATGTTTGCAACTTTCTGTGAAATCTATAATTATTTCAAAAGGAAAGATTTTTTTTTTAAAAGATTTCAATAGGAGCAAAGGTGACTTGTGCTTAGGTGGCATTATATAGTGGAGAGAAGGCAGAAAAAATTCTCTAGAGATGTGTGTTCTAGATCAAACTAGCCCAAGAGATTTGAGTGGTCTTGGAAAGATAACTCCCCACCATGAGACTCAGTTCCCTCATAGCAAAATGAAGATATTGAGCCAGATCAGTGGTTTTCAGACTGGTGAAACTGGTGCACAGGACTGGTGCAGAGAACCCTAGAGATTTTGCAAAGCCCTCTTCAGAGGCCATTTGTGGGCAAGAGGCAAAGAAAGAGTTAAGATGCCCTGCTTCATCCCAAGCAACACTTTTATCTATGGCATTGCTGCATAAT